GAATTTTATCGGCGGAGTTCAGAAATCCCTCCATGGAAAGCCTACAGAACATTGATCACTCCGTTTGTCTGAATGGATCGGAGCATGTAATTTTCGCGGTGTGGGTGCAGTAAACTGCGCCGAATGACCGCCGTGATGTAGGAGTCACGTCTGTGTGGAATAACATTTTCACAGTATAAATCATAAAAATACAAATAATCAATTAGACATACATGATTTAAAAATACCATCTAAAATTTAGTGACATTTTAGATGGTATTAGTGACAATTTTTCTTAATTCCCGATAATTCATTCGAACAACTGAGACACCATACATGTAATTGGGAAATCCCAACTATGGTTGGGACACTTGTTAGGGTGCATCTGTGGTGCGATCATCTTAGAAAATTCATTTTTAGTATTTTCATTGGTTGTAAGTACAACCAAAAATGGGTGGAGTCAAGCGAAATAAACGACTTCTACTCCGTCCCTTTTACTACACCTTCTAGTTATGCGTGCGCTTGAATTGCTCGAGAGACAAACTAAGCAGGTCCCTATACTGAAAAGCAGCGTGTGGCAGAGATGGTAGCAAGTCAATTTGCAAGTCCAAGTCAAGTCACAGGCCAGTTTGGACCAAACACAAGCAAGTCACAAGTCTGTTTGTCCAAATTTGTTCAAGGCAAGTCGTGCGATGTGTGATTTCAAGCAACAGCCAAGTGCTTCAGACGTGGCCTTGGGCAGACAAGACAGAAGTAGAAGTCACGAGCTATGTGAATGAAGTCTCACACTAGGCCCTATTTTTTTCAAGTACGTAAGACTTATTAGTTGATGGACCTAATTTAAAACTGCCTCGCGATGAGTAGTTGTCTGACTTGCGTTGGAAACAAGTCATAATGTGCAAACCCAAGTCAAGTCACAAGTTAAAAACTAATTGCATGTACAAGTCAAGTCACGATTCTCAGAAATAGCGACTGAAGTCAAGTCACGATTCTCAAAAATCGTTGTCGTTTTTCTGCTTGTTGTTGTTGTTGTTGTTGTTGCAGTCACTGTTGTCATCTTTTGTTTGTCTTTATTTTGGTTGTTTTTTTCCATTAAATTTTGTATCTGCTTTAGTGCAATAGCAGAGACTCCATTGGAAATAAGTTGCAGAACTTTCATGGGCTATCCCTGGTTTTACCTAATTTTTGTGTGATGTGCAAATCTTGTTTGTAGTATTTTTGTGTTTTAAATTATTTGTTACTGTATCCAATCCAAGTCTGACAAAGTCATCGGTGACGGTGTGTGGCTCACTGTCTGCCAGGAAAAATCAAGTGGTCCCAACTATTATGGATGTATCTCAATTGAAGGTTTAAAATCTTGGTCACGGAACTCATCAGCGGCGGATGTAAAAATTTTCCGGAGGTCAGGCCTATTAGATTTTTCTTGAATGTCTAAAAGTACACATAGATAATACATTAAACTGTTATTTATGCGCTCAGAAATAAAAATCTTGATTGATGTTACTCGAATATTCATCTTTTAATTTTTCTGTTTTTCTACATGTATTATTTTCTTTATTTGTAGTGTCCGAGAGGGGAGGGAGGGGTTCCCCCCCCCGATCCGTCCGCGACTGGAACTGGTGACAAACTAAGCTGAGCTGGTCCTGAAGTGTAGAATTTGGCTCCATGTTGTACTGAAAAACTTGCTTTCAATTCAACGAATTAAGTTGACCGTATCTCATTCATGCGGTATTAAACAAGTAACTAATTGCATATCAAACGCATTATTATCCATTAGCAACGCGCTGTCTCCTGTCCGCAATGACGCTGGAATCTCCCAAGAAGGTATCGCAGGTATTGTACGTAGGACCAAAAATCGCTAGTGTGTACTTTTGTTTGGTGCGTGTTTATTTTAGATTTTTCGTGGCCAAAGGCCAAATTACGTTGAAAATTACAACAGTTAAAACATCAAAACAAAGTTATGAAATAACCAACACGTTACAATTTCAGTTATGATCCACTAACACCACCTCAATTATTTTAAAAGGTGAAATGGACAGATAACATTCCAATGAAGTTCCTAAAAAGCTCACAAATTTTGTATAACTGAAAACCACAAATTTGAATTCATGTTCTTGACAACTTGAACACCTTAAATAAAAAAAACACCAAGGACAAGTTGATAATTGGATATATTAAGGGAGGATCAAAATTATCTATTCACTAAATTAACAAAATTTTGGGATGGGGCTGTTTCTGAATGGGCGAGACGAAGTGGAGCACTGAAAGAAACATTACCGAGCATTACGCAGGCTGCGGGAACACCAATCCATGCTCCGACCAAAAATTGCGCGCGTACGCGTAAACTTAGCAGTCTGCTGGGATCGGCCCTTGGGACTGGCCATACTAGGAGACCGAGATTGGGGCATTTTCAAGATGTGCAACATTTTTATTCATTTCTAGCAGCTGCCACAACCGCATGTTAAACAGCGCCCTCATCGCAGCAGAGGGGGAAGATTTGTACACAAAATTAACCGCAGCCTCGCAGCCTCATCCGGTCCAGCCACAGAGAGCAAGCAGCTGCGAAACAGTAACTTTGCTTTGAAGTTTGATTATGCTTTATTGCAGGCTTATCCTCTCATGCAGTGTCTGTTTTTAGAAAAATGGAGGGTGATCGCAAACAAGCTCCCAAGGTACGTAGACCTATCTGTATCCCGATATCTATCAGGTTGCCCCAGCAAAGCACAGTTTAGGACGCGTTTCGGATCAGTTTAACCACGGAGGAAGGAGGAACCATTTGACATTCAGAACACTTGCAGGATGCACAAAATCGTCCATAAAAGCGATGGAGTGCGAAAGGGACAAAAAACCCACACTCCACCACCCTGGAGGCCTACATGTACATCCACCAGGTATGTGAGAATTCAGCTTTTTAGCTGTTTTCAGCTTTTTTTTTGTTTAGATGTTGACCCTGAATTTCAGCTTTTTTGTATGCCTACACCTGGTCTGTACGACAGTATGGGAATTTTTGCATTTCCGCTTTTTGCTTGCTGAAATTTCAGCTTTAATTTTAAGTGGATACTCACACCCGTGATCCACCTACATGTACCCAATTTACATTGTACGTGCTATTTCACAATGACAATGAATTATGTATACACAAACAACTCTCTCCCACGGAGGAAACCAAGGGCAACAGGTCAAATAAGCCCTGAAATGTTGGCAGTTTTTTTTATGGCAGTGTAATTATTAGGGGAAAAGTACAGATTCGTTTTTATATACTTGCCATTTCATCAAAACTATTTCAGTCAATCAAAATTATATACATCAATCCCACGTCCCGGCTCTAAAACTTCCTTTTTTCAAAGTGCTTCCGTAGAATCCGTACACCTAAGTGACCCCGTTGCCTCCATTTTCAACCATGGCAAAGGCAGTTTCCACCGTCAAAATGACTGATGAAAGTCTTGTCAGTGGAGTTCACACCACACTCAAATTGAAACAAAATACCCAAACCCCATGCCCCACCTGCAGATTACATTGAATCTGCTGTCATTGTTCTCTGTATTCAGCGACGACTCCTGGCAACCAAGGGCGTGGTGTTTTTCTGGGTCAAACAAGCCCTCATTGTCAAATATAGATCGCACAATTTGTTTTTTTTGTGCCTTTGGCACTCCATCCCTCTTAGGGATGTGCATCCTGAATGTCAAACAGTTACTTATTCAATGTTGAATATCAGACAGGTATTTGTTCAACATTGAATGTCGTACGTCAAACGAGGAATTAGTAACTAACTTCACACCAGACGAGAGCTTGAGTGTTTGGCATGTCATGTGGATCACTGGATGTCTGTGTACTTGATGCATGCTTGATGGAACTGTTTTTAGGATTCTTTACTGCAGTGCACTTACATGTACATGTACTTACCGTGTGTCTTCGTGGTCAGGCACCGGGCACAGGCGAGGGGTTAAAATTTGTGTTACACCATGATCATGGTGATGGCCATGCAGAGAGAATAATTAGGTAAGTCTATTCCTTCCTCCGTGGTCCAACAAGGGCAAAACTACTTGAAAAAAAGATCTTGTAATGTAATCTCTGTCATGTCTTTTGAATGTGGAAGTTTGGAAGGCGTGGCAGGGGTGCATGCAGCGGGTCCTTCCTGATAATCTGCCATGTCCTTGGGTCGGGTGTAGGGCTGCAGTGCAAGTGAGACCCTTCTGATAATAGGCCTAATACTGATGGTTAAATTTCAGGTGGAACTTCACATACATTTAGCTGGGGCTATGAGGCCGTCCACAGTCTGGGAACTTGCAAAGTGAGTCGGTGTTTTCTCAAGTTCTCTTTGGTTTGGTACATATATCTTGGATTTCTAAAATTAAGAATAAGGCTGGCACAGGGGAAAAAAAATCTTTCTTAATAGTCAGATGGTGTTTTTAAGTTCAGATTTTTAGATCTGTATCTACCAAAGACGGTTCTTTCTCAAAATGTCTGCAGGAAACGTGGTGTGGATGTACCGGGCTCCAATGCAGAGGAACTTGCTCAAACCATCAGCAACTTCGAAAGGGGTGACCTCTTCAGTTTTCTGAAAACATTCCGAATTTTCATGCCAACAGTTGTGTAAGATTCATTTTCCTTTGCCCTATCACAAAGTTTGTAAGTTTGTGGTTTAACCCTCACTGGGATTTTTTGTGGAACATAAGTAATAAGTAGGCCTGTTTAGGTTCTTTTATTGCAGACAAGTTGACTTCGTTCAGCACATGCAACTAACCACTGATTGTCAGTCTCAAAAGAAGTAAAATAAAGGGTGATTGTAAAATTGCTTCGTAACAAGCTGGCCATGTTACGATTCCTAACTACCTACTTTACCTAAATGACTTCCATAGCAGCCATCAACTCCATGATGCTGACATTCAGTTGCAGTAAAGTGGCTTGCTTTAATACGGGCGTTTCACAATAGTGCGCCTCCAGGAGTTTGCAACACGTTGGCCAATTACAATGCGCGAAATCTGTCAACCCAGTGCGCATTTGGAAAAAGGGTCGACAGATTTCGTGCGTTGTGATTGGCCAACATGTTGCAAACTCTTGGTGGCGCACTATTTTGAATCGCCTGTATTCAAGTATACAACTTACTCCAGTCATCATTATCATCATCCTTGTGGACAGATTTGCTGCTTTGTTAACATATACTGTAGTGCCGATAAGGATGCACTTCGGCGTATCTCGTATGAGCTGTGTGAAGATAAAGCCCGAGAGGGCGTGGTCTACTTTGAAGCACGCGTCTGCCCTCCTCAGCTGGGTAACTTGAATGCAGAGACCAGTTGGTATCAGGATAACATTCAAAATCAGCTCTCGACACGGGAGGTGATGGCAACCGTCATAGAGGGACTAGAGGCCGGACAAAGAGACTTCAACATCAAGGTCCGACTGATACTTGCTGCGGTCAAGGAAAAACCAGGTGACTTGGAAAAGAGTTTGACTTTTCTTATTATAAATGCACATTGTGTTATTTATAATTTAATACAAATAAAATGCACGTCATGTAGGATCTGATTAAAACATATTTTCCCCATTTCCTACCGAAAATTTATTGAAAAATTTCTGAGACTGATAGCTGAAGACTCCAGTAAAGTGCTCTCCACTTGGTCTATCACAATTTTTATATCTATTTTATGCATACTTAAGGTTTTCAAAAATCTGTACTTCCGTGTATATAATACTCGGTATATTGTCCACTTGTTTACAGAATGGGCAACTGAGTGTCTGCAACTTTGCAAGGAATTCCCTCATATGGCCGTGGGCATGGATATCGTTGGCAAGGAAAATGTTCCACTGAATCCTGAGATTATCCGAGCTTTCCAAGTAAGGATTTTGGTCAAACCTCACATAAAATCAGCCAGACTAGGGCCAGGGTAACTGGAAATTTAGAAACCTCACTCATGACATTCCCGTGTCTCAATTCCTGGACCTATATTAGTACGGTTTGACATTCCATCTGAAGGTATGATGACCAATATCTCAGGGTCTCGAGACTAGAAATAGACCAAGGTACTTTTCAATTCAGGTACATATATTGCTTTCAGTCAGTGTTAACTCTAACAACGCAACTTGCTCTTTAACTGAGGGAATACTTCTAGAATTTTCTTTACCATCACCAATTCCTCCTTGACTTCCTGAGATGAACCCTAGCCTGTTGTACTTGATTTTTGTAGGAGGCAGAGCGATGCGGCATTCATCGCACCGTACATGCTGGAGAGGATGGCCCGGCCAGTAATGTCAAGGAAGCAATTGAGCTGCTCAAGGCCGAGAGAATTGGGCATGGATACCATGTACTACAAGATGACAGCATTTATCAGGTTGGTTTCAGGGAGTGCTTGGAGGATGTCACAGGGTGAGGGATGGGCACAGGTAATTGATTAGTTTCTTGTTTCAGGTAGGGCTGTGACAGGTGCGTCACATCATGGATGTGTGGAGACTGAGAGGGACTTGTACATTATTAGCTGAATTGATAGAGGCTGATTCCTGACTTGGTTGGTCCTTGGGATAAACAAGGAGTGCTAAACATACCTGCCTGACAGGTGTCGCATTTTGTTTTCTTAATTCTCTAGATGATCAAAGACTCAGATGTTCATCTTGAAGTTTGCCCAACATCCAGCGTCTACACTGGGTCATGTGACCCTGACTTCAGCAAACATCCTGGTGTCAGGTGAGACTCTTGCATTCATATATATGTGAGCAGTCTGAATTCTAACTACACGCAATGAAAGTTTTTCCAAAATCGCAGCTTCTTACATGGACTCCATAAAATCATCAAATGTTTTTGCTCCGAATAGGTTCACTCAAGACAAGATCAACTTCTCTTTGAACACGGATGATCCCTTAGTCTTTCGAAATACCATCAACGATGAGTTTGAGATTGCCAAGAAACACTTTGGACTGAGTGATGATGCAGCAATCCAAGTTGTAAGTTCCTTCTGAGTTTTGTCAGAGAAATTATATTTGGAAATTTTTGCTTAAAAGAAAGTTAAATTTTTGAGGTGTTTTGGAGCCCTTCTGTTCTTTCAAACAGTAAAAGAAGTACCTTGAACAATAGACTATTGTACGGGTTTCAATGCACAGCTAACTTATAGGACTGATTTTTTTATGCCTCGACAGACGATGAATTCAGCACGCTCGGCATTCCTGCCAGAACAAGAAAAGCTGGAGCTTATTCAACAATTGAGGGCAGCATACAACCTCAGGGACAAGTGAGTCATGACAGGAATGTATTATGAAACACGAAAATATAAACTGTATAATTTTGCTGCCAGTATAACATGAATTTTGCACTGCCACAATAAAACTGAAATTATAAATCATTTATATATAATTTATCTTTATATAATTTCAATATAAATGTGCACCAGTTATACGTCTGTGAACTGTATTTGATGTCAGCATAACCTGTTTCATGTTTTGAGGCTTTTAACATGGCTTGCTGTTGTTGCAGTTGGCCACTGTGCAATGCATGGTAGATGCAAGTAACATGCTGACAAGTTTTCTGGAAGTGTGCGTTTCAACGTGGACCAGAAGTTGGCACTTTCAGTTTTTACAAACCAACCTGATAGAAAAGTAAAGGATGACGGATTACCGACATGCTTGTATAGATGATGTGTTAGTTTACTCGTAAATTGAGTAGACACAGAAGCAAAATCATATTCCAGATTACTAGGAGTCTACTTGTAAATCAACCCTCAGTTTCAACTTAATATTTTGTTCTCAAGAAGGGGATGCAATGAAACTACTTTACATATTCATGTAACCTTTGACCCACTCCTTTCCACAGCAACCAACTTCAATGTGCAACATGAGTAGAACATGACAGGATGGCTTGACCTTATATGTGTCCATTTTGTCTTTCAAATGTCGTACATTGTTATCACATAGGCCGATTCTGATGTATGGGTTTTATGCAATCAGTCAGTAAAATCATGGACTAAATTAACCACTTGCAAATTTCAAATCCTAGCTCATGCTGACGTATACCATCTCAAAGTCTGCAGCAGTTGCTAACAAAAGCAGTTATGATTGCATTACCTTATTAATGTATAAGCATCGAGTCATCATTCCTCATGATCTTAACTTGTACCAGTGCCTGGACTGTAAATTGTTTTATTTGAAGAGGTACTGTATGTTTTTAAGACTTATACCATGGAATTTATAATTCATGAGAAAAAGGCTCTGTAATAAAAAAGAAATCAATCAATAAAATCCTGAGCACCAGTTCAGATTCTTTGGAAAAAAAATTGCCATCTCACCCAAACTGGTTTGTTATAGCTTTATTTCCTCTCCTGCAGTAAAAGGTTTAAATTGCTTACAATACTGGAATCATGGGAAATACAATGTGGACACGTTGTAGCTGCCACACAAGGGTACTCAAATGAGACATCTTTAGATACTCTGAGGCATCTTTGGAAAGGTATTAGTACGTGCAGTCTTTTAAAAAAAAATGCTGTGTGTATGGTAGCTTTTCGGACACAGTTGGCACGCTTTAAAAGCCAATACATTGGTCTCTTATGCACAGTTTATGCAAAAAAAAAGAGAAAAGGTGTAACTTAACAATTAGTCACTTGTAAAATGCTGCTGAGCAGGGAATTCTCACTCTGTAAGCAAACAAGTTAACATTTCTTCTCAGTCAATGTTTCCAGAGCTGCAGATTATGTAGTAAATCAACTTGCTTCACTGAAGATCAGTTTAAATAAAAAATGGACTGTGACAGTCATTACTGAATAATAAATAAGAGTAAAAAGTATTCTGAAATACACACAATGTAGGATCATTTGTTAAAATCTAAAAGATTAATTTGTCTCAAGTTGGCTAACACTACAAGAGTACAGCACCAACAAAACAGTTTAAAAATATAAAGATATTCATACAAAATTTAAAAAGTTCAAAAATATACATATAGGTCCTACAGCGCTACTAAGTACTAACAAGACGGAATCAAGGACTATATAACTGGCTTCCATAAAATTGAAAAAAAAAAACTATAGCAAATATGAAACTCCTCCAAAATGAAAATGTCATACACAGAGAAATTGTACCTACTCCATTAATATTTTTAACTTCTTTTACACCGTTAGTACTGTGTTAACCCAAGCAGATATTTTCTAACACACCACAATTTTCATCTGAAATGCAAACATAGGAAGCTTCTGATGACTTATCAAATCTAACAAAACCATAAAAAAAGAATTAAAATTGATTAGCACGATTGCTGACTTTGTATTGCATGGCAGTGGTTGTTAGAAAATTTTCCAGGCTAACAATGCCAGTATTAAAATCACACCAGCACAAACCAAATACCCACAAAGAAATGGCGGAGGTATATGCAACTGGTAACTGTTTTTAATTTAAGACTTGCTAAAATTTCTTAGGATTGAGTACTGGTTGTTAAAACACACAAATACATGTACACAAATAACATTAAAACATTCAGATACAAGAAAAATCAAAAAAGTGTCAAGACATCAGGATACAATTTTAAGTCGATTAAACTTTTAAGTTAAAAAAACACTGGTCATAGCTACACCACTTATATCGTCATGTATTGGTGGGAACTCTGGAATTCAGCTCAGACTGGTAAAATAACAGCTTAATGCATGGAAGTAAGGGCCATCTTCAAAACTGACATTGGTCCCAAAGATGACTATTCTCGCCCAATTTTCTAAGGCAAGTTTTCAATAGTACCACCAAGTAATACTGTGTTCAAGACAAGTACGGTTTTATTGATAAAAACACATGTACGTATTCAGCCAAAATAAATTATCACTAATCCACCATGCAGCATTTTCCAGCGAGCTCCCATTATTTTAATCTGCTTTGCATGTACTTGCCCAACTTTTCTGCTACCGTAACCGGAGTTCGGTGGGATACTTAAGAGTTGTGCCGCAAAATTTCAAGTGAATTCCACGCCAACTAGAAGTAGTCATCCTCAAGACGTCTTTGCTGGGAGTTGTAATAGTGCTCCTGAAGACAAAAACCAGACGTCAACAATTTCAGACCTGAGAACTTCGCTCAAACGTAAGGAATAACCAATTTTCTTTTGTAACCTTTTTAACAGACGAATGAGCTGATCTGATTGATCTGAATATTTCAATGCAAAAAACAAACCAGTCAACTGTGTCCAAAAATGATCTTACCGCACTTTGCTCATGTTTTGAGTTATACTCACCATGGCTTCTTGCCCCGTTGCTATGTAGGGTCGTATAAAGGTAGAGGCCTGTGGGTAATCAGGTGCCTGAGGAAATTTGCAAACATAATAAAGTAATTGTTATGGACCAGTCTGCCAAATGGGATTTCTCAGATATACAGGGGAATCAAAGTAACATTTGCATCTAAATTTATCACTCAATACTGAAAATTTGAAAGGGACTTGTTACTGATCAAGACAGTGACACTTTGTCTGTCTATCCTCAATTCCTAGCAAAAATCTTTCTTTTTCAAGAAAGGTCAGCACTAGAACTGTTACAATTTTCAACAGTATTACTATGATCAGGTCTTGACTATCATGATGAGAAATACCAAATCATTTCAGATGGCTTATTGGGGAGGCTTTAACAACTATTGCGCAGGTTTCACCCTGGAAGTTTGAGACAGGTGATTGCCCAACAGAAAAGTAAGCACTGGGGCTTGAGGCTTCAACTTGGTCCCCGCAACAGCACGCACATGTGAAGCAATCATGATCAGGACAACTCAAATATCACTCCGTCAACTCACCACGTCGTTGGCATAGCCCACTCGCTGCACTTGCAGGTGATCCTGGATAAAAGAACATTCCTTGTGATCATTTATCAGTCGTGTCATGAGGAACTGGTCTCCACATACAACCATCTAATGATATTTGGACTGGATAATTCTTTCAGCTCGACTGTTGCTCTTTTTTGATTGGTAATGTTTGGAGAAATAAATTGTTTTGGTGGGAAAACTTCAATAGGAGTAACAATAAAGACTAAGCAATCGTCATGAATTTGGAGTTTTAGTAACTTTAGTAGATGTTTATACATTCAATCAATTCAATTACAGAGTTATATTTCCACATGTAACAAATAATAAGACATCACTTGCAACGTCTAGCAACTCAAATTAAATGATTAAAATGTTAGCTTAATTAGTTGTCCAATATCCCAGAAAGAAAACAATCATTTTAAAACCACAACAGCCTCAAAATTCTGTTGTGATAGAATTTTACACTCCAGTACCATGACGTCAACGTGTCATCTACTGAATCTACCACAATTCCTCCTACGTCAGCAACGTTACAATAACCCCCCCCCATCCAACCAGTTGAAATCAGTCAACACAATCTGGCAACTGCTCACCCTAGTATGATCCATGTGTGGGAATGGATCATGGACTGGGAAAACCTCATCGTTTTCATCGTAGTCTGGCAATGGTGTATCGTTGGCCAATGTTGCTAGATCTGGTGGCCGGCCATCCAACGACCTACAGTCCATTGCAATCTGGATTCGGACAGATTCCAGTCTCTTGATAATTCCAATGCCATACAATGCGGCCAATTTGAATTAATATTGGGTAACGATGTCAGAGGTCGGTCCTAAGATCATGTGCTTGCCCGTTTCCTGCCCTGTGTTCAAATCCCACCTGATACATAATGCCTACTTGGTTTGTAGTCTTCAATTTCCTTAGAATTAAACTTCTGGGATTTTGCATCGTTCCTGTTAAAACCTAACATCCTTCATTCTCACCTCTGAAAACAATTCAAGGAAATGGTTTGGCAGAGTGGTTACATTTTCAAAAGGACACACGTTTTCAACATAACAATGATTAGTGACTGTTACACTCAGTTTCCCAACATCTGATTACAGCTTAGAATGAATTCATGTTAAAAAAGTCCAAAATTGCCAAGTAGAAGGATTTTCATTAAACACCAAATATAACTGGTTAGTTTGGGTTGATAGGAAAAAATTAAGTTATGAAGTATTTTTCTTGTTCAATTTTTAGTGAAAGAAGTAATAGATTATGAACTTTTGTTAGAATTTTTACCTGCTGTAGTTGTCTTGCCAAGCCCTGATTGCGAGCTGACTGCACCTCATCCTATGACAGAAGCAACAATGGCAGTAAATGGTCTTGTTCACAGTTTGTGAACTTTCTTAGCTGCAAAACTAAAGCTAAACCATTACTTTGTTCATAGGGTGAACATTTGGCCAGGAAAATCTACGGCAGAAATGCTCTGGATTTCAGCAGAATGTCAAACTTGATGTCTCAAGTCTGGAAGATAAAATTATCACCAAAGTCTCCAAACTTGAAATACCTGCAGGTAAGGGATGCTAAATGCCTGGTTCTCATAGGAGGTGACACCCAGATCAGAGCTCTGTCAAGAAAATAAATGGGAGTTATCAACACGAGATAGTTTCTCCAATTGCTTCTGATAGATACTGCCTCATGAAATAATGCAATGTGCAATATAGCTACAAATCATAAATTTCTAAAACATCTACTACTAGAAAAACTACACCTCAAAACTGTACGTCAATTGACATAAAACGTAATTTCAATGGATCGATGGATCACGTCCCACCTCAGTGCTAAAGGCAGATGCATATGTGAACAAAGCATGACGTCATTATGTAGGTCTGTGAACAAGATTAATACATGAAGGTCAGGAGTGGATTACTCTCATTGGTATATGTTGATTCAGCATAGTACAATTCATAGCAGCACTTAAATTGCAAAAACCCCCAATATTGAGATGACTCTACAAATCGGCTTGTCAACTTACATCGTCATCCTGGCGGTAGCTGCCATTGCCAGGGTCAACATGAGATGTGTGTTCAGCAAAGCTTGTTGAGACAAAGCGCCCTCTAGGAATGCGTGGTGGCTCAACGGCGGATGGTTGACGTTGCGGTGCAGGGCGGGACAGCTTGACGAAGGACTTATGCTGCTCGGCCCCATGGATGCCAGGGTACTTCGGCTCCTCGTCCAGACGTTTGCGAAGGAAGCAACAACAGGAGATGAACAGACCGACCAAGACTAGCAAAAGTACCGCGGCAACCGCTACCATGGCAATGACCAATGGTGACCAGACATCTGTAATCTCACAACGTTCACCTGAGAAGGGGCTCTTACATCTGTAGAGAAAATTCAGTCAAGAAAAATATTGTTGGATACATCAACTCCTGAATAGGCAATCAACTTTGGAGTAACACAGTGCAATACCCAAGCTAACCCATCCCCAACTGAACTCAATGAATAGCCTTAATTTACCTTCCCATCAATCCCTTTTAACATAATCCAGCCAACTTACGTGCAGGTGCTCTCATAAGTGACAGGATCTGGTGAACAGGTGCCGTCATTCTTACAGAAACCAGGCGGGCAAATCTCTGTGACAGAAAACAACAAAAGAATCAGTTTGCAACAGATGTTTCAGTTTAATAAAAAGACTCCCCTTTTGCCATTGGCAAACTCAGGGAAATCTACCAAAGTATGTGAAAAAACTTTAGAGATATAACTTAAATACAAATTTAAGTCTAAAGATGCCATATCTGATTCACATTTTGATTTGACGTCAACCCTCATCCATTCAAGGATTATCATGTGTATTGCGTACTACACTGAACAATAATTTTAACTATGACTGTCACATCCCTGGTTACCCCCAACCCTGTGAGGTTATATATTTACAATTTTGTTGATCTGACACGATATAAAATACGCCCGGGACTTCTTGGGTTTTGAACGTAGTAGATGCACAATTTAAATTGAACGTAAAATTCTAAAGGATCCTTTCTGTCACTGCAGCGATGACTGGTTCACGTTTTGGCCAGGAACCTTCGGGGCACCGGCCTGACTCTCTCTCATACAGCGGTCTTGAGTTGACCCCGAGTCTTGAGTTGTTCCTTGAGTCTCTGGCCAGCCCTTGGATCGGATTGCTAGTCCAATACCCACAGCAGAACCAGGTTGCGTAGACACCTGGTTCTTGTGGGAAATCTTGCGTCTCGAGTAGTTTTTTTCCGCCTTGCGTATCGGTCGGAGTTTATCTTCACCGATACACTAGCTTCCAATCATTACGTTCTTCAGAGCAACTGGCTGGATTCTTGCAGTTTCAGACTCAATTACAGCAACATCATCGAGGCTGGCAAGACGTGCCCTCTCCTCGGACTCTCCGACGCAAGTTCCCTTTACACCCCGAAAATTTTTAAACCCCACCAAATTTCTACCTGGGACACCCTCAATCCTTTTGTTGTGTGACCCTGGTGACCTCATAAGAAAGGATTTAAGCAAGAGTTGAGCTATCCAATGGGGTTTGTCAATTCTTCCCGCAAAACTATCTAATTTAAATAAAAATACTACATGGAAACACTGGCCAAATAAAATCAACAATTTGTTTCTATCAATGCACACTCAAGTTATCTTATATGTTTGGTTCCCACACGTAAATAGAATGAGAGTTAATTCTCTTGAACAAATTAATCTCACTTCGTGACAATGACAAACACATCCAAGTTTGACAAATGGTCAGAGGAGCATACGTACGGCTTGCAACAGTCAATGAAGAGGGTCTGATATAGAGTACACTATCTCCAATCTGTCCATCTGCTGAGATGCTGCTGCTCATCTGGCTGGTAACCATGGCCTCGTTCATATCTGTGTCTTCCGCAAAGGTGAGGACATAACGGATCTCAATGCTACCACTGGACATCCCAAGGACACGGGATGTGATGAAGGAACTCTCCTCCTCAAAGATGCTGTCCAGCTACAGGTAAAAGTCAGGTTATATATCAGGCAGGAACAATTGAGATGGAAATTATATAGGGTATGGAAATGGCCGAGTTTGGTCAGTCCCAAGCTGGGGTCCAACTGTTCAAGTATCATAACTTCCAGATTTCCAGACAGCATCTGTCTTAACTTCTATAAAGAACGTGCCAGTGGGTTTACATTCAGTACAGAGGGCTTTCAAGGCACAGTCCATTATTGCAGTTATCCAAAGATTGACGGACAAAATTATTGTTCAAATGTATTCTTGGTTAAAAGATGATTATGGAAGTAAAAAATTGTGAAATTCTTCTGTTCTGGCAAACTATCATTCTGAAAAAACAATGAACGAGACCATTTCCAGAGACGAATCTAAAGATGCATTTTTGGAAAATTGCCAATCAGAAACATGTTCAAGCGGGATTCGACGGAGTGTGAGAATGTGTCCCAGAAGCTGCATTCAGACAGAATTCAAAACATGACTCAGCAAGTTTTGATCTCAAATCAAAATCCTAGAAAAATCTTTTCTCAGAACGTACAGCATTTACTGAACTCTGAAAGTTTAGCAGATTTGTTTAGGGGAACTCCATTAAATATTACTTTTATTGCCCAAAGGAACATTATGTACACATGACAATTGATGGACTGCCCCTTTAAGATCTGCCAAGGTCAATCAAGATTATGAAGCAACATCTTACCACACGAGTGACATTACCAGCTATTCTCTGGTACTGCGCTGATGTTGGGTCTTCCAGATCCAAAGTAAACACAGCATCTGAGCTGCCAATACGAGTAATGGCAAAAGAGCCCCTGAACTCTGATGCCGCTGAAAAATTAGCACAACAAAAATCTTAGGAAGTAGAACTATCTGACAGATTCCAACGTGAACACGCTTGGTAGTAGATAATGTTGGTGAATCGTACCAAAGTGCCAGTTGCTCTTTGCATGCTGTCACAACAGGCATGCAGAGCTTCAAACTGGCAGCTTGTACAATCGCGTCAGAATCGCTTCGTCCAATTGTATGGTAATAATTGTGGTATAAAAACTAAGTGCAGCATGCGCAAAATGACATAAGTAACATACACGGGAATCACTGAACTGGCTATATTTATTGTGTAATGCTGCCAAATCGAGGCTCTGCCTGCCTATGGCAGCAGCGCGCAAAGAGCAAACTAAATGCTGACAAAATACTCTTGTGAAATAATACATTTCTTCAAAGGATAGGTACATCAAGCGACAAAATGGGGTAACTATGAATCACGTCACATACTTGCATTTGAAAGTTCAATATTCAGCTGTGATGAAAAATTATACTAATATTGCAATTTTGACCTTCTGCATAGTTTGTCAGTGACTTCTTTTTCCGGAAAGTTTTCAGTTTTGTGCCCTCTTTTCCAACATTTTACGATGAAAAACCTGAAAGTAAAGCTGATTTTTGAAAATACTTGCAGGCCGTATGTGTACAGGATGTGTTGTAACAGACTCAGTTTGTGACCACAGGTGGTATTCCTGTGGGAACCAGCCACGGATCTGATCTGTAGTACGCAATGAAAGAAGGCCCTCAAATGACCGCATATCAAACCAATCTGCGATGTCTTACATATGCAAGAGTCGCCGACCAGAGTGAAGCCAGGAGCACATCCACACAAGTAGCTCCCTTGGAGATTGAGGCAAACACGGTCCGCAGGACAAGGGTCATTCTCCACGCACTCGTTGACATCTGAGATATGGGATTGACACCAAAAATCATTCAAATTTATGAATTTGCAGGTAAAGAAGCTGACAGTAACTTCTTTCACAATCAACTTTAATCATCTCTTTCCAAAATGTTTGGACCGCTTTCAATTCCAATCCAACCCAAGCAAGTCCTGAAATACAACAGTTTATACAAAATACAAGGGAAATAAATGTGGCGGTAATTAAAATGGAAATTGAAGTTTGCGCATTACTTTGTATGACGTTAAAGTTTGCAGCACACGTACCTGTTTCACAGTAGTCTCCTTTCCAGAATTGTGTACACATACAGATGAAGGTGTTACCATCAGGAACACAGCTACCTCCATTGTCACATGGGATATTTTGACAGCTACTCAAACCTGATCAAAGCAAAATAAAGGCTGGTCTAAGCGCTGATGACTGCGGATGGAATTGTCCGATTCCAAACAAGATGATTAAGTCCATCATAGAATAGTTGCATGGCTCTCGTGACTCCGTTGACGAACTCGGAGGGACATCACTTGCCATAAGGTGGGCATATGATCCGAGCACTGAGCATGGGTGACACCAATCAGTACAAAGCTCGCCATCAAATTGGAGTCTATTACAAACCACTCCCTTGCTGCAATCACAGGGTTTGCAGTCAGGTTTTAGTAACAGGCAGCCATCACGTGGCTCAGAGACACCTGACCACTCCAGAGCTGCAGGGTGCTTGTGAAGGACTTGCCAAAATCACTTGATACAATACTGAATTATTCAGGGGTAGGGTTTATAAATTTGAATGTGTTAGTGAAACAACAACATTTGAGATAAAAAACCTCACAATTTAGTTTTCAATCAGCTTATTGGAGCGATTCTCAGGATAAGAAGGTCCTGTTTTGCCACAAAGCAGACTAAGTTTTGCCTCTTGATCCAGACCTAATGTACAACTTGTCATTCCATTCAGCAATTACAGAACTTACTCAGCATGAAGGTTCCAGGTGAGATCTCATTTCCGGAGTCAAACTCATTCTGAACCGGTCTCAAGCCAGAGTAGAATGCACTCGCTATCTCAGTGTCATTAGGAGGCGGGGTACCGGTGAAAAAGATATCAAACTCAACAATGGCCTGGTTACTACCCCCGACTGAGCTTCCTGTCAGCATGATGCCAACAAATTCACTGCTGACCGGGCTCTGTCGGAACAATCGGTCCATCTGAGAGGGAGGAAAAATATAACTGAATTGAGATAAACTACTTTGGGAAACTTCCCCTAGAAGCTCTGGAAGTTCACGGCATTTTCACGGGCCACACAAATATTCTCACTATACCTTCTAGAAGAGGCATACTTACATCATCTCTGAGTGCAGGTAGTCTAGTCTGAATGTCACTTTCAGAGAACGGACGGGGCATGGAACCAATACTGACCAGTTCTACTCTACCGTCAGTCTCATAGGTTGCTGCAATGCAACAGACAAGAAGAACATTTATTTTAATGAATATTTACAGATCTCATCTTCTTTGAGTGTTTTTATATTTATCTGGAATTCTCCAGAAAAAAAAAACAGAGCAAGAAAAACATCATTTTCATATTTGAAACAAACTTAACCAGTTTTAGCAAAAATTCTACGTTCAATCAAACTTTCTTCTGAACCAAGAGAAAAACGAATTTCGAAACTGCCAATTAATAAGAAAAGTGTTTCATTTAATATCAAAAGAGACTGTGTGGCAAGTGAACAGAAACTCGAAGGTCACACAAGTTTAATACAATGAAGGTAAAATTGAGTCGAAAATGAGGAATGAGATCACATGGTCAACTTACGGAGTGTTTCAAGCACCACGACAGAGAAGGAGCAAGTGTCGGCATTGCCTGCTGAGTCGGTTGCTGTGTATCTGACCAAGGTAGATCCTGAACTGAATGCATCGCCAGGATCCTTGTTGGAAGTCAAAGTAACATTGCTCGTGTCATTGGCTGTTGGCAGTGTCCAGTATACAGCTGCTGTGTTGCTCGTGGACAAGATGTAGACAGTTTGGCCAGATGGGCAGTTCATGATGACAGGGTCCCCGCGATCTGGGAATAAAATGCCCCAAAAGTACTGAATGTGAAAGAAATTCAACCAGAACTAGCTGTGCTGGATAACCTCTGTTGCCTGGTAGGGTTAACTCTCCACATCAAAAGTGCTTCCTGCTTTATTTTAACAGTGAGGCTGTCAATACATAAATGGCGACCTCTGCTGCAGCTGCCTCACCATTTGGAACGCATCTCTCTCTTTTTCGAGATAGAAAACTCTTTTCTGTGCACGACGCTGATGCCAGATGAAGACCAGGTGTGAAAAAAACTAAATAAAACTAGAACGGCACATTGAAATCGAACTGGACTCCTTAACTTGCAGTCTGAGCAGACACGCAATTTTTTTACCTTCGACAGTGATGACAAAGACACAGTCTGTCGATTGGCCAGCAGAGTCGTAGGCTGTGTAGGTCACCGTCGTGCTACCAATGCCAAACTGGCTCCCTGGTGCATGGCTACCGACCAAAGATGGATTACTGCGATCATCAGAGGGACTAGGGAAGGAGAAACTAACTGTAGCATAGGACTGACCAGGATCTGTAGACACCGTAGTGCTTGGTGGACAGGCAGTAAACACAGGAGGGGCATCATCTGAATTCAAACAAATGAAGAGTTTCAGTTCAAGACAGACCTATCACCAAAGTGAGACATCTTATGAGTTATCTTCAATACGAGTTCAAAAAGCTCACTGACAGAGCGACATCCTGGCAGGCCAGGTTGTTTTAAGGAGTAAACGCAACAGTACTTCAACGGCTTTGCAAAATTTGCCAATTATTAATTTTGAACAGGCAGCAGACAGAGTATTCAGCTCTTCGTTTTGATCTCTCGTGTCATCTTGAGGAATAGAGACATTACATGAACAAAACAACACATTGACGGCAATGCATTGCAAAATGCAGGCATGCACTTTTAACCAAACAAACCAAAATTTGCAATTCATTTGACTTACTCTCGATAGTAATGGTGAATTCACAAGTTTGCGAGTTTCCACTGGGATCGGTGACTGTGTAGATGACGTCATATGTTCCAACATTCAACATTTCTCCTGGTGCGTGGTTATCATTAGTCATAATGGAATATTCCCCGGAATTGTCCGTGGCTACGGGTGGAACCCATGTGACCGTGAATGGAGCATTGTTCAGAGTGACCTCTGTGATGTCTGAAGGACAGCCTTCAATTACCGGTGCTTCTCGATCTACAGATAAATTGGGGAAAAAATATTACAGCTTGCTCTGCAGAGGACTTCGTTTGGATTGCAGTACGTGGTGGATAGCCACAGTCTCTGAAGCATGTTAAAGGCCTTCTGCAAAATGTCTTGCTGTTAAAAAATCATCCTTAACTGTGTCACAAGTGGACTTTAGGGTTCCAAAAAGTAAAATGTCCAAGTAGCTGAGAAGCTTGAGAAATCCTGAAGACAAAAAGGAGTGTTGTTGTATGACCGTCCAATCTTAACAAGCAGAGAGCTACTCCATCCACAAGTCAAACAGTGAAGCAGTGGCGAATGATAGAGAAGTCAGCTTCCTGTATTCAGGTCATGAATTGGACACTAACACTAAATGGTGGCCAAACGGGTTTTAACAGACGAGGAAGTGGGCTTCTGAAGCATTAAAAGATTAGAAAGATTTGCCGAGTACCTGTGACAGTGATGTTGAATTCACACGTGGCTGTTTGTTGACTGGAGTCTGTGGCAATGTAACGGACTGTCCAGGTTCCCATAGTAAATTGGCTGCCTGGTACGTAACCATTGGCCTCGATCACGATGGGAGAACTGTCGTCATCGACTGCCTCTGGTACCATCCATGAGACCGTGGCATAGGCCAGCTGTGCTGTGGTGTTGACTTCGATGTTGGATGGACAGGTGGTAAAGACTGGTGGTGCGTCACCTGTGGGCATGAAGGACAGTGATACATTGTGAAAGCAGCAATGTAAAGTGGATTAATGGACATTTTGTCTACTTCCTCAACATCTACAGTTTAATTTCCTGGCATATTGAACAATGTTCAACATCCAGCTTCAATACGTCAAATAGAACATTTCAATAATACTACAGTTGGTTTACCTGTGACATTGACAGTGAAATTACATGTGTCCGTGTTGCCGGCTCCATCCACTGCAGTAAAAATGACAGGAGTTTGACCGACTCCAAACGTTGATCCAGACTGGAAGTTGGCAGATACATTGGCCTAAAATCACAACCAAATTGAGACAGAAATCCAATCAGGGATATATGCTTTTCAGTCCGTCAAGAAAAGGGATAGGGATGTTATTCTATTAGTCTTATATTAATATGATAATTGCCTAGTACCTAAAATGAAGCTGAACATTGAGATGCCTAATAAAAGCAAACTACACGGAAATTGAGACCCCTGTACCAGCTGAAAATTGTCAACAGTGCACACACTAACACTTTTGATGTTTGTAAGTAATTTGCCCTCGCCACCTTTTGTGAAGCAAACTCACCTCTCCTGAGTTATCTTTAGCCGTCGGTGGATTCCAGGTTGCGGCAACTGCTGACTGCGACGGAGGCAGCAACATGTTGATATCTGGCGGGCAGTTCATAAGTTCTGGGCTCTCCTCATCTACCAAAAACATAAGCAACTCTCCATCAATGAAATTCTCAAAGCCTCTTCACAGGTGCTTTCCAGCAAAGTTAAGCTGCACTAAAAAGAAACTCACTCCCTAGAGCAAATGTCACTGACAGTGGGTTGATAAGGATTGATGAATGTCACTGACTGTGGGCTGATAAGGTTGGATGATATATGTCTTTTAACTGTGAGATGGACTGTGATGGTTGGACTATGAACCATCTAGACATGGATATGCAACTGTACACATACAAAGGCATGGACATACAATCTTATAACATGACTTTAAGCACTCCTTCCCGCAAGGAGTAGACGTGATGTTGACTGCAGCTTGGTGTGCATGACATCATTGTCATTCATCAAAGACACTGTCTTGCACTGCTACGGTTGGCAGTGTTATGTAATCCAGTGATACACATTCATGTAATGTCTCTTTTGGCACTTTATCGGCAATAATGTGCATTGAACCGGCCGTGAACTGAAGTTGCACATCCCTGTGTATAAAATTGGTCCATTGTTGAACTGCTGTGCTTGATGATTTGGGCCCGACCCCAAGCTTAGATAGCCTTGTTGTCATTCAGTATTCATCAAACCACCGACAGGAAAGTTGTGCACTACAGTGTGGAAAAACTGGAGTCCGAAAGGAAACCACTGGATACTGTTAATGACAATGTGATACTCGTTCAACAAGGTGGACATTAACATTCTCGTACCTCGGACTGTTACAAAAAAGATGCACGTGTCAGTCTGACCCAAGGAATCAGTGGCAGTGTACGAGACTGATATGTTGCCAACAGGGAAGACATCACCAGGGTTCCTGATTCCTGTGACAGTAGGAGTGCTCTCTCGATCTGTTGCCATGGGAACCGTCCATGTGACCGAGGCATTGTAGAGTCCTGCCTCAGTGGGGACGACCTGATCCGATGGACATGATACAAACATTGGCGGCAGATCGTCTGGATTAGAAGAAGAAAAAAAAACAGACTATGTTACCAACCGCAACACTTCCAACACAGACTCTCGACAACATGGTCAACCATTCCACGACAGTTACCTCCAATCGTTGCATTGTAGATTGTGACGAGGAACGAGCAAGTTGCCACATTGCCAGCGGCATCTTCAAATTGGTATCGGACGGTTGTCTGGCTACCCAGGGCAAACGTGTCATTTGGCACGTGTGAAGACGAAGAATTGACCACGCCAACGTTGTCAGAGGCCGTTGGAGGTGTCCAGTCCACGACAACATCTTCTGTGGCATTCAGTGCAACGTTCTCGGGACAACCAGTAATTTGTGGCTGGATGTTATCTATGGAGGCCAAAGATTAGGGGTAAACAGGTCAAAATTGGGTCAGCTAACTGAAGACCAACGGAATTGGCTAATCCAATGTGTTCCACTGACTGTTCTTTTTTTTTCTCTCTGAAATTGGAGGATTCAGCTGTTTGTCAGTCCTGAATCCTCCAGTTCTAATACAACTTCACACACCCTTGGAAGCAAGGATCAAACTGATGTTTATTTTTCACGATAGCTTTGGTATTTAAGGAACTACCTCCAACAGTGACGTTAAAGCTGCACGTAGCAGTAAAGCCAGCGCGGTCTGTAGCTACGTAGGTCACTAATGTTGCACCCAGGGGGAAAAAGTCTCCACTATTTCCATCCGCCAAAAAGCTGACCAACTCCTCATTATCGTCTGCTGTAGGCTCTGTCCAGTTGGCTTGACCACTGGACTGGCTGGGGTCAGTTGACACCGTGAAACTGTCCGGGCAATTGGAGATAGACGGTGGAGTTCCATCTGTCGAGAGAAAAACAGACAAGGAATTTTGAAAAATTCGTCTGTGTAAAAAGCTTGAGCATACAAAACATGGTCCTATTCCACAGGGTTTTAAAGTTAAAATCAATCAAGTTGACTTTTTCACTTTTTTCTTGAGGTAAATGTTGCACACTTTTTCATTTCTGATTCCGACAAGTAACAAACTGCCTCACTCACCAATGATGGTCACATTGAAAATGCAGGTATCAGAATTCAACGATCTGTCCTCCACAGTGTAAGTGATCAGAGTCGTAGTTCCAAGCGCTAAAGGCTGACCATTATAGTCAGAAGTGATCGTCGTGTTCCCAGTGTTGTCAGTGGCATTAGGTGCTGGCCAGGATGGGACAGCGAAAGAGCCGTTGGTTGATGTTGCAAAGTCCAGGGAAGCCGGGCAGAAGGTGAAGACAGGTGCCTCATTGTCTAGCAGGGGAAAAAAAATTGTTGTATTGAGTGGCGTGATTTAAGTTGAGTAGGCCGACAAGTGTGTAGCAGCTTGTCTAAATGCTACAGACATCAGTGACTGGAATGTGCTATGAGTTACAAGTATATGTACAATGTAAATGTCAAAGGTCACAGCATTAAGCTGGTCATTTCCAAATCACCTACCTAACACCACAACAGTGAAAGTACATGTTTCCGTGTTCCCAGCAGCATCGGTGGCTGTGTACGTCACTTCGGTCCTTCCAGCTGGCATCGGATCTCGGGGCTCGGCAGTCGATTCAAATGACACCAAGCCAACATTATCCGATGCGGTTGGAGCAATCCAGAATGGATTAGCTACAGAAGCCCCCATGGCTAGAGTAGCGACGGTGGTGAGGGGACATCCGGTGATCTGTGGAGCTTCAGCATCTAAGAAGTGAAGACAAACAGCATGCTCTGATGTTAACAGTGCTCAAAATAATTTCAAGTGCCATTCATTAATGTGAGGCGAGTGCAACAGGCAAATGAAAGTAGGATATGTGGCCAAGTGCAGTGGAGCTCAAATCCACAGACAAACCTTGCACAATGATGGTGAATTCACAAACTGTCACAAAGCCCTGGTTATCAGTTGCTGTGTAGTTGACAACGATGTCTCCGACTGGGAGTGTCAATGGTGGGGTATGACTGGCCACAAAACTGACCACTTCTTGGTCGTCTGAGGCCGATGGTTCTGTCCAGTCGGCAACACCTGTGGCCATGTTTTGGGTGGTGTTCACAACAAAGCTGGGAGGACAGCCTGCAATCTTGGGGGCAACAGCATCTGCAGAGAGAAATTTTTAAATCCCAATTTTAAAAAAAAAGGGCCAACCTCAAACCCAAACAGTGGACGACAACAACTTTTCAGTTATGATGGAAGCCGAGAGTACGAATCAATCGAGAACGAAGCCTAGAAAAACCACTGCTTGCTGTACCAACTGAAACCTGTCCACGTGATTTCTGCAAGACTCACCCACTATGGTGACGCTGAAGCTGCACGTCGCTGGGTTACCAGACGAATCTACCGCTGTGTAGGTTACCAAAGTGGTCGTATTCACATCAAACGCCCCACCCGTGTAGTCAGAGGTGACATTAGGGGGGCCAGCGTTGTCCGTGGCAACAGGAAGGTCCCAAGATGGGACGACAGACAAGTCTCCAAGATTTCTAGGTTCAAGGTGATGTCATCCGGGCAGAAGGTGAAAACGGGTATCTCAATGTCTGGGAGGGGTATGCAAAATAAAAGACTTTGCTCACTCCTGTCACTGTGATTAATTACGAGGAAAGCAGACAAGTTGAATAAAACAACTCTGAACAAATGCAACAGCTTGGGATTGAAAGAAACCACACCAAGCAGAAACAAACAGATTAAACCCTCCTTTTGCTGTAACCGTCAAAAACAGTCAAAAATTCCTTCCACTTCCCATGTGCAGTACATAGACATATCGTGTTACTTTACTGATTTTGACTGATAGGACAACTGTGTTGAGAATGCATCTTTGCACAGAAGGATTTTAAGGTGATAATAAATTTAAACGTACAAAAATTTGTTACAAAAGACAGCATGAATGTCTGAACAAATGCCCAGAACTTTCATGGAGACAGTTGGACTTGTATTTCCTATGAAGCTGTAAGATGCCACAAAGGAAAGATACGAGGTTACAAAGAGTCCAATTAATGCGAGGCCTCAAGAGGAAGACCTATCTCCACGGCAAACTGTCCGACTTCCTGTTATGCCAAAAACCTACCCACAACTGTCACTTCAAACGAACAGTTGTCCGAATTGCCACTCTGATCGGTGGCAGTGTAGATGACGATGGATACACCGATAGGGAATTCATCATTGGGCTGGTAGTTGGAATCCAACGCCACGCTCCTCATGGAGTTATCAGATGCTGATGGACTGGGCCAGAACACTGTGGCATTAGGTTTGCCCAGTGAAGTCGAGCCTCCTAGGGTGTTGGGACAGTTTGTGAGGACTGGCGGTTCCACATCTGTGTGGTGCGAAGAGGTGATGGGGGGAGGGGGGAAGGAATGTATGGGGAGGAGCAAAATATGCAGGGAGGGAGGTTGTAGAATTTGTGTCCAGGAAGGAGGGTTGATACCAAAACGAGAAAATCTATTAGTCTGACTTCCAATTCTCTCCGATATCATATAATAGTTAAGACCACGTAACTCTTCAGATGTTTTAAGTTATTGCTTGTTTAAGGTATTCAACATTTTCTCACCCTCCACGGTGACATTAAACTGGCATACAGCTGTCAACCCCAGACTGTCCGTGGCAGTATAGGTAACCTCAGTTGTTCCGATGTCAAACACATCACCAGAGTTGAAGTCAGATGTGAAGTTGACTACTCTTACGTTGTCATCGGCGACAGGCGCTGTCCAATTGGCTTGGCCCGTTGCCAAGTTGGGTGTGTTAGGGACAGTGACGTCATCAGGACAATTCATGATGGTTGGCGCTGTTCCGTCTATGCATTCACACAAAAAATTACACATCAAGTTCTAAAAATGACTATTTCAGTTTACAATGTTTTCAATACCTCTACAGCAACTCTAGCAGACCCAGTAACTACACTTTGACACAAGTTACTTCTGGAAAACTCACGGTTATACACTGCTGCTACATTTTAAAAGTTTGAAGAATCCAGTCAAGCATCAGTGCTGATTAACCACTTCACGCTGGGCCCATTTATCGATGTGGATTCTGCTGGGCCGGGTAATTTTTCATTTTTTTAAAATTCTGTGAAAATTCACAACTTTATTTACTGGACGTTTACATCCACATGAATGACTGTCTTGTGGCTACTCCAATCTGACAGATAACATCTACTGACACCCGAGTATTTCAGCCAGGCCAGCTGCCTTGTAAAAAGAGCCCAGATTGTGCAGTGTAACGTAATTTTCTTTTGTTCCCGAAACCGGCACAGTGCACGGCTGGTGTCTTTTCAATAGGGGCCAGATTAGAATGCAGCGGTATTGTATCGCTCATCACTGGAGTGCTTTTGTCCCTGATGGTAATTCGCGAGCACTGAATGCCACAAACAGTGGTATAATCTTTCAAAACAATGACGGATTTCCTCCGCTATTGACTACTGAAAAATGTTAGCAATAACCAACAGCTTGGTCTTTTGTTTCCAAGTATGGTCTTTTGTTATAAGGCCCAGCTCTTTTGTCCAATTTCGGGCTCCCCGGCTTTGTGTATACAGCCTATGTGCCCGAAACTGGGTACCCCGGTACAAGAAGCTTCGGGCAACCAGTGTTGTATTCGAGTCCATCACAGGTCCTTTCGCAAGTCCCTTCACAAGTCCGGTCACAAGTCCAGTCACAAGTCCTTTCGCAAAGCCAGTCTTTGGCATGAGGGTGAACAATTACAAGAGAATGCTTTGTCACAGCTCATTTGAATAACTTGTGAATTGGCTTCAGACTGAATGGCTTTTGATGGACTTGTAAGGGACTTACAGGGACTTGTGAGGGACTTACAGGGACTTGTGAGGGACTTACAGGGACTTGTGAGGGACTTACAGGGACTTGTGAGGGACTTACAGGGACTTGTAAGGGACTTACAGGACTTGTGAGGGACTTACAGGGACTTGTGATGGACTCGAATACAACACTTCAGGCAATGTCACTTGAACTTGATTGGATCTGCTTCTCTTTTTCTCGGAGTTTAGCTTCCAAGAAAAAACATGAAAAAAAGGGAGGCTTTCACTCACCAACAACCGTTATATCAAACATACAGATGTCCATGTTATTGAAAGCATCCACGGCTGTGTATGTAATGGTGGTTACCGTGCCAACCATCAATGGCTGACCATTGTAATCATTTGTCACCGTCGGAGGTCCTGCATTATCAGTTACGTTTGGCATGTCCCACATTGGAATGACGTAAGAACCATTTGCGCCCGTTGTTATCTCCAAATCAGCCGGGCAGAATGTAAAGACCGGATCCTCCACATCTGGGAAATCAGGAAAAGGGAGATACGTGAACTTGGTACCCAATAATTCATGATCGCAGTCAATACAATTTATTTTGTGACTGCTGCAGTCCACCCAAACTAACTTCATTATAATCCATTAAGGTTGCACTCACAAGTCAATGAGTGTGACATTGACTGCATAAATTACAGACGAAGAGATAAAAGAAGAATATTAAGAGCAAATTTGGCTAACTGATGGACAACTAGGACACTATGAGATCTTCAAGATTAAAACATGTTTCATTAACCCAACCACCCAAAACCGTCCAATAGGTAAGTAGGGTAAAGCATAGTTGGAGAGGAAGTAGTGGGAATGACTGGTCTGAAGGTACAGGTCAGCTCCTTCCTGATGCGAAGCAGAGGGAGGTGATCTAGCTGACCTACAAAGAGGGCCAAATACCTACAACTTTCTGGCAATAAAGTACGCTGAATTTGTTTTACACTGCACCTCATAAAATTCTTTATGAGCAAATTGACAAAATAACAAATTCAAGGTTAACACATGATTTACTTCTGAACTTCAGAGCTCAGTGCCTCTGACAAGCACTAAAACAGACTGGCTCTGTTAAGATTACATGCCACAAACTGCACGAACATAAGGCAGGTTTTCAGAGGCAAGTTTTGGTGCTACCAGAAAAACTCCTACTGCACAGCAGTGAGATGGACACTCAACTGAGATGTCACCGCAGCATGTATCAATTCTACTTATCGGACATGAGGCAAAATATCGGCCACTGTTAGGCTGCAATTTGCTCATGAATATTTATAAGGTGTAATAATAATGTCTACTCAGTGAAGCCTCTTGATAGAAAATATCTACCATCTTCCATTGTTGAACTGCCTTTTTTTTTACCTGCCACAATGGCGTCAAATTCGCATCTTGCCACATTGCCTGCGGCATCTACAGCAGTATAGACAACCTTCCGGGAGCCAACTGGTAACACGTCATTTGGCTGGTAGTTGGAGTCGAAGGAAACGACGCCAACGTTGTCATTAGCTGTTGGTGCAATCCAAAACACACTGCCATTATTCGCCCCGGGACTGCTCGTTCCAACTGCATTGACGGGACAAATGGAAATCGTCGGCTGCTCTTGGTCTGCGGAATAAAAGAACCAGTGAAGAATCAGGTTTACATCTTGTTTGGAAAAGGGGATTTTATTGTTTCGGTCAGCTTAAGCAGACTTTTGGAGATAGTTAGATACAGTTCGACTCAATGGAAAAGTAAATGGTCAACCTTCGGTGGTTAAAAAACTTTAAACGAAAAGTCAGAGAAAGTTGTTCTAAAACCAACAAAGGTTGTTTGAAGACCCAGGCTAAACATCAAGCAACTGGCACAGTTCCCTGGGTAGGGTCCTGCAATTTCTCTTTTTTACCTTCAACAGTGACATTGAACTCGCACTGGGCAGTCAGGCCCACAGAATCCACAGCGGTGTATGTAACCTTAGTTGGACCAAGCGTCAAGTTGGTCAGTGGCTGCACATCCGGCTCAAAGCTAACCAGTTGATAATTGTCCGTTGCCGTGGGCTCTGTCCAGTTAGCCAGAGCCGTAGCCAAGCCCGGATCCGTGGAAATGACCATATCCATGGGGCAGCTGAAAATGGCTGGTGGAGTTCCATCTGGTAAACAATGGAGAAGGAAATACCCTTTAATAGCTCTAGCTTTCCCAAAAACCTAAATGCACCAATAAAGCAATTAAGAAGTTCTTTTTGGCATGTCTACATTTCAAAGACGTTGGGTTTATGAAATGATGTGTATACCAACAATAGTCGGGGTGTACAGTTCTAAAATCAACCAAGACACCGCAAAAACCAGATGTTGGATTTTGAACGACTGGTGGTTCCATAGTAGCCATAGTAACATTCAACAAGTAGTTTTTTGGTCCCAATGTGTTTTTCTGTTGACCTCGAGGAAAAACAAAAATTGTTGGCATTTGCAGTGGATGTTGACATTTGCCGGCAAATTCAACTAAATATTTAGCCAGCTACAAGTAGATAGCCCCCTCTTTGGTATATATACACACGAGAATGACTTTTGAAGGTTATAAATTTCTACTAAACTCCAAGTAGGGTGATTTAGTGGGTTGCACACGTCTTGAGATCACCATGCACTCCGAGCTGCATTCGATCCCCAGCTGTTGTCCATTGTTTTTTCACCCCCAAACTTAAACATTTTCTTCTTTTGTGATCTTTAAATCAACTACAACATTAAATTACAGAACATTCAAGTTTCTATTTCTGATTTATGGAACTGGAGAAATTTTAACGGCAAAACGTCCAAAATCGTAACATGGTCTGAATCCCGCCTTGTGAATACAAAGTCACAATGACGATGTTGGCGCAGAACCAGACTAAGATCTGTCACAGCAAGAGTTTTAAGTCCTAAAAAGCAATTACCGTGCATGTATTCGGTGAGGTATCGCTCAGTTAAATTTGCCGTTAACAGCTAAATATCTACTGCCAGAACAAATGCAAACATAGTTTTTTTATATAAACCTGTTGAAGAGTTTCAATTAATGCATTCTAAATCCTCTCCCCTTTATTTTGCATAAGCCAATGGAACTTTTTGATCATTAATACAAATGGACGAAGTCAAGAACTCCTTTACCTACAAAATTGTTTGCTATTACACTCACCGATGACAGTGATGTTGAACATACAGGTGGCTTCATTACCAGCCTCATCAACTGCAGTAAATGTTATCAATGTTGTGGAGCCAACTGCCAGCCTGGTCAGATTGTAGTCACTTGTCAGCATCGGTGGGCCAGCATTATCAGTGGCATTGGGCATACCCCAGGTAGGTACAACAATTGCACCGTTGGCGTTAGTGGTAAACTCAATGTTTGTGGGGCAAAATGTGAACGATGGATCCTCACCATCTAAGACAGAAAGAGAGTCAAGCAGAGCATCACCAATGGGTACAATTGCTAGCATATGTCTAAACTTAGGGGTAATTATAATGAGAGAGTTGTCGCTGGTGACACCTAAAATTAGTATGCGAGTTTGAAAATCTAATTACCAACAACAGTGGCATTAAACGAGCAGCTCTCGGTATTGCCTGCAGCATCGATGGCTGTGTATGTCACCAGGGTAGGTCCGATGGGGAACAGATCCGTTGGTTCGAAGTTGAAAGTCAAGTTTTTCACACCAACATTATCGGTAGCAACTGGGACTACCCAAAACATGGTACCAGTGGCCAGTGCAGGGGAGGTGCTACCAACGACATTTGACGGACATGACGTAAAGACTGGGCTTTGGTCATCTGTAAGAGCAAATAATATTAACAAAATGCCAAGGGTTAAACAAAAAGCTAAAGATGAAAAAAAATGCTAGAAACTTGGGCGTCAAAGAGTCATAGTTTCAGGAAATAAGAGATGAACTGAACAGAGCCATTCACAAACTATTTATTGGGATTACAAGAAAAACAGCAAGAAGACAGACTTCTTTGATTCCTACCTGTGACAGTTACAAAGAAATCACAACTTGCATTGTCTCCATTAATCCCCCTGACGGTATATACGACTACAGCCCGACCCACTTCAAATGAACTATTGATAGGGCGGGTGGAAGTCAGATCTGCCGTAATGCTGGCGTTGTACATCGGTAGCGGCCATGACACTAGGGTGCTGTTGGAATCCAGGTCAGCGGGGACACGGACATCTGGCGGACAGGCTATCATGAGCGTATTCAGAGCTGATCCGACCAATAAAATGAAAACAAAACGGTGGTGTCAAGTCTGGCTAGTCCATTACTCGATAAACAGATTTCATGCACAAAGAAAATTTGTTCTTCCTTGGGAAGAGGCAATTTTAGGAATCAGTGAAATATTGGCTATCGAGGCAGATCATTTGACATGACTTCTAACCTCATCGAAGTTCATACTCACCAAAAACGGTCACATTGAAGGAGCAACTGGCCGTGTTTCCATATGGATCTGTCGCTATGTAGATGACAGGAGCTGTGCCAATAACAAACTCTCCCTGTGTTCGTGTCAGTGCTGTGACATTGACAGAGCCCGAGTTATCCTCGGCAACAGGGTCTGTCCAGTTCACAAATGTCATATTGCCATCTCCAATAACGATTCCTTCCTGATCCGAGGGACAAATGGAGAACATCGGTGGCTCTTTGTCTGGTGAGAAAATAATGGCAATTAGCAAACGAATAGGATGATAAACATCACACTAATTGGAGAACGTCTGATTTAAAAGTAAAACTAAAACTAATTCAATATAAAACAGCAATTTCAAAGATGGCAAAAATAGGGAGGCATACTCAAGCACAGATATTACACCAGACCTGAGACCTACCAACAACGATGACTTCAAAATTGCAGCGTCCAATGTTGCTGTCTGGGTCTATTGCTACAAACATCACCGGCGACGAACCAATTCCAAAAGAGTCGCCCGATCGGCTGGCGCTGGTTGGAGTTATAGTGGCACCACTGTTGTCAGTGACAACCAACGGGTCCCAGGTGACGACGGCCATATTGCTACCTGGATCTGTCTCCGTGGTGATGTTGACAGGGCAATTTTGAAAGACAGGATCTTCATCATCTGGGGGCATACAACAGAGACACTCAAACTTGACAGCACGAACATTTTGGTTCTTGTTCAAATATCAAACTGCCAGAATAAGACAAACTTTGCACACAGACTTTTCTATTTTTTCTGATAACATTAATATCTGTTTGAAAAGTTTTCGAAAAAAGTACACACATAATTTAATAACTACAATTAAACTTGAGAAAACATCTGAGAGCCAATATGTGAAACTGGACAGTATGATTATTCATGTAAATGAAATGCTGACGTAAACCGTGAAAGACGTACTTTGCTGAAATATTAGGCCACTGTTTCCTCTTTTTTGGCTTACCAATTACTGTGATGGTAAAGGTACACGTGTTGTTGTTGCCTGCAGCATCAGAAATCCTGTAAGTCACGTCCGTCATTCCCAGCGAAAAGTTGGCATTAGGTTGGTGGGTCGACTCAAAGACAGTCACATCGGCATTGTCCATGACAATAGGAACTGTCCAGTTGACAGAGGCTCCAGGTCGACCAGGATCGTTTGAAACAGTTATATCACTCGGACAAGTCACAAACACTGGTGGCACATTGTCTGCAAGGATGAATGAAATAACCATTTCAAATGACCAAGTAGCAAAAGTGGCAATGAAAAAGGAAGGGTGGAAGTTCTTGAGCACACACTCGGGAAATAGGCAAACCTAAATGAATACAACAGAACAGGTGTTTTCGTTGGTCAGAGTTTACAATCGCAAGGGGTAAACAGTCCCTGGATCCCTGTAAATCCAAGCTGCAATTTGAACATGTTGATTTAATGATTGAGCAGGATCTTACCAATTACTTCAACATAGAAAGTGCAGCTCTCCACGTTGGTGTTTCCGGATGTGTCTGCGGCGATGTAGGTAACTTCAGTGACACCAACCGGGAACAAGGTACTGGGATCTCTGGTCGGAATCAGAGATGCCACCTCAACGTTGTCCACAGCCTGAACAGCCGGCCACGTGATATTTGGTAGGGAGACATTCTCCACGATGCTAAAGTTGTTGGGACAATTCAGAATTACAGGCGGGGAGAGATCTGGGAACATTGAAGACAAGAGGTGTGAATCAGGGAGGGGCATAATCAAGATTTTGACTAAAAAGTATACCACCACCAAGACACAGTGACTGGCAATGTGTGGCCTACTCAGAAGGGCTTGTTTATGGATAAAGTGTACAAACTGGACGGTGCCAATGCGGTGTGAAGTTTCTATTCGCGCCTTGATCTGTGGCACGTAATCACTTCAAGACATCTAAGTGATGCCTGTCATACTTATTCACATTTCAATCTTGTTTCTGTGCTCTATCAGATCAACATGTTAAATTCTTTCCCGACACTGAGAACGGCAACAAGTAGCTGGCAACAGTCCCGACTTACCAAAAACAGTGACATTGAAAACACAACTGGCTGAGTTGCCGGCTGCATCGGTGGCATTAATCACAACTTCTGTGTTGCCAAATGGAAATGCATATCCTGGGAAGTACTCCTGAGTGACAGTGAAGTTGCCGCTGTTATCAGAAAACACCGTTTCATTCCAGGTTGCTGTGGCATTGGTGCTACCGTTGTAGAGGTACAACTCAATGTTACTGGAACAGTTGAGTAACGTGGGAGGTTCCGAGTCTGCAATGATATCAAATCAAGAACATCAAAAGTGAGACTGAAATGAAACAACAAGAATCTTGAAGTTATGTCAATTTAACATAAAATCTCAATAACTAGAATTTCTGGGAGTGGAGCAAAAACTCAAGTTTTCTGAATTTCAAGCCAATAAAAGTTTCTGAGTCACAGATAACAGCAAGCCAACAACATGTATGTACTACATGGAATCAAAATCAACTCACTCTGTGGTGGAAATGTCATGTGGGTCATTCTATAAATCTGGGGTCCAATTTTTTTCCCATCCCTCTTATGTCTGACATTTTATTTTTAATGTTTAGAACTCACTGTTTCATTCCCAAGACTGAATAAGTACTGCAAATTTCCTGCTAAAACAAATAAAAATAGTTTGAAATCAATTTCAGTGACACATCCCTTGTCAAACGTGTCAGATGGTATTAAACAGGGATGAAAATATGTCCATTTTGGACCCCAAATTTACAGAATGAGCCATGTGGCAATTTCCCTTTTCACTCACTCTAAAGTGCATAGTTTTGCTTACAAATCATCACTTTTCTAAGATTTTCTGTTGTTACTTAGAGTTGCCTCTTCTATTAATAAATAAGCAACAAAAGAATAAACACTGTACTTTCATTTTAGCAAAACTTTTGTGTTTTTAATCTACCATGGTCATAGGGCGGTGGACAATTTGACCTTTCCTTTTGTGGTCACATGACTACCACAAAGTGAGTCACTGGGATGCATGCAAGCATAGGCTGGATCTGTGGTCACAATCAGGCTAGCTTGAGAGCCAGGATTTGTGGCTCTACTTTGGTTTATGCAGCATGTGGGCAAGGGGTCCTACTGTGAAAAGAGGAACTGTGCTTGGCAGTGATGACTCGTAACTCTCGTCCATGTTCCTTTATTAGAACACTTTACTGACACACTTTGATGGTTTACCTTCAGCAAAGATTGTGAAGTTACAGCTAGCAGTGTTTCCACTTTCGTCCTCAGCTGTGAAGACAACAATACTCCCCCCGTACGGGAACTCAGTGCCCAAGGGGTAGTTACTGGTAACATTGATGGGTCTTCCTGAGTTGTCAGTGACGTTGGGCGGGGACCAGAGATAAACTCTAGACTGGCTGGCCAGAAGGACGACATCAGATGGACAGCTCACAAAGAAAGGATCTTCGTCATCTAATTGGGAGAGCGAGTGCAAAATAAATTAATTGCAACGAGAGCCGACAATCCAGAAATCATCAACTTGTAGAAATCTCTTCAAAAGAGCAGTGCTCAATGTACATCTGAGAAATGATTTCTTTCAGTTCCACAAGAAACACCAGGGTACAATTTTTTTCAGAGAATAAAAGCAATTCATAGGTGCAATTTCTATTAGACACTCCTTTCACATGCCGCAGTTTGGTGTTTGGTATTCTTATATATGAGACGTTCAGGTATTTTGCCTGCTGACATCAGAAAATGTGCTGCTCACCTAGCACAGTCACGTTAAAAGAGCAAGATGCGTTGTTTCCCATTCGGTCGGCAATGAAATACGTGACTTCGGTGGTCCCCAGGAAGAACTGACTACCGTTCTGATAATCAACCTCAATAACAGTGACTTCCTGGTTGTCACGGTACTCGGGAGCCTCCCAAGTTACATTGGTGTAGTTAACTCTTGGGTCAGTAGTTCTGATGACGTTTTGCGGGCAGATGATGATGGGCACTTCAGTGTCCGTTGCTGTAAAAAAAAAAAATTCCCAATCAATTTTACAAAAAATAGCACTCTTCCCTGCAATGCGTTCCTTTGAGTCTCTTGAAATTCTTGAAGGGAATTTATCAAATATTTATTGATCAACTATCTGGTATCCCAGTACATACTTTCTAGTAAAAGTTGGCAACTTATACAAAGCCTTTGACCCACTCTTTGAACCCTAAAAATGAGTTGCGACTACTCACGGTAGACGATGACACTGAATGTACAGTTGGCAGTGTTTCCAGCCCGGTCGGTGACTGTGATTGTAATGTAATGGGTGCCGACTGCAAACTCAGAGTTGAGTGGACGGTTTGAGTTCACTGTGAATATGCCCGAGTTATCATTAGCTATAGGCATACTCCAATTGAGACGAATGGTTGTACCGTTGTCTGCGAAAACTTCAATGTTCCTTGGGCAAACAACCGTCGGATCCTCGACATCTACATGGAAGTAAAGAAAAATCCTTTTGAATTGCTGCATTTACTAAAACACATAAAAGACAAAGCTACTGAGTAAAAGAACTCCCCTTGGCAGAGACCAATTTTCAGGGAATTTCTATCAAGTTTTACTCATCCGATGAAATCGTCAAATACTTCCGAAACTGATCAACTTACCAAGGACATTAACGGCGGTTGTGCATGTTTCAACATTGCCCGCACCATCTATTGCGCCATAGGTGACAGTGTTGACACCAATGCTGAACAAGCTGTTTGACGGGATGTCATCCGTCAGTGTCACAATGCCAGTGTTGTCAATAGCCGTGGGTTGAGGCCACACAACGTAAGCCATTTTGGTTCCCAGACTTGCATTAGCATACACTTCAGCTGTACAGTTTAAAATCTGCGGTTTCTCATCATCTGAGAGGGCAAATCAAATTAAACACACACATTTGCATACCATCTGAAACCAAGGCAAACTTCGGATTTCACTCTGTCAAATGAAAAAATTCTGTGGCACTGCTCAACCAATGCAGTAAATCATATACAGTACTTACGTTCTTAAAATCAAGCGTCGTCCAAGTTCAGTTTGTTCAAACAAGGCATATGTTGAGAGGAGCGCATAGCACAAAAATGATTCATTATGAGGAAACGTTCAGACAAGAGAGGAATTCAAGGTGAATAACCCCACCTTCAATTGTGACGGTAAACTGGCAGATAGCCTCATTGCCTGCTGCATCCCGAGCGTAATAGACAATGTCGGTTTTCCCAATGACCAGTTCATCTCCTGGTCGATGAGTGAAGTTGGAGTAAGACACGTTGACATTATCAGTGACAGCTGGGGCTACAGAGAATGTGCCTACATCACGTCCAGGCAGGGTGCCATTGGTGAAGTCCATTGGACAATCAAACACTGGGCTCTCATCATCTTAAGACACAAAGCCAACAAGAAAAGTCAGCATTTAAATACACTATTCAAACACGAATCTAAGGGGTTTAATAGTCCAAGATTGAATGAAAGTACAAATTTATGCCACAAATTCTAGTAATATAGCTAAGGAACAAGAATTTCTTGCACAGAGTAACAAATACTACAAAACGAATGACATACCTGTGACGGTGACGTTGAATGAGCATATTGCAGAATTGGAGGAATTATCCGTGACAAGGTAAGTGACCTCAATGGTTCCTACAGGGAACTTTGATCCCACTTGGTGAGACAGGTCAACGTTGACAGAGCCAGAGTTATCTGAGATCACTGGCTCATTCCAGGAGACAGTGCCTTGGGGTAGACCTACATCAGTTGTGCCATTGGCACCGTTTGGGCAATTAACAATCATTGGATCTTGCGTGTCTGCGGAGAGGTTTGAACAAGAAAGAAATAACCAAGGAATTCGTCAAGGCAACAGCTCACGAGTGCATATTTATTTTTTACATTTTCTTCAAGCAGATTTCATTTAAAATTGACCTTTGGTTTTACCTAAAATAGTGACGTTGAAGCTGCAGGTGTCGTTGTTAAAGAGGACGTCATAGACTGTGTATGTCACAACTTCGGTTCCAAGGTAGAACAAACTACCATTTTCCCGAGTGACATTGACTAAGATCACTCTGTTATTGTCCATATATGGTGGCGGGGGCCAAGTCACTACTGTGGAGTCACTGCCATTGTCAGCAGGAAGGACAATATCATCAGGACACTGGATCATGGGTGGCTCGGTATCCGTGGCTACAATCAAAGAAAAAGGCATCTCAATTTATCCATTACGTTGGCTGCCTATTATAAGGAATTGCATAAAGGTTACTTCTGATTGCAAATAAAGCTTTGCATGTTTTCCAAACTGACAGAACTAAAATCTCAGTTATGTAATCTGCGTAGTTCACAGGACAAGTTGACACATGACCATTCTTAAAGTAGAGCAAATGTTACTCTTGGAGATCCTTTGTTTGTGCTGCTCCCAGGCGTTGGAAATATTTCACACAAGAAAATGCAAAATCTGTTGATGTATTTGAAACTTTGCTAAAACCTCGTCCTTTCACGGAATCTCTAACACTGTACACCGACTCTTGGCAAGTAATGGGCTGTGTGCTGCACAGCTGAGTACATGGATACGTGTATAGTGACTGTGCAATGTAAGTTGATGCAAATGGCAAGATGGATGTGTCCATAGCGCAGGTGGGAAATATTACAAACTAGGGATCATTCTGCAACACCGGGCTTGGATCTTACTGTAAAGTACTAAAAAAAACAGGGTACCAAACACTCAAGGTCCGACTGAAAAGAATTTAACCTCGGCTCCGAGGCAGAAAACTCCATCATTCTGACTTAGGGTCTCTAAAGAGTTGGGAAGTCAAAACCTTCTGAATCTTGAAGTTTGTGCTTTACAGCCAAGGTTGCAAAACTGATGTAGAACGTAAAAGAGTCCAATGGTGACATCAAAAATTACTTACAGTTTATTTGGATGACAAAGGAACAGCTGCCCACATTGCCAGATCCGTCGGTGGCTGTGTACGTCACAGTGTACGTGCCGTTCGCAAACTCCTCCCCAGGATTGTAATTGGATGAGACGGTTACGTCTCCAGAATTGTCTTTTACCATTGGTGGTGTCCATGATATTGATATGTTGGTACCCGGATACGTGAACATATAGATGTCATCTGGGCACATTGTCAAATTTGGACGTTCAAAATCTGAAAAGAAAACACAAGTGCACTGATTGTTGAACCCCTAAAATAAACTGATTGGAACACATATCAATTGATCAGCTACTTGGCTGGTTTACTGATTGACTGCTTGAGTCCTATTGACAACAATGCAATGATTCTTATAGAAAGAGCAACCTTCACACTTTGCCTTTGTTGGAATCAGTATTGGTTACATTACTATTAATGAATTCTACTCTGTATAAACGATGACCTGTAGGAAAACCTGAATGGTGCTGCTTGAAAACCCCTTCTGTACACATACCTTGGACAATAATTTGGAATTTGCAAAGCTGTGTGTTGCCCGAGCCATCAAGAGCGATGTAGGTATTGGGGGTCGATCCAATACCTAGCACAGCCCCTGGTCTAATGGATGCAGTTAGCGTGACCGTGCCCGAGTTGTCAGTAGCGGTGGGTTCCTCCCAGTTAGCTATGCCCGTGGCTTCACCTGCTGTTGTGTTGACATAAACATCTCCAGTACAGTTCTGGATATCCGGATCTTCTTCATCTATTAACAAATGAGCGGCCACAATCAATGTTAAGCACTAACCCACTAAGTGTGATTTTATTTTCCTGAAACTCAAGTCAAGCAAAGTTAAGGATCACTGTTTAATCACCAGATGAGATCTACATTAACTAGATGAAAACAGAAATGACTAAGTTTCAGCAATCAACAGCAAAATCTTTGCCAATTTATAATAATTTCATATCCAATTACCACAGCTGTCTAACTGAGCAAATTAGTTATGATTGATTTAACAAGACCCAACTAGTAATTCACTGATTGGTAGCACATACTGCCAATTAAAAATATTGTAGCACAGGTAAAAAGATTTGAAACAATAATGCCACACCCACTTAGCTCTGGAATGGTCAGGTGCTCTCCCTTCTCAATACTGAGCCACAGGCAATGTCCAAATAACTTGGCTATGGCTGGCAAAAGCACATGCAAAAAAGAAGTCCCTGGAAGTGGCCAAAGCCACGTATGTATATTATTTTCTGCCTAGCCAAGATGATGCTATATGCAAGTGTTGAACATTAACTTTGTCACAATGAAGACACTATTGTAGCATAACACTTATGACACTGCATGGGCTCAAACAAATTAATGCACCTAGTATAATTCGTAACTGATCCTGCAAAAGGCCGAACGCTGACAGATGGCTCCCTAATTGCTCCACAAAAACAACCGAGATGCATTCTGATCACTTACCAACTACGGTGATTGTGAATTGACAAGTCGCATTGAACCCTTCCTCATCATATGCCATGTATATAACCTCCAATGTGTCTCCTAGATCAACGACCACACCAGGTTCTGAACTGTTAGTGAAACTGACGACACCGACATTGTCTGTAGCTGACGGCACCGTCCAAGTAACATTAGCAGTGGCTAGACGTGCATCTGTTGGGATCTCCATGTCACTGGGACAAGGGGATAGACTAGGCGGTTGGTTATCTAGGATGAAAATAAACGAGAAAATGTTATCAGTTCATTATTATTTCACTCTGAATTTCAAATTATGCGTCTAAGAAAAAATTGTGCCCATCAGTAGCGTGACGATAGACTTTGCAAATCAACCGTTGTATGTTCAAGTTTTGTCAAGCAAAGTCTGAATTTTGTAATAAGGGTCCCTCCGTTCAAAAATCAAAAGTTGCCACAATGTGAAGGAAAAAAGTCTCTTCGGTGGTGGTTTAACCATCAAGGAATTTACTAAAATCTCTACGTAAAACAACAACGACAAGATGTGCAAAGAAATTAGCTGCAAGTGAAGTACTTCAGTGCTATTTCTATTGAAACGACCTCCAATCTTGCAGAAGCCCTCGGTCCTTGTTTGCTACTTGGCTAAATTTAGGCTCTTTCAGAGCAATCTTCTTGAAAGAAAACACCCTCTGAACACTAGGACCACTTTAATTGGAAATGCTGGCTCACTTACCAATTACCAGGACCTTAAATTCGCAGGAGTCATTCAGTCCACTGCGATCCCGCACAATGAACTGGACTGTAGTGTTCCCAACCGTGAATAAATGACCCGGATAAGGATGTTGCTCGACCCTGTACATGTCATTTTCGACAATGGCAGGTAAATCTATGGTTAAGTAGATCCCGTTTGAGCCTGGTGATGTAAATTCCACAAGGTCATCCGAGCAGTTGACCAACATAGGTGGCTGGGTATCTGTGGGTAAATCCAACAATGAGCAATGTATGAGACATTTAGAAAACTGATGGTGAGTTTTGCTAGGAGGGGAAAAAAACAGATGTCCTGATTCAAATACCTTTGATAGGATAATATGTGAAGGAACCTCGGCAGCAAAACATTCTTCCCTGAAAATTTTCATGAGATCTCAAGTCCATTACATTATAAGTTACGCACTTCCGGGACATGTAATTGGTCATCTTTTGGTCGGTTACTCCTAGGGATAGCGAGCTGATACGTATGTTACTTCCTTACCTACAACAGTAACAGTGAAATTGCAGCTAGCTGTGTTACCAGCCAGATCTGAAGCTGTGTAACCCACGGTCACAGCAGGTCCAATAAAGAATACAGACTCGTTAGGGTGTGTCAAGTCCAGCATTGTCACTCCAACATTGTCAGTGATGACGGGCACCGGCCATGTAACGACGGTGGAATTCGAATCGGGATCTGCTGGCACCGTGGTGTCATTTGGGCAGATAACAACCATTGGGGACTCCGAGTCAGTGGCTGGGGAAGAAATAGGACAGAGGTTCAATTCAGTATTTCTCCCATCATACAATAGGGTCACGTTCAATTGCACAATGCTTTGCATAGCACCAGCAATATTGGTATGCCAAGACATACATGTACTGTGCCATTGAACATACCCTAGCCTTCACTACAAAGAGGGGCAAAGACTTGACTGCAGATGGAAATCGTTTTTACCTCAGCGACGAGACACGCATATACTTTCCATTCCCTAAATCCTGAATCATAAGTACAGTTTAATTTGATAGACACAGGTGTAACTTACCATAGACAGTCAAAGTGAAATTACAGCTGTCCATATTCCCTGATCTGTCTGTTGCCGTATACTCGACAATGTAAGTACCATTCATGAACTCGTCACCAGTATTATAATTGGATGAGACCGTCGCAGAGCCAGAGTTATCTTCAGCCACTGGCTGGGTCCAGTTGACTGTGACGTTCGTACCACGGTCGGCAAAAGCGTACATGTCATCGGGGCACATGAGAAGTCGTGGTGGTAACAAGTCTGGCAAGATTGAGAGAGAAAGGATTCCTCAACTGACAAACAATGGAAAAGGGATTCTAGAAATGCATGTATTTCCGATGAACAGTTCATCGAAAGGATTTATACACATCTAGTCTGCATCACAATATCCTAAGATGGCACAGAAACAAATTCAAAACGCATGTTGATCACATTCTTACATATCCAAAGTGTTCCCATCTGAAAATCCTTACCTAGCACGGTGACCGTGACAGTGCAGATGTCACTGTTTGATGCCTCATCAAAGCAAGCTATGGTCACTTCCGTGGCATCAATTGGGAATTCATTGTCAAAGGTGGAATATGTTATGGTGACGGGTCCTGCATTGTCCCCACATTCAGCCTCAGGAAGCACATAGACAGCCACAGGTCGTTGACCAGTTGTGTTCAGCGTGACATCGATAGGACAATATGTGATGTTCGGCATCTCGTTATCTGCATGAGAAAATATCCAGAGCGCTTACCCTTCAAAAATTCTGTAAGTTACCTACCCATTTGGGCTATGCTTGCGTTTGACACAGGTACCACCTCTTAGAGCAGTTACCATCCAAGATGACAATTATGGTACCCTACAAAAAAAATTGCTGAAGAGCTGCGAACAAACTTTCGTCATACTCCTCTCTGATTGGAATGCAAAGCTGAACGCCCAGTGAGCACTGATCCAAATCACTCATGTGACCGCTTGGACAGTTTGGGGTCACTTGCCTAAAACCAAGCAGCACTGACCAGCTTCAGTTGTTGATGTTACTTGACACCCCATGCGCCTTGAGGGTTAATGACCGAAAAGCCAGCCTCGTCTACCAGTCACCTGCTTTTGTCTATTGACTGAATTTGACCGCAGGTCAGAGTACCAGCCACTATTGGTGACCAGCCTATGTATGAAGTATGGCAGGGGCAGTGAGATGAATTTTGGACTGCCTGACTGTCCAAAATAGGCATCCAGTGCTTGCCTTTAATCTGCACGTCTCCGTGCATATCCAGTGGAGTAAAGGCATGGACCTAGACCTAGCTTTGGACAACAGATGCAGATGCAGCCTAAAAACCCTCTAAAGCCTTGAAAAGCCTCGAGTTGCATTCCAAGTTACCAGCTGTTATGCAACTCTTGTCTCACCTTCAACGACGACATCAAAACTGCAGGTTGCATTGAGGCCTGCAGCATCAAACACTGTGTACATCACAGGGGTCATCCCAAGGGGGAAGACTTGCCCAGGCTGGTGGCTTGACTGGTTCATTGTAATGCCGACATTGTCTGTAGCCTCAGGGAAATTCCACACCTGACTAGACACGTTCTGGCCAGGATCAGTTGAAATTGTGACATCCATACATCGAGGGAACATGGGAGGCTCATCATCTGAAAAAAAATTTTGCAAATGAAAATTTTCATCTTCAAATTACCACACACCTCTCCAGTGCTCAAACTGAAGGTTGTGGATGACTAAATTTCTAATCTTCAAAACATACGGCATCATCAACTTTTTTGTCTCTTCCAAGAGATTTTCAAGGTCTTCCCGGTCAACTATTTGCAACAAAGTTGCAGTCGATGGGGACATTTACACTGACAGGCTTCAACAATATACCACATCAAAAGCTTGATGTACGCATAAAATCCCTGAAATATCGAGCAGCTGCTGACAAACGGTGCCGTCACAACACAACACTTGGTTGTTGAAAATAAAAAGTATAACCACTGTGCATGAGACAAATCTAGAACAAAAAAATCTCAAAATATGAAAAACCTCAAATCACAAAAGCTTAAGTTTGAAAAGCTGTAATTAACTACGATTTGCCAAATATGAAAACAGAAAACCATATACATGTATTGCAGATCAAACCCATGTTTTCAAGCACCTCAATTACATTCAATGTTGAATAGCTGAGAATCTTGAAAAAGCTGTTGGTCAGAAAGCGTTCCCGGATGTTGTCACACATTTAAGAATTTACATGATGGACCAAGTTTGTTTCATGGCTTAATCAAAATATGAAAAAGAGGGCACAGTTCTTGACATTGAGATAGAATGTTGTAAGGAGGGCACAAGAGAAAGAGTATTATGACATCTGCAAAATTTTACCATAAACGGTGATGGTGAAGGAACAAGTGTATGTGTTTCCAGAGCTGTCGCTCGCCGTGTAATTGACGACTGTCTCCATCACGCCAAACTCATCACCGGGACGGTGAGTGCTCGTGTTACTAGCAACTCCAACGTTGTCAGCAAACACAGGTTCTTGCCAAGTTACGACAGCCATGTCCTGGCTAGGATCAGTGGGAACGACTGAGCTATTTGGGCACCCGGACACAGTCGGCTGTTCATCATCTAGAAACAAAAAGATAAAGGATGGACTTGGCAGGACATCGACATTTAAAGAAATGGCAAAGTTTAAAGGGTATTACGCTTCAACTACCGACAGATATGAGGATATCCAAAACTCTCCAACTTCTTATTCTAAAATGTATCTCATAAATTACTCCTCCACTCATCTCCATTCATCCCTGAAACCATTATTTCTGGTTCCGTTAACCTCTCTCAGCGATACAATATTGCTTACCTAGAAACCATTTTATTAAATTCAATTTAATCAGAAAACACAGTATAATAAATTCAAATGATGACTTTAGGGTCAACTTACCAAGAACAGTGACAATAAACGAACATTTATTTGAGTTCCCAGCACCATCGGTGACGGTGTAAGTAACAGTGGTGTTGCCAAAGTCAAAGACATCACCCGGGCTGTAATTGCTGCTGTTGCTTACGACTCCAACATTGTCAGAAAACATTGGCTCTGGCCAGAAGACGACACTTGAATTCTGACGGAACGCAGTGGTGTTGACCACTCCGCTGGGACAAGACGAAAACATCGGAGCTTCATCGTCTGCACAAATTTAGACGTAGACAAAATCTCAGAAAATGGGGTGACAAATGATGGCTCATTAACCTCTTAACGCCGTTAAACACCATATGCCGTGGCTCTGTGTGAGGATTAGTGCATACCACACATACATTCTATTCATCATGCACCTGCGGTTTCAATGCGGGCCTGCTGCTAGACAGGGCTTTGCATACTGGGCACACCGCAGCCCAGCAGTTGCGGTCAAAAGAATTCTGGCGTGAAGGGGTTAAAGACAGGCACAGCACTATTGTCAAAACATAGATTGAACTGCACATTCTTTCCACTCTGTATAAGGAAACCCATCAATTACACAGTCAGTGCTGAAGTGGATGAGCCAACAGCTAAAAACAAATCCCACGATAACAGGGCTCAAGACTCACCTTCAACACTGACAATGAATGAACAGTTGGCCGTATTGCCAGCCTCATCACTGACTGTGTAAGTTACAGTGCTGTTGCCCAAAGGAAACACGTCGCCAGGGCTGTGGGTGCTTTCATTGCTGACAACACCGACGTTGTCGGTGAACACCGGTTCTTGCCAGAAGACAACTGACGAATTCTGATTGGCATCAGTGGAGTTGAATATGAAAGTCGGACACTGTAACTCCGGTGACTCATTATCTAAATTCCAACCAAATCATTATCAAATGTTAAAACATCATGAATCAATGGGCATTATTGCAAAGAGTCAGTTTTCCACACTTCTCTTCTGCAGCACTTTATCTCTGATGGAAAACTGAATTACAACTTTGATGCAATTAATGTTGCGATGAATTCTGATCCTTGATTCTTAATTACAGGTTTTGCCCTTAACGGACATAATATTTTTTTACACAGCATACTCGGTGCGTGTCCGAGAGCATGTGAAAAAATTCACAAGCGTACTCGGGTGGGACTCAAACCCACAACCTAATACCAGTGCAGACATCTTTACTACTCGACCACCGAGCTTGAAGGGATCGGCTGGCCGGTCCGGGTCAGGTGTAGCAGTGGGTACCACAAACTATTTAAAGATGTACTTTGCGTCAGGGAAATGTTAAATATTTAATTACAGATTTTGCCATTGGGTAAGGGCAGACCTGTCATTAAAAATTAACATCTCCCCCACACAAAGTACATCTTGAAATTCTTATTCTACATAATGTACTATAATGGCACAACAGATGGAAGGGAGTTTGTAAGGTCTTTACTAGAGAAATTATGCAAAAATTGACAATTTCGCCACCTTGATCAAGTTATAGAAAAAAATGACAACTGTGAAGCCCTAAGCCTTTAATTTTCAACCTCATCATCCATTTCAAATATACATTTACTACTGTGACCATTAAGGCAAGTTTAATGTGAATTTCTGGCTTAATGGTGAGGCATTCAAGCCTTACAAAGCAAGCTCACCTGTTATGACGACAACAAATGCACAGCTGTTCATATTTCCTGCATCATCGCTGGCCGTGTAATTGACAGTGGTGTTCCCCACTAGAAATGGATCCCCTGGTCTATGTGAGCTCATGTTACTGACGACTCCAACATTGTCCGTGATCACTGGTTCTTGCCAGAAAACAACAGATGAATTCTTTCTTTCTTCCGTGCTGTTGAAGATGACTGCGGGGCAAGGGCTCAAACTGGGCGGTTCCTCATCTGCCGTCCAAAAAAGCCATTTCAAATAATCCTAAAAAACCACTGATGACAGTAAGCATTCAATTCAAGCCTACACAGAGAGCTATCTGACTGTCAACAAGTGGCCAAAGGTTTACCAACTTGTGGCAGGCCCACCACGCTTGCAGTGAAATTGGGCTCACCTTACCACATTGCGACTTTCTCCACTACACTTAAAATGTCCCCAACACAGCTTACGAGATTAACACCATTAACATAGACAGGGTAAATATGAGGAGTTTTTCATTTTGTTCGTATCGCTTGCTTATTTTCTTTGCTTAATGATAATGTCGAGTCGCATCAGCTGAGCCTGTAACAGCAGCCAGACATGCGGTAGCAATGGAGACATGCTACGTTCCGGGATGTGACCGTGACTTGACTCACTATGCACTTCGGTCCCATTTGCATGCCGCAGGCACAGGTTTTTGACCGAGGCATGATCGTGCCAAGTACACCCATGTCTGAATTACTTGGCTGCAGCTTGAAATTAAAAGTCTATGGTAGTGGCTGCGGCTATTCCTCACAACTGCATGTGAATTGTGGATTAAGATTAGGATTTGCAGTTGGTGCATGCATAAGCTCGTTCACTATATGCAATCATACTCGTGATAAAACTATGAATTCAATCTGTGGCCAAATGTTTTGATGAAAATTTCTTCACTTGTTTTCAGAATAAAAAAATATCAATTTTTTGTTATAAACGTTAAGCTGGAGCCTTGGGGCCAGCAGGCACATGCAGCAGTAGCCCAATCATCTATTCAGGTTGTCAACACTGTCGGCCAATCATGATCATAGCCACATAACCTCTACTCCTTAATTTCAAAAATGCCTTTGTGATGGATTTCTCCAACCTTCAATAAAATCCTGGAAGAGAACACTCCAGAAAATGCCACGATGAAGGGAAGAGGGTTTGATAAGAAACGAAAGTATGTCTGATGATGATTTCCCTCTTGAAGAGTTCACCAGGTTGTTCACTCACCTACAATGGTGACGACAAAAGTGCATTCAGTGACATTCTGGGCCTCGTCACTGACAGTAATTGTGACCGGAGTGTCGCCGACGGTAAAGCTGTCACCCTGACTGTGGCTGGCTGTGACATTGACAATGGCCACATTGTCAGTGTAGGTGAGCTGTGGCCATGTGATGTTCTTGTAATTCTGGCCTGGGTCTGTGCTATTTGTGATGTTCAGACAGTTGGAAATTACCGGTGCTTCATCATCTGAAAAGGAGGGTTAGAGCAACTCGGCATGATAACAGTGATACGTTACAAAATCATCAGCTCACACATGAATGGTGACATTATACTCAGCACTTCTACAAAAAAGCTCAAGAAACAAGCCCTTATTGGGCTAAAATTCACTGGTGGCCAGCTGGGACACTGACAAACTTTTTAAAGCTAGCTTTGATAAACAAAACACAGCTGTAGACCTTAAGCATGCGAAAATCAATTCCGAGCACTGCATTTATCCTTTATTATCTCCAACTTACCTTGAACAATCACAAAGAACGTGCAGTTTGCCTCGTTGCCAGACCTGTCTGTGGCTACAAACACAACGGTTGAATTCCCGACAGGAAAGGGCGAGCCTGAGGAGTTGGTTCCTACAATTGTGGCAACTTCATCATTGTCACTAAATTCAGGGGAGAATGTGACGTTGGCAGTGGCAACCCCTGGGTCAGTTCCCACCACAATATCAGACGGGCAGACGTCCACCGTTGGAGGTTCCAAGTCTGTAAAACACACAGCCAAAAAAGTAATCCACGCTCAACCTTAGTGTGCATGATCGGCAATTTAAGGTAGTACTTTGCCAAACGTACACTTTGCATGTGATGCTATGACAATGAGAATTTTGACCTCAAACCTTTAAAATCTGGTACCATAAAAAAGAGACTAATGTCTGTGACGGTTTAGTTACCAGGTCACTAATTTTACCATAAAGATTGTGAATACAGTAACAGACGTAAAAATGCAGGATGCTGTTACATACCCTGGACAAGGACGTAGAATTCACACATGTCAGAGTTGCCAGCAGGGTCCATGGCCACAATGGTGATTGTATTATTTCCAATTGGGAGTAGCACTGGGTTTGTTTCACTTGCATTGAGCGAGACGACTCTGACGTTATCTGTTGCTGTGGGCTCTGTCCAGTTGAAGTTGGTTGTGTTGAGTCCTGGGTCTGTGAGCAGACTCATGACAGATGATGGGCAGTTCATCAACTCTGGAGCCTCTTCGTCTGATAAGAACAGAAAAATGACCAATTATGACATCCGAGATACTCCGAGCGGGGACTTTACTGATCACCAACTCTGATGTTTGTCTGTTCTTGACAGGAATAAACTGAAATGCAATCACCTACCCTTGATCGAGATTGTAAATACACAGGGTGCAGCCATGTTTCCTGCTGCATCCGCTGCAGTGTAATTGACCTCATATTCGCCGTAGCTTAAAGTTGTAGGATTGGATACTCCATTGAGAACGGGCGTGATCATCTCCATGGAGTTGTCCTGGACCAACGGCTCAGAAATGCTGACAAGTTGACTGCTCTGGCCTCCAGCAAGCACATATTCCAGTGTTGTGGGGCATGTGATAAACACAGGGTTCCCAACATCTGCAGAATCAGGTCATTAAAGACCATTCATTGACAAAAATCAAGAAATAACGCACTTAATTAGTTTCCATTTCCCCCCCCAAAAATGGACCACTCCTCTGAAAGGACTGAGTGGATGTGATAGGTCAGACGTGAAGGCCAGGGATAAGGGTGGGACAGAGAATGGGATATGAGACTGACCCAGCCCCAGTGAGGGTAGGAATGTCTCCAACTTGGTACGTATTTCCACTGTGGAGTAAAACTGCATGATATGAATGTCCTATGGAGAGTTTCTTATTTCAGCTTGACCACTTGCCGCCAGATGACGGGTAAACACATACAATTTTCCTTATCTGTCCATGGTGGACATACACACTCGTTTCAGAAAACCTGACATTAACTGGTTAACAACACAGTCCATCAACTGCAGTTGTCCAAAAAGTGGTTTAGAGATGGTTATAGGACAAAACTTCCTGTGAAATCATTCTTTTTGGCAAGCTGAAAGTAAACAATGAAAGAAGGCCATTTCCAAAGATGCATCGATTATGAATTTTTGGAAAACTGCCAAAAGTGGGCAAAAGCACTGACACAACGCTCACATGCATTTGTTAATTAAAAGCACATCCTTTAGTGAAGACATCCTAGGTGCTGAATTCAGGTACAACTCAAAACATGACTCAGCAACTTTTGATCTGAAATCAAAATCTTCCAATGTTGTTCGTCTCAGAATGGGCAGCATTCACTGAACCGAAACTTTATTGGGTCGCAGGTGCCACACATTAGATTTTGGGTGATTTTGTTGCCTCAAAGGAACATAATGCAAAAACAACAAATGGGTAGACTGAATCATTAAACTACCGCTAGTTTTGCCCACTGCCGTCAGCACATTTAACATCATATAGTGATTCTCTGGAAAACGGTGCACAGTCAAAATCGCCTGCCATCTGACAATACAAAAAAGCCATCGGTATTCTCTTTCTCTACCTCTGCTGGGTAGGAAAACACCAACAATTCCTCACATGATCAACACCCACTCACCAATCACAGTCACCTTGAAGGAACAGGTGTCTGAATTGTTGCTGGTATCTGTGAATGTATACACCACCACGGTGACTTGGGCAACTGTGAAGTTATCTCCTGGGCTGTAGGTTGATGACACTGATATGGCATTGGTAGGGTCAATGTTATCAGTGGCATTAGGGGGAATCCAAGAGATGCTCAAGAGAGCCTCGGACGTCTCGTTCATAATGCTTTGAGGGCAGTTGATGATCATCGGTGGAGAAGCATCTGTTCAGTGGAAACAAGACAACTTGGATTAGTCATGTTAGTGTCTCTGGCAGAGAAAAAGAAAGACTTCAACATCCAAGTTGCTGATTTCTCACGGACACAGTTGTGCAATAAAAGAGATCCCGCCCACCTGTGAAAATGCAGCATTTTTTCATCTGCATTGGATTTTGTATAAAACAAAATGTAAGCTAGTAAATTCTCATCCAGCCAACTCACCATAAACAGTCACCGTAAAGTTGCAGGTGGCTTCATTTCCATATACGTCTACTGCCGTCACGTTGACAGTATTGTTTCCGAACATAAACATGCTACCTGGCTCCGAACTGTTCACAATCGAACTGACTCCAACATTGTCTTGGATTTGAAGGTCCCATGTAACAAACCCAAAAGTGTTGTTTCCCTCAGTAGGGGCCAGAATTTGGGGTTGACAATTAGAAAACGTCGGAGGCTCTCTGTCTGTTGAAATCAAAGAAGCAATAGATTCAGTATAAAAAAGACTTTGGTTAAGATGGAAATTACTCGAGGCATGTGCACAGAATTTCTTTCATGACATTCAATCCATATGCTATTAGATGTCCTAGCCAAAGCCAGAACACGAACCAGCTACTGGTTTAAGTGACTGCAGCCAGTTCCTACAGACGTATGCATTCTTGATGGCTTAGCCATGACTTCTAGATGGAGCATTATACCTACATGTATTTATGATCAAGAGCCACATTCCCATTGGTCAATCAGACTCGTTATCTACTATTTTTGCAGCTAATATAATACACCCAGCTGAAACCTTGACGCTAGTTTTCAAGGATCAGTCCAGAATAAATGTTTTGGAGAGGGTTAGACTTTTTTTTTGGGGGGGGACAAAGATTGAGACTTTTTTATCATGCATTTGTGATGGACAAGGTTACATTTTGGGGCCTTTTACAAGCATTTTGTTGGAAGAGAAATTACAAGGACCAACAAATTTGACGTTCTCTAATTATTTTTATAAATACCGGTATGATCAAACCTTGTTAATGACAGGCCTTAGGACTTGGCAAAATACCTTGTTATAACAGGAACCTTGAATTATCAGGAATGAAAACAATGAAAAACAAAAGATTGGGACATCAAAATTTCCTTAAGCAGAATCTTGTATTAGCAGTCTTCAAAGTTTGACTATAATGTTTCTTATTTGGAGGGGGGGGAATGACCCCACTTGCCCCCTCCCTGCCCCAGACGTGGCCGACATGCCATGCACAAGCATTCTAGCTACATGTGCATGAAACAAATGTACATCTTGACCAGCATTCTCCTGTGGTCACTGCTTTCTGAATTTAACTAGTTATGTATGAACAGAGTAAAAAAGTTAGAATTTGATGTGTTTCTGTATCATTTTTTAAGTTATAATTTTGAAAAAAAAATAACAGGAAAATTTAACTTCAAACCAAAGCGAGGGGAGAGCAGTCTGACACAAATTATTTTTTTAAATCGGCATTCAATTTTGGAGCAGCATGAGTCTTTGACACACGAAAGGAGTGTCTGGAATGTCCATCCCAGTATAAAATGGGTGGATGAATTTTGGGTGGGGCACAGAAAGGACTGTGCGCTTGATGATTGTGCCCAGTGCAAGCTGTTTGGGAGCTACCCCCTTCGCACGTCCCAAGGGGCCAAAACCGGGGTTCCATTGTCCTATTGAGGTCTTATATTTTTCTGTGAAGTAGGTGGAAGCTTGGAATTTTTGCTTTTTGCACCGTATTCGTGCTGCACGGTCCATTTTGGAAACTCTGTTGGACTTCTGGACCTTGGATCTGTCTCTTAAGATCGGATCTTAAAGTCCTTTCTGGAGGGGGTCCAAAGTAAATGAGGAAGGGTTGAAGGAGCCCTGCCCTTTTCTTCCTTTTCCTGACGTACATCATGACTGAGAGTCATCTTGGAAGGTCTAAAACACCAAGAGTGTCACTCGACCCGACCAAGAAAAGAACTCAGAACATTTTGTTTAAGTTTTGGTTAGTACTTGCCCCATCACAAACATAAAATGGATCTAGCTGGTCATTTTTTTGTTTATTGTTGCTTACAATTTTGTTCAATACAAGCCATAAAATACATGCATTTATAACAAGAGTGAAAACTGGTTTGCTTCATATCCAGTTTTGTTTCAGTTCCCCTCTAAAACGTAAGCCATTCAAAGGGTTGGGCTTACTCTTTGGGGTGGGGATCATGAAGAATTAGGGGCTCAAATGGAACGGACAAGAAACACTAAATTGACGAAATGAGTTTTCATATGTATACATGTATATCTGATTAATGTATTTGTTTTTGTGGATAGTTTAAGTGACTCAGGATTCTGTCATGGCTACTTCTTTTGCTGTTCAGGCATGATTAGAGGCAGAAGATCTATCACTACACAAGTTAGAACGTGCTCAAGAAGGCTGAAGTTAGGGCCATACATGTATAGCTGATCATTTACATGTGGGTTTAATACATGTATAAGGAAGGCTGAATGAGTAGAGGTCATTGCTAGTCATTTGTAGTTAGAACCATTAGGCTCTATTTCTAGTTATAAATGGCTAGAGCATGCCAAGATCGAGTTAGAAAAAGATTAAAGTTAGAATTCGCTGAACGTCAATTACAAGAAGAACAAGAGTTTGAAATAAGGAAGACAGAATTGAAACATCAACATTTGTTTGAAATTAATATTAAGACTCTGGAGAGGAATAGCCAGGATACCAGAGCGTTAACTCATTTGACTTGGTTCGCAAGTTCAACGAAAAGGATGTGGGAAACCTGCATGTACTTTGTTTCGTATGAAAAATAGCCAATCAATTAAAGTAGACAAAAGAGTATTGGACATTGTTACTGCAAAGTATTTTTGTAGGAAAAGCTCAGGAGGTTAAGTACACCTGTAGAATTTGCCAGGGAGTAAGAGATACATGTAATCTTAGCTCATTGAAACTTGAAAAAAGTTTGAAAATCTCTAGAAGGCAGTGTTGCCAGTGGAATTTAAGATCAGCACTATGATGGAAATCAAGACCCACCTTGATAAGCACAAAGTAACTAACGCCTGAGAAGCCACAGAAATGGCAGATAGGTAGGAGATTCTCAAAAATTAAACAAACCTCTGTGGGTTCAGAATAAGACTTGGATTTAAAAGAAACGGTACCCCCAGAAGAATGATAGAATTCTCAAGATGCAGTCAGAAAAGATGACAAACAGGTAATGACCACTAGGAAAGCACAAAATAAACATGTAAAAGGTAATTTGTAATTATTGCCGCGAAAAGGGTCACATGAAAGCTCAGTTTGGACACTGAAGAAAGATGTCAGACAGGATAGATAAATCTCCAAAGCCTGTTGCTTTCGTTAAAAAGCAGGTAACTTCATGTGACAAGAGAACTGCGATGACTAGAGATAAGAATAAAATGAGGTTGTAGGTGAAAGGTCAAAAGTATATGAGGGGTTCTTGTCAAAAGGCAAAGATTCACCAGTAACAGGTGATGGTAAGAAACAGCCCACATGTGTACATGTACATGTAGTTAGTTATTTTAAGAGACCCAGGAGCTGCTCAATCTTGAATGCTTGTAGACATTGTTCAATTGTCCTCTTACAGTTCAGAAAATGTCTCTGCTTTAATTCGGGGTACTGAGGGGAGGTTTAGTGCCGGTACCTTAAAGGTGACTCTCAGAGAGTCTGAAGTTACTTAATGGCAATGTTGTTATGGGCATAGGTGTAGGAGTTTCTTGTTTATGACCTGTGCTTCACCCTCATGTGACAAGCTAGAAATGAAAGCGGAAACAGAGTTTACAGGAGGATTACCCTGTGATATTCCCTGCCTGTGTCGTAACTAGATCAAATTCCCTGTCCAAGACGTAAGAAAGTCAGGTCAGTCAAACGATACGGATGTTACGTTAGCCGCAAAATTTATGGGTCACCTGGATGAGTTGGACAAACATAGTTCCAAATCACCAAGGATTACTAGAATTGATTAAAGGAAGAACAGTCCGATCCTAAGCTAAGCAGTTTGATATAGACTACTTTGAGCTCTAATGTAACCGAAACTGTTCCAGAATGCTTCTATATTGAGGCAGGTGTTCTAACGAGAAAGAGGAGACAGTCAGATAGTCCAGCAGGTGAAGAATAGAGGGTGGCACATCAGATTGTAGTTAACTCGTAGTTATTGTGAAGAAAACTCTTAAGACTAGCTCATTTAGTCCCCTTGTCAAGACACCTACATGTAGGTATCAGAAAAACCTGTGCGAAAATTTGGCAACATTTTTACTGGCTAAATTAACGTAAGATGTAATATTTGTCAACTGAGAGGGAAGTCACAAGAAGTTATTAAGCCAGCTCCTCTGACACCCATGCCAGTATGTGATGAACTATTTCCAAGAGTGCTTGTAGATTGTGTGGGCCCATGACATGTACATGTACCAGGAATGAAAACAGGGCACAATTACCTCTTGACATCATGGGTATGACCACATGATTTCCAGAGGCCGTTCCTCTGAAGAGAATTACTGTCAAAATGGCTGATGCCTTGGTGCAGTTTTTCACGAGGTACAGACTACCTAAAGAAAGTGAGTCTGACCAAGGTTCAAATTTTATGTCTGGAATATTTCAACAGGTCATGAAGGAATTCAGAATTAGGTAGGTTACATCAGGTGCCCATCACCCTAAGTCGCAGGGTGCATTGGAGCAACACCATCAGACATGGAAAACAAACTTCGAGCCTACAATGAAGAATATCCAGAAGATTGGGATAAAGGTACATGTATATGTATTTCTTTGGTCTTATTAATCACCAGGGACACACCTTTTGAGTTGACAGGATTTATATGTAATCCCTTTGATTTAGTTTACGGCCATGAAGCCGGAGGTCTGCTTAAGCTCATTAGAGAGAGATTCCTAGGGGAGAATGAGAAAAGTACTCAGTTAGACTGTGTGTGTGCCTTTACGGAAAGACTTGTGAAGGTTTGTGAAATGTCAGGCTCAAATCTCAAGACATCACAAAAAGCAAAGAAGATGCAGTTTGATGAGAGGTTTCAACCTGGAGATGACGTTTTGGTGTCATTGCCTGTACCTTCAAGATTTAGTGGCCCTTATCAGATTTGATAAAAGGCCGAATGATGTCCATGATACGGTGCACACTCCAAGTAGAAGGACAAGTAATAATAATGGATCACAGAGGTTCTGTATTATCGTAAGGTGAATGCCATTACCAAACTGTTTCCTATCCTATTCCCTATTCTAAGATTGTATCAATAAGATAGGAAAACTATTTCATTTCCAAGGATGGATCTGCATCATCAGGGAGATGTTAATTAATTTTGGATTTTTGCCCTGCCCAACTTACATAACATTGTATACTCAGTGTTTTGTGTGTCAATAAAATAGATTTACTTAAGGGAAATTAGCAGATTAAAGAGAAATATCTGCTTGATACCCTTTCGTAGGAAGAATGCCCCAGCAACTCTACAAAGACTTATAAATGTCATGAAAGGACTTGATAATTGAGTCGCCTGTATAGATAGGATTGTACATCGTGTCAGGCATATAGGATTATAGAATGACGCGCTCAGTAGAGCAGACTTTAAGTGATAAACCTAAGAAAGAGCAAGGCTTCCACAGCCAAAGTCACACATTTGGGGCATGTTGAATGGCAGGTTAAAGTTCACCCAAGCGAAGTAAAGGTTTAAGGCCATGACAGATTCACCCATTCCTACAAACGGAAGTTATTAAGTAGAATTATTGGCGTGGTTCGGTTCTGTCAAAAGTTTGTTACAAACTTTAGTGATGTTGTGGCTCCACTGATCAATTTGTTGCAGAAAACCACAAAATTTATTCAGTCAGAGGCATGTCAGAGATCGCGTGATGGACTAAAAGCAGTATTAAGCAACAAACCCGGGTTAGCTGTCCCAAACCAAAAAGGGGCAAGCAGTTTGACTGAACAGGGGTGAGAAGTCTTATGCGAATTATTCTCTTGTATCAACATTCAACAAGTGACTGAGCACGTAAAAGGCGTGTGTGGAATGTCTGCCCTAGTATAACATGGGTGGATGAATTTCTGGTGGGGCACAGAAAAAGGACTGTGCGCTTGATGATTGTGCCCAGTGTCTGCTGTTGGGGAGCTAACCCCTTGGCACGTGCTGGGGCCCGGGGACTGAGACCAGGGATCCATCCTCCTATAGAGGTCTGATGTTGTCTGTGAAGTAGACAGAATCTTGGAATTTTTTCTTTTTGCACCATATTTGTGTTGCCTGGTCCGGTTTGGACACTTTGTTGGACATGGGCCTTGGATCTAATTCTCCAGATCCTGAAGCCATTTCTGGAGGAGGTCGAAAGTCAGTGAGCTCATCAAACACGACGCTGGGCCGTGTTGACAAGCTCATGGGAGAACGCATTACAAGAGCCCTACCCTTTTCTTCCTTTTCCTGATGTAAATCATAATCTAGAGTTGTCTTGGAAGGTCACCAAGAGCATCACTTAACTCAACTAAGAACAGAACTATTTCGCTAAATTAAGTTTGGGTAGCTTCTTACCCCAAGCATATAATGGTTCCAACAGCTAATCTTTTTGCTTATATTGTTGCTTACATTATTTGTTCACGGTAAGCCATGAAGTATTTGTAATAAAGGTGAAAACTGGTTTGTTTTATTCAATGTCCACTTTTGTTTTGGTTCCGCTCTAAGGAGTAAGCAATTCAGATGGTCCACGCTTACTCTTTGGGGTGGGGGTCAAGACAAATGTAACTAATTTTGAGGGTTATAAGTCCAAAGTATTAGTTTCCCACAGAATTAGAACTTGTTTGAAAAATTCCAACACCCAGGGAATAGAACAATTTACCTTCCACTGTGATAACAAATGAGCATTGTACAGAATTGCCGGCCTCATCTGTCGCATTGTACACGACAGTGGTGTTCCCAATTTCAAACCTGTCGCCTCTCATGTGTGAAGCTGTAGTTGTGTAGTTAACATTGTCGGAAAAGACAGGCTCTGTCCATGTGACGTTAGCATAGTCCACACCAGGATCTGTTCCAGTGATTGTATCGTTGGGACAAAGAACCACCACAGGGCTTTCCATGTCTGTGTAAAGAAGGGAAAAAATTTATGTCTATAGACTCACATAAAATGTAATCCATGCTGCATACCTAAAGCGAACATTGGACAAAGAGGTTTTCTGAATACAGGAAAACACATATGTATCGGTGCATTTCCAAAGCTGTCAGATGTGGTGCTCCTCGACTTATGACGCAAAGATATTAGCAAGACTAATTTGTCCGTCATCTTCAAAAAATCTGCTTTGGCAGGAAAAAAATGTTGCCTAGTTCACTCAAAAAAAGTCTGACAAGAAAATATTTTGTTAATACTCAGCCTACTTAGAAGCACTTGTCAAATTAGGTAGTGGAAAATTCCCAGTGAGTTGATATAAATGCTTACCTGACACGGACACAATAAAAGAACATGTTACATTGTTGCCATCAGCATCCAGAGCAATGTATTCCACAGTGGTATTTCCCACTGGAAACTCAAATGGGGGACTGTGGGTAGATGTCAACGACACCACTCCAACGTTATCTCTGGCCACAACAGCTGGCCAAGTCACGTTGGCGGTGCTGCTTCCGTTATCTGTGGCAGTAGAAATCTCAGTTGGACACGCAGTGGAAAACGTCGGGCTCTCATTATCTGATGAGAAATAACCAGTGCAAGTAGACATTAAACACCACAGCATCTAAACACCAAATGCACTTCACGGCAAGCTCTACAGATACTCCTTCCAAGCATGCATAAGGGATCTTTACAGAGAAAAAGTAAGCTTCAAGGCCTAGATATGCGTACATGGACCGATTCTAAATTTTCAACATTCAATATTACGCTTTCCAATGTGTTCTAGGCTAAGGATATTCTTTAGCAGTAACAGGCCCTCTAAATAATAATACAGATTTCTTTGGCTTGAAAGTACTGAGACTGGGTCCATACAACGTTCCACTCAAATGTTCAGTCCAATTTTGCCAACTGCCCCAATTTTGTCCGCGACTTACCCGATGGGCTGCACTGTTGAGACATGTCAAACTTCAGTTGGGGGAGAGGGGATTGTAAACTTAAGGACTCCCTGTTTTTAGTTACTTTTACAACTATAGGTCGGCCCTTAAAGAGAGTATTACTCAGCCAATGTCTCTCAAATGTCATGACCAACGCGTATTTGGGTTAAATTTGGATGAGTAAATCAGACCAAAAAATGGGACTTTTTTGCCTATGTCTGTCAAAGTAAATGCAAGGTCAAGTTGACACACATGCACATGGCAGACTGCGTGACCTTTGGCTGTTCTCTTCCACACTCTTACTCCCTAACATCCCCATTTCGACCAATCAGAGATCAGCTTTCCTATGAAACTTTTCAGTTACCAATCAGCGACACTCCACCAAGCACCTTTTGACATTAGCGCCATGTTTATTTTTAGTGGATGCATGCATGCACGGTTTCCATGTCATTGTTTTCACCCTATAATTTCCCTCAAAAATCAAAACCCTGCCCTTTTTCTACAAATTAACCCTGCAGTTTGACAAAATAATTTCACTCATCTAGTTAAATGAGTCTGAAACCTAAAATCTAATTCTTCCTTATAGGAAAGGAGGTCCTGAAATGTACAATAACCGGGGAATACACGTACATGTACGCTTAAAAAGAAAAATGAACATGCATGGAAAGCAATGTCAATCATAAATCTGCATTGAGAATGTGAAAAAAAAGGAGCTAAAGTACACTGCAAGAAAAAATAAATAGAGCAAGGGAAGGAACAAGAGTACTAAGTGGGATGCAATGATTGTCAACAATACTGGTTGCAGTACATGTACATGTAACAGAAATTAGGCCTAGTCTTGAATTAAAAACAAACAGCTAGCCCTGTTCTTACAAATTTAATTGCCCATTTTTCAATGCTGCCACAGGCTTAACAAAGTTGTACATGACCCAGGAAAGCTGCAGCAGTTGATAAAGTCATCATGTCAAGGAAACTGGGATGGTTGTAAGTAAATACATGTAACTAGGCTTTTACTAGCCCAGGGTCCAATTTTTCGGTAAAGCACACGATTTCTGTTAGAGGTTCCACGTATCTAGCAGTACATTAACATTGTTAAGCACAGCCCAAGACAATGCAAACCAGTGACATAACACTAGAAATCTCTAGGCATGTGCAGTCGGCCATTACTAATTAGCACGACCATAACAACCATGCATTCCATGTCGAACCACCGCAATGAAATTGTGCTTAACGTTTGCAACCTTTTCTGCTGAAGTTAGCACAATTTTTGTGCTAAATGTAATAATGTTAAGCAAAATTGGACCCCTGGCCGGGCTATACACTAGGGGGCATGGGTTGGATGCCAGTATTACTAGACATTACGACTGATGACTGACCGTATATTTGAAGTCACAAAACTACATGAACTAATGGCTTTTGTGAGGGCCTGACGGAATTCTTCACCAACATTTCATGACTAAATGTAATTTCTGTTACCGCGTGGAGGAATAAAAATTATCTCCTCCATGGTTACCCCAAAAATTCAAGCATGAAGGTAGGATTAGGATTCATACCAGGAACTCCCATCACTGTCCCTTGACAACATCATAGACAGACTCCTCCAAATCTATGACAACATCAAGACGAACTGAACCCATGTGCGCGGCTCACGCCATGTGACGTACAGTGCTACTCATAAACTTTGGATCCCAGACCAAGAGACAATTTGCTTTATTGAATATAAGGAACCAGACTAATTGTCATAGTAGAGCGCCCTCTCACTGTTTAACTGGTTTAGTTTCCCACTCCCACGATTCCCTGTTTTTTCAAACATGTACACTGAAAGGGTATGTACATTTTGTTGGCACTGTTCTCTCACGGAAGCCGGCACTGATCCCAAGTGAAAATAAACAAAAATCGATACAGCGCAGGATTTAATTAAAAGTCCTCTTAACTCGGCACAAGTGTACATTTTGTCTACATCTCTCGAGTAACACGCACAGCTCTCTACCAAGGCTTCAAGTACATATACTCTCTTTTCTGTTTGTTTTGCTGCAGTCCATTCCATTCAAAGCCATATTTTCATTCAATGATATTCATAATACATGTACTAATTTTTTCACAATTTATTACTATTTTGCGAAGAATTTTGCGTCGTTAGTTCGTTACAGCAGTTGTGTAAAAGTCTGTGGAAGTCAAGAAAACCTTTTCAGCATTTCTTGACAAAACTGGAATTTTTCTCAGTCCCAGATTCAAGATTGTCAGGCATTTCTGCAATGACTGACCAGTATTGCGATAACTTGTGATAAAAAAAAGTGGAGGCGGGACGCAACACTTTTTTCCTTTGTGTAATCAAGATTATGCAACAGATCTGGACTCTCCTAAACTCAGTGAAGAATGGGGAATAGAATACTATCTCGCTTTTTGAGTTGTCTTCTTATTTGAAAACTTACCCACAATATTAATGGTGAATGTGCAAGAGTCGGTAACTGTGCTGTTATCTGGATGCGTTGCTGTGCAGGTGACTGTATTGAGGCCATATTCAATCGGGTCGGGCATCTCGTAATTGAATTCCATGGTGACACCACTGTTGAGAAAATTAGAAACACAATAGCTCATGTGATAGTCCTTTTGGTGGCAATCTCGTGCAACCGTACACAAAGTGCTCATTTTATAATTATTTGCCCATTCTTTAACTTGTCATTTCTCAGTCATGATCTAAAGCCAAAACAACCCAGTCATTCCCGACTCCCTTTGGTTTATCTCCCGTTATGCTCAAACAGCCATCCCTTCGCAGGTCAAGCCTACTGTTAAGCCTACTCTGAAGGCAGTCTGAATTGGAAAGATTTACATGTACGAAGCCACTTTTTTTCCCTGCAAGCAGTAATCTACTTGTCATCTGCAAGCAATGAAATGTCCTAAAATGTCAAATTTAGTAGTGAAAATATTGATGTGTTCACTTGGAATTTTTCAAATCAGTCTCGTAGGGTCCGCTGTGCACACCGCAGGGTGTCAAACGCCATCCGTATGAAATTCTCTCCTAGCCAAAATCTCCACGATGGAATATCATTACTCATGACTGTGGACGCTGCCGAGCCGAGTTGGGCTTCTCTGCTGAAGAGATGAAATTGGGTCTGTGTCCGACCCACTGTTCGACCAGTTTAACAAACTACAAATATACCGAGAGAGGGTTTGCTGTCCGTATCATTTGTTTTGCCTCAGAAATGAAACATAAAAAGTCGTGGCTTTTACACTGACCCGGCAGAAGTAATGTTGCAAGTGATGTTTTCAGCCGGTACTGCCATGTTGTTGTTATCCAAAGCAACAGGCCTCGTTGGATTGAGCACCGTGGTGGTCGAGCTCGCTCGCTTGCTGTTCGTTTCTCCCTCTGTTGACTGAGGACACCACACAGTAACGGTATCAAGTGCAACTGTTGAAGTAAAGAGACAATAAGGAGACATGTGATATTTCTTTTTGCATTTAGGAAAAGAGAATACAGTGAAGTGACATCATGGCACAGAGGAAGCCTGGCTCTCCGGCCTAATATAGCGTTGAAAAAAATTACAAATAAAATAAAATGTTCTTAGTCCCCGCTTACAATGAAACGTTATTTTGCAAACTACATGTACTCTCATTAGTAAGGTCAACGAATTGCCAATAAGATTACAAATTGATAATTTTGGTAGTGATCGCTCGATTTGCGCCGTGGCTCGATCTCATGTAGGCCTGCGACCCAATAAATAATTCCGCCTTCAGACGATTGGATTTTCTTTCAAATTCACAGGCTTGGAAGACAAAGTTGTGGAAGTAAAAGATTTCATACAGGATCGACTTAGTACAGTGGCGATCGCGCTAAACAATTAAGCATGCTCTGAATAAAACTCTTCTTCAGTTAGCAAGCACATTTAGTATTTTGAATAAATTTTTGAAAGTTTCCAAGGATATTCTGAGCATAATCTAAAAGTGGCTTCAGGATACGAAATATTTTCCCATCCGAAACAGTTTTCTTCTCACTGTGAAATTCGTACCAAGTTCGGAAGCTGCAAACCCACAATTTTATTTAATAGCATGACCCTCAAAAGAAGGAAAGTTATTGTACAGTAAGCTTCCTGCTTCTAGCAGGAAAAACTGCAACAGGAAGTTAAATTAAACAGGTCTTACCAGCCAACGAGCACAAGGCAAATACTCCCAATGTAAATAAGATCCATGCCGATGGACTTGCCATTTTGGCGTCACTTTAGCGGACTATCCAGTTGTTGAGTTCACTATCGGAGCCAAGACATCAGGCACAAAGTCCAGCAAGAAGGGCGCTGCGCGGGAAAAATGACCAGCTTGGACAGCCGACGTCTGCCCACTTCCTTCTGGTCTCTACCGAGGGCTTCGTGCTAGGTAGGGCGTTGGCTGCTAAAGATGTACCCTATTCGTGCCCGGATATGAGCCGCTCGACAACAAAAAGGAGGGACGCAACTCTGGACCCTCTCGCCACCTTGTCACCTTTGTCCTCCACTGCACTTACATAACGACCATTGAGTTTTGTTAATCAAGTATGCAACATGCGTCAGCGTGTAGTCTGCAGATTTCTATACAGCACTGTTAACAGTCAATCTGCTTTCTGGTCTGCTATCGTTCTTCAGGCATCCTTAGAGGGTTCAGCTCAAAAGACCTTTTGAATATGTGATTTCAGGAGTAGGTGTGCTGCGTCCTTATTCAAAGCATAATGTCAAGGAGTCGGACAGGGATGTCGCTCCATCCAGAATCAAGCTGAGTGACTTCAGCTTAATCGGTGTTTATTTTGTATCAATGTGATGAATTTCTCCTCCAAAGACAAGTTACTTATTTGCAACATTGTTATTCACACTGATGCACTTGTAGGTCTATATTCAAACGTCATTATTTAAAAAGGAAAAAAGAAATCATAAACTGAATGAAAACAATATCATCTGCTTGGTAAGTTTTACCAAACTAAAGCCTTGAAGTCCAATGAAGAATGCGGACTTCTCCGACAGGAGGCAGCATCACGTTACCGTAAATAACGGGTATGAAAGTGACAGCTGCAGTCGCTCCTGATACCGAATGAATTCTCAATTATTATTCATACTGGGTATAATAAATTCTTGTTTAAAACCGTTTAAAGAAGTACTTTTGAACCTTGAAATCATGTGGCTCAAGTTGCTCGGTCTTTGACATGACACGTTTGTCGTGGGCCGATCTTAGCAAGTGCACGCGACCAAAGTACGCGGTTGCAAACAGCCTCTCTCATTTTTGTCGTCAAATTTTAAATCCCATCGGTACAAACGTGTTTTACAACTTCTAGTTTATGTCTGTAGTCAAGTTTTTTGCACAGCCAACTAAATCGTTGCATTTTTCGTTAGTGTTTTTGTTCCATATGTTTTGTCTGATTTTATCTGTTCAAATAAATACGGAAGCATCCAAATCGAACGCAGTGTCATTTGTCTTCAGAGCTCAACTACAAAAAGCTTAAAATTTTAGGTTTTTATATTTCTGTTCATGCCAAGATACGAAATCTGAATGTAGATTGTGTCTTTCGGAGAAAACAGAAAAAACGAGGAGAACCCTCAGCCTGTGTTCGTAATGGATAAACCCTTGCACGTGTACATGTACATGCCAAACAATCGCTACATGTATATGGGGGGTCAATATCCGGGCTGACCTCGAAATAATTTCATGCGCTGTTCAGAACATGCGCACAATAATTCAAAACCGCTGGCGACTATCACGCCCATGAAGAAATGCCACACATAGATGGAAAGAGCATGGGTAATCACCAACGGAGCCATTGGCAGTGATGGTACATTAATCTCTCTTTCCCCATGAAGAAGCGGTCTATTCCTGCCTCCATGGCGCCGCCGACGAGGTCGTGGGGTCATCGCATGCTATGGCAGGCCTACACCTGCGTGGTGGCCAAATGGTCGTCCCTCCAACTATTGATACAATTAATTAAATTTAAAGTAATTTCTTTGTTTCCACAACTTCGCTCCACTGTTTTTAATGCACATATAGCCTGGTAAAAACTAGAACTAAAAGAGGACGATGACGTTTATTGGTCTATGTCATCGTCTTACTTGGCGCGCTGGCCTGTTTTCTAACTCAGTATTCAATTATTCTAAATCATAAATGTACATGAAATGTTCCCCAGATAGAACCATGGTTGGAACAGTAGTGGAAGGTTGACATTTTTAGAAATCCAGTGTAACAGGTGCCCCCCATAAGCAACCGTCCAGCACTAGGTCCGTCGTTCCCACTGTCCCCATTCCAGGTAACCTGGCGGAGGACATTCATGAGTCCTGCGTCATGCAGTGGCCCTTAGTGTCATGACCTGACTGAATCCTCACTAAATTGACCATACACCCCCTCTTCCTTGAAATAATGCCTGCATGTAGGCTATATTTCCCTTGTATAGCACCATCTCCTGAGAAATGATCATCATGCATTGCCACCATGATCACCAGGTTTTGACACGATGTGTTCATTCACTAGCACCGAAAAGGACGGCAGCTACATGTATACACAAAGCGGAAGAGACACGATAGATAAATATGGGTGTTTTTCGTTGTCTCTTTAAATCAAGTTTTGTCGATGTATTGTAGGCCTACGCCTTGACCTAAAACTCTTTTCTGGTATTCAAAGGAATGATAAATCTCAGGGGAACAATATCTTCAGGTAATGAAACATCCCTATGAACCCTTCTGCTTTTCTTTGTGCCCAAAAAAATCCAAATGGGACAAAGGGAAGTTTTAATTTTAACAGGTGCTTGGGAATTCAGTGTTAATTAAACTGTTCAAAAATTCACTTTGCTTTCATGAATAAACTCTCAGATACTTGTAAAGTCGAACGAGTCTGCTTTCGGCCCATGTTAATGCTGTTGACACAAATCCAGTGCTCGTAGTGCCGAGTATCTACTTCGAGCCTAACAGAACTGAACTGTTGCAATATACAAAACAACGACTCGCATTTGCATGTAGACGGCTGACATGCTCCGACTCAAAATGAAAATGGCACATCTAAATTGGTGTATTTGGGAGGCACCGTGACTACACCACCCGCCCGACTTACAAAGAGAAAAGAGGTGTGATTTTCGTTCTAAACATTTAATGAGGGCAATTGTTCAGAAAATATACATTTACCATGAGCGTCTTGCTCACGGATGACAGCCCACAGATAGACCCTCAATACCCCCCCATGGTCCCCTGGAATTTGAATCTGGTTCCTTGATCCAGCCGTAGACGCTTCTTTTGTGCGCGTATCTGTAACCATATACATGTAAAGCCGTTGAGTCCACGAGACTACATAACGCTGTTACGTATTCTCGTCCTTCAAAATCATCCAGGAGTGAAGTATGCAGAAACGTTCTTCATACGGTGGGTGGAGCAAGCATCCAGACCAGGGGTTTATACGACCACACAAAGAGCATGGGCGTAACTGGGTACATTTTGCTGGGGACTCATTTTCTGGATGCATGCACTGAGTGGGTTTGGTCACAGTGAAAACAATGACCAGGGTAGATGTTTTTCTGCTCTAGCTTCTGAGCGGGGCCGGGGGCACACGGGAGGGGGGAGAGCGTGCCTCATGCCCCGCCCCCTCCCCATCCACAGTTCACGCCACTGTACACAAGAGAAAACCTACATTAAAGCTTAAGCTAAGGATGTTTTGATCATCTGATTTAAACTAAATTATATTTAAAGAATATCTTTGTACAGTCTGCGAATTTGAATGTTCACCAAACCATGGAGGAAGGAATAAACTAACTTCCAAGTTCCTGTCTTCAGCATCCTTGTGATGAAAAATTTTCAACCCAGGGACTCTGATGACGTTCGTTTATGACGGACACAGTTTCTTTCATTAACCTGTGCGTCAGCATCAGACTTTCTGGAAGAAGATTATGCATACAAAGACCCGGAAGAAACTGATTTCGTATCAAACCCCATTTCCTCGTAGTGAGCCTTCAATGACAAAATGCTGCGAAATAACTGTCCTGAAAATGATTGTCCTCTTTCGTAATCTGATCTGTCTCAACTATTATTACGCTTTGGATACTTATTTTATACAGTACTGCATTATGCATGAACTTGCCAGTTGAATAACGCTTCCAATTGTTAAAAAAAAACCATACCACCAGTATTGCCAGACTGACAAGTTTTATTGTAACTTGAATCCAACTGAACAAAATAAGAATAGTGTCAAGTTGCTTTCCTTTACAAATGAATCAAGTTAAATACTTCAGCTGGAGACGGTGATCATAAGGCCAAACAAGGCTGTGTAAAATAAATAACCAAGTTTACTATTCTGGCCAGCTGATGACCACACAGTGGCGTAGCTATAGGACTACATGTCCGAGGGGCACCCAGGGATGCGCACATTTTTTTTCAAGGGGACACCACAAGGAATAAGCAGCAGCTATATTTCAACGGAGATAATCCACAGATTTTCAAATGGGTGGGGGTAACCTGGGGGTTGGGGTGGTAAGGGGCACGGGCATCGCTGGGGGGGGGGGGGGCACGTGCACCCCGTGGCGACTTCTTGAGTGGGTCACAGTCGGTTGAGCTAGCGCAGAAAGCACGGCCAAACTATATCTACCCATGGAGGAAAGACACGAACTACTCAGCATACATAGATGGAAGCTCAACTCCAACTTTAAACTCAAACTGTTTTGGATGTCGAAACTTGTGGATGGGTCAACATTACAGACCCTAGCTATATGCAGTTCCATATTATACACATGAATGTCCTGATGAAGACATCATAGACAGCTATTTTGTAAAACTCTTTTCAAGGGTAGGTACAATGCATTTTCTGTTACAGCAAGCGTCCAAAATGCACCTTGTTTCACTATTTAAGAATGCTGTGTGTTTTGGTACGTTACTGTCTTTTCCACTTTCTTCCTTGTAGCCCTGAATTAATTACCTATTTCTGTTGTTTACACTGCGCTAGATCCTGGAATTTACATACTGTGTTTATGCTGAAGTACTTCGCTGCAACGAAAGCTTCTGCAAAGTTGCAGCAAAGCTAGTGAGTTTTCCAAAATGCAGACAGCAACCTGAAGCATTCGTGTTTTGCAGATGTTGATAAATATTCAATAGGAACAGGGGACTGAAACTTGTTGTTTTGAAAAATGTTTTAAATAAAAGGTGTATGATTTAACGGTAAACTCTCAGACGAGTCCAAACAATTTAGATGTCTAAGAGCCACTGTCATATGGGAGGGGAAGAGACTATTCGAATCAAACAGCGCGATATTGACTGCTCCTGCAATCAAGACTATATAGGCGTCTAGAACCGAGACTATAACCACAAAGGCCGAAATCATTTGCGCCCTTTCTTCAGCCGACACTTTCTTTATCAACAAATTGACACATCGTCAGACCCAACGTTCCTTTTAAGACTAATCACTAGTAATTGCTTTATAAGAGGCGTGGCAAAAGCTAAAAACAGGCAATCAAAGAGCAAAATCCGGGAAGTTAAAGCGAGCTTTCTGGAACAGTTGCTCGCCCCGCCTATGAGGATTGAAGAGTTTACACATGACCGTCCTCACATGCTATAAGTTTTGGAAGGATAATTTCCAAAAACTGAAACCATCTCATCAAACGCTCATGTCAGAATCTTATCTTTATGTTTTTCAGATAATATTATGGAACCTGGACACGGTTAACAGACATTATTCCATACACAACCTTTTACTCCTGGCATTATCATCGTTCCTGGGTCTCCTAGTTTGTTTTCACTTCAAGTACATGTATACTTACGTGGGAATGAGATAATTGCGAAGACTGACCTCCCTATGCACTCGATGGGTTGTGGTTTCAGTTGGGCTGGCATGATCCAATTCGTACCGTGTCAGCAAAGGTTATTAGACTTCATTGTTTTGCATATTCCGAAAAAGCAGTAAATGCATATTATTCCTTTGAGTTTATTTCGTTCATACTTGCACACTGCTTTACTTTATTCTCCAGTTTTTATTTAGTTTTACTTAAAGATCATCATATAATAATTCTTAACTTTTCATCTGCATATACAAGTTTACCCAAATTTGCGCTGGTCGTCATATATTTCAGAGTTTGGAAGTTAGAGAGCTGTTTTGGCATAGTATTTCTCTTTCAGGTCGTAGGCAATTTATAAATTTTTACAAAGGCCATTTTGGAAGTGAATCTTGAGAAGTAAATGAACAAAAATAATTTCAACTTCTAAATATTTTTTACGCTATTTTGCTTATCTAAAAGTTCCAGAAGTGCGCCACTGGAGGTCAAATTTCGGGCTCTTTTGAAACTATGATTTTTTCTGTTATTTGTCTGTTGAAATGCACACAAGCATCCACTTGTACGAAGTCTTGAAGTTGAAATTCCTCTCAGGTATTGGCAACGAAGATGCTCACGCGGACGGTGAACCGGAAAATAAAGGTTGCCGATGTATGATAGTCTGGATCGCTTCCAAACCTGTGATCTGACTGTAGCACATTAGGACGTGACGTGACTGTAATATGATGCAGGAACAAGACTCAGCGATCTATGGTAATTCTATTGCACGTACGTAAGTGTAAACTTATCGCAGGACACGCAAGGAGGATGGGATACACCTACATGTGCATGATGACTGCAGATGGCATACGGTCATTGCTCCGCACCGTCATGCGCAGTTCAGTCCAACACTCGTCATCGTTCTAACAACTCGCGAGGTCCATTGCAGGTACAATCTCTACCCCGACGGTGATAATGAGGATACTGGTACCGTAGCATTGCGGTCAGGATGTAGTTGTCATGGGTGCGTGAGACAGCTAGGAATTCCAAGACGTACTGCGATGCGAGGGCCAGACGATAGCTGGTGAGAAGGACAGCGTGATAGGAGCAATAAACACAGCTGACGGGATGCGGCGTGGAATGGGAAGGTAGATGCTGAATTCACGGTGCTTTGATCAAGCAGGAAGACAAATTTGCATATCTGCGAAGCGTGGTGTTCCACTGACGCTGTATTGGGAATAGACATTAAGTACATGTACCGGTACACCTACAGCAAAGAATTGGTGAGATTAAACAGGAAAACATTGACGACCGGAAGAATTTCGGAGCTGATTGAACTTCAAAGATGAGTACTTCAGGGGATTACAGGAAGGTTAGTGCGTAGATCCCCCCTTTTTTGTTAGAAATCCCCCATGTTTCTTATTCAAATTAGAGTGAGACGTTTAAAATGGTTCAAATCGATATTCTTGTAATTCTTTCATTAATGCCGTCTTTTTGTTTGAATAACCGTGAGTTTTGTACCACGGAGAATTTTCGATATTTTTACTCTCATAATGGGCCTGAAGAGCACAAAACGCTATTGTTTTTAGCCCACCGATACGGCAAAATGGCACACACCAACAGGCACAAGCAAAGAAAGAACGGCTTTGGTCTGACAGACAAGATATATTGGTCAAAGATGAGAATGATAAAGATTGACTGCGGGAAGGGTTCCATATATGGACGTCAGTAATTATTTCTACAGTGACCTATTAGCCGTCAGAAATAAAAAAGAAAACATGTCTAGAAAAGTTCAATTTAGGAAGGAAAAAAAACCAAGCCGTTCACTTAGAAAAATTTTCAGACCAGTTCCATAGGGTTTGTGCATAGGTTGTCAAGTGACGTACGTATATGGACCTCTTTCCTTGACTGGAACCGAATATTTCCAACCGATTGCTGCAGCAAAGCAACTGGGGCAAGTCCTGATTGAATGATTTCCTTACCGTGCCCGATGTTACGATGTGAATTTAAAGCGTATTGGATATTCAACACGTCATACGCACCCAGGGCGTTGTTATACCGTACATAACGCTTAATAAAATCAATATCTCAAATCCCTGCTCGCATGCAACACGACAATGGTAAGAACAATGAACAGGACTACATGCTTTGTTCCCTCAAATCTAATTAAATACTAGAGCGACAATACCACACGCTTTTCACCCGGAGTCACAGTTTCATTTATACTGGTTCCGCGTATTCAACACAAACATCAACGACATAACAAGATGTTTACATACTGGTTGGTTGATTTATTTCTGCACATCACTATAAGAATACATGAGTCCAGTTATTTACAGAATAAATAATAGGTGACGAATGGTGGGCACCAGGCAGAGAGCATGACCTGCGTCGTGTATATCCATGTGTAACTATAATTATAACAATACTGCTAAAAACCTGGATAAACGTGTAAATATTTCCTGACTAATGGATCATGTAATTATATGTTTGGGTCAGAACAGTGGACGTAGGTTAACATTAAGGGTGAACAAAGTCCTCAGAATACGACTGGCGCTATGCAATGCGTTCCTTGGTAGCGTCGGGAAAAACAAGACCAGCATGACCTACTTGGAATGAGAACAAGGATACTGCATCGTACGGTATTCCAAGGGACTTAAATTTGACATATCACCCAGTCTATACTGCAGTTATTCTCCATTTTCCTTCTGCAAACGCAGAAACCTTTTCTGTGGAAACAGCACACATTCCGTAAATTTCTTGACTGGCATGACCGGTCAACCGATAAACGATCCCTCAAGCGGAAAATTTATGTTCCAATTAATATTTCTTGCTCCGCTTTTGACACATCGTTCCCTTCATCATGGAAATTATGACGCGTGATGCCAGGGCTGGTGTTCGAGGCCGTAGGGCGAACCAACCTAAAACCATCTCGCCCGCGTACCATTCCGGATGACAACACGCACCTGTCGCTATTAGTAAAGGCTCAACGACTCGAATTGCGAATTACTCTGAAGACCATCATCAAATACACGTTATGATATGAAAATCAAGAATATGTTAGCCTAATCCGGCCTCTTCTAGATAAAACTGATCCTGTGAGTCACAATATTGGTTCGGGCTGGAAGCTGAATACCTAATACTCAACGCTGATGATGCATTACACGTGTGGTTCCAAAAGATCTGTCTTCATTTCTACCGATTTGCGTAGCCTGAAGTGAAGTCTTCCCCAAACCAACATGGTTACGAAAGGCTTAACTCTGATAGATACGACATAAGTAGAGCACACAGAACAAACGAATAAAGCTTTTGTTGGTACAAAAAATCCTGTATTCCAAATCGTTGCTGAATGGTAGGATTTCTTCAGACCATCTTCGTGATCATAATCACTTCTATCAAAATCAATAGGGAGAGGGGGGAGTACTCTGATTAAATGGTACAACGAAAGCCGATCAGGTCACTTCAGATACTTCGCACAAAAGATTTTGATTCCGTATAGAAGTCTGTTTTCGTATTTCTACGGATTACCCACTTTGCACGGCAAGCTTCCCGATATGCCGGACAGTGGCCCGAGTCTTGTTTGTAAGATAGGAATAGCAATGATCATCTGAGTGTGATCAGCGTAGTCTCCCTGGGGACGGGGTAGTCTTTACAACACATCGGTTTACCTAGCGTATGCCCCAGAGCAGAATTTGCAATAGATCGGGAAAATTGAACAAGCAACAGAGTTTTTCCTAACAACCACTCAAAAATAAGCGACATGTTCAGTTACAAGGACAAACGAGCCTGCAATTTGGACAATGGTCAGCGAGGTTTTATAAAAACAAGCTAGCTGATTCAGTGACTCTAGAAAGAACTTTCTTCACTCACTCAAATCTGGGTCAAACATGAAAGAGATATATATGGCACAACAATGTAGAAAGAGGTACATTATGAAAACATGCAAAACACCATGGACCCCTTCTCCACGGGCAACAATTGTTAAAAGGTACGTGACTTTGCCTCCTTGAACCTTTTTGGCGGGCCTTTGTTAAGTCTTGGTTGTTTGCTCCTCTGTCAAATTTGTCAACACTTTACAATCTTGGTGACCTTTGACTTCGTTGCCATAGGTTACCCTAATGATGGAAAACCCATCTTATGACGGTCTCGCAGACGGGCGTAGCAGGAGGCGGCCGCATCATCGCATGAAGCCCTTCATTCTTGTCATCCTCCTTCTTTTAGCCGTGGTGGGCGTGGCCGTGGCTCTTGCTGTCATTTTGACAGGTAAAGATTAAAGTTTGGTGGTTAATGGTGAGCCATCTGCGCTGTAAGCAGCATTTCATTGGTTCGAATCCGTTCCTTTCCAATGCTCTAAAGAGTTCTTTAAAAACACAGTATACACAGCGCTTTTGACTTAACATCCATGACTCTCAGAACCCAATATGTTATATACCCAGCAAGAAATGAGACCGAGGGGTACCAATGTTAGCATTATAAGATCAACAGGGGTGTAACAGCAAGAGATAGTGACGCGGCGGGACGTCTAGACGCAACTGCCAAATTATGTTGTTTGAGGACTGACATACAGAGTGCCAGCTGTCACCAGCGAAACATCAATGCCAAAATGTACACGCTGCGCCATTAAAGGTTCATTGTTATTCTCACGATGTGCAGTTCTGAGACGGTATTCCATCCTTAAAATTTCATTCTTCTCTGCCGTCACATGATACTCTGGGTAAAAGCCTCCTTTTTGCAGTGAGGGTGTTGTTAGAGTTCTCTCAAGTTTATGTTTAAGAGTTGGGTAGGCAAACTTCGGGATTTTTCTCTGAAAAATAAGAACGAAATTAGAGACTGAAAAATTTCCTGCGATGCACAGGAAGGGATTCAAAGCTCCTTGTAACAACTGTATGGATACGGCTAAAAGCATGGCCGGTCTTGTGATACAAAACACGGAAAGCGTGGAGGCAGTGCTACCCTATTCAAATAGAGGCCACGACATTCAGATTCTCCTTAGCTGTACGGTACCATATTACACGACTTGTCATGGTAATAAGACGGGGCCTTTTTAAAACTAGGTCTCTCTTGGGGCTCGCGGCGAACTAGCTCGAACCTCGTGAAGGGTTCTTATGGTAGTACTTAATAATCTCCCGAGGGCTTTCACAGTGAACTGCACGGCAGTGAGACATCCACGTGAAGTGGGTCTGGAACCAGACACTGTGTTTTACATGTTGATAACGAAACTCGATGCCAATGAGCCGTCATGTAAGCTATGCTGGCAATCTGAAACAGGCCAGCTTAACTCATATGAATACTCAAAAAAAATCGCCAGGAATTTCTGAATATTGTAATCTTTGATTGGAGCTTGGAGCAAAATGAGAACGAGGGTAATAAATAATCCGAATTGTTTGGTGGCGCCGGGCTTTTAATGGCTTGCGGGTATATTACAACGAGAGTGTATAACTATAAACAGTACACGTCGACTTTATGTAGGCCTATATCCAGTCCCCTAGAAGCCACGATAAAATAAATTACTAAACTAACAGTATGGCAATTATACCAGCTTCTATTTATGACACATTTTCTAGACATACTAATTAGCGGTATCAGAAACTCTTGGCCTCGTGATGTAATTTAATTTCGAAAGCAACGTTCTTTAACCACGTTAAAACAAAATGTAGAGTTATTATAAACAGACCAGCCTTACACAGTCCGTCTCCGGAAGATTTATTTTTCTTTTACAACTTTTTCCCTTCGGCAGGAAATAAAACGAATTTGGACGTTCCAGGTAAGAATTCCAAAATTTGCTGAATTTATTTCTATTTTATCACGCTTAAAAGTAAACAGTTAACTGCAGTGCATTGGAAAGAGACAAGTCTGCTTACCAAGCTTTTTTGAATACAAAGTGCGTCATTCACGAGAAGGCCTCTTTGTGATATCAACCGATGATCAACTATGTTTACTTGAGATATTCGTTTAAAAATGTCTTAACTTGTGATTTCTGGCGATGCCAATCCGGTTTCTTGTCTAGACTTTTCCTGATGGCTTAGTGATCTGGCCAACTTTTGCTTTATCATTGAGTCTAACTAGAGGGACTCGAGGGAACTAACGGGCTTGGTTCTATTTGCTTCGTGGCCGTTTTTCAGAGGAAGTGACGATACTCGGTAGCCTGCACATATCGAATCGTGAATACCGAGAATCGTATGGGGACAGAAGCACTAAGGAATTTGCCTCCTTGGAGAGAGAAGTTGTTGATGCAGTAAGTTTCAGTGCCTCTTCAAAAGGAAAAAAAGTATGGACTTGCTTGTGTGCTCCATCGTATGACCTCGACTCAAAGCTATCATAGGCTGAGGCGAGGCTAACGCCCCACCTAACGATGTTTTTCACCATTATCCCCGGAACTATAGAAGCCCATCAAGCATGAAGTTTCCTCTCGAGAAGTCTTAAAGGTTATAAATGACACCGCCATCTCAATGGTGTAAATTCTTTTAAAGTGACATTTACCCAGGTAATAAGGAGAACTCACAACACTAGTAGAACCTTTCTTTGGCTTTAAAAATTGATAGAGAGATGCAAGCATTTCGTTTACATGCCGTTAATAGTGCTCAAAGTTGCATGCTTTTAAAAGTCAAAGGGCGAATCGCGTATGGTTAATCAAGTTAACTGCAGAAACTACGAAAGAAACATTAGCTTTTATAATCGTTGGACATTGTCACGTTGTGTAATAATTGTGATACTGCCATTTCAATGTCCTCAACTCCCTGGTTTTATGAATAGAGGATGCCAATTACCTAACATTTGGATGTTTATATTAGTTTGAATTAACAATGATATCGGTGTTTTCACATTTCTTCACTAAGATGGACCGCCTTTACAACAAAAGTCTATTTCGCAACATTTACGTCGGAACCAGTGTTACAGAGATTAGGTAGGTTCAGGGTAGTTTCATTTTATGTCTACGATCGTTTTCATTGCGTCTTGATGTTGCGATAAGCAGTCTTTTTTCATATAAAGTTGTATTTAGATTTTTATATTGCTGCTGTTATTTTGACAAGTGCACCCTTTGGTCCCTTTCGTGGATTTGGGGAGGGATGTCCAACTTTGTAAGGTGCACTACATCTCAGTTTTCAAACTAATTGTCACCACTTATATACATGTCACTGTTTGTCTTCAGGAAGGGCAGCGTAGTGGTGGATTTCGCCATCCATCTTGAAATTCCAAAGACTTTGTTTGACCTGAAACAGGACGAGCACAAAAAAGTCTCAGCGCCTGAGTATAACGAAGCCTACGTGCATCTTGTCAAAGCCATAGACGACAACACACTGGGAGAGTTTACAATAATCGAGTTCAGTTTGTCTTTTGATTCAAGTAAGTGCTGTCAGATTTAAGGTCAACCAGGTTTTACAGTGGGCTCCTTCATCGTTTGGTGGCAGCAAACATAAATTTGTCGAACATTTTACACCGGGTTTCTCAACGAACTGATTGAAGTTGCAGTCCTAAACATAAAGAGTTCACCATTCAAGAACTTTTGGTTTTGTACAATAAATAGGTAACTATCAATTTACACATAAATTTCACTGAAATTACATAAACAAAATGAAGTACAAGTATTACGTAGAGGTTTAGAGTCTTTTACATGAAACATTCATTGATCTCTCTGTCTTGTTCTGCTTGGATCTTTCCTTGATTTATCTCTAAATATTCATCGTAACCATCTTCAATCCAAGGTTTGTTGACTTAATCGTCACTCTTGTCAATCGGGGCAGGCCTATCTGCTCGTTTGTCGATAAGTCTTGCATACATCTTTTTCTGGGGTCCGTTTCCAACAGTGAATAATGTCCAAAGAAATCCCAGTGCATGGACTGTATCTAACTTGATTAGATTTGGCCGGCCTTTTTGCAGAGAGTCTAAGTTTTCAAGCTATAACCCTGCCGCCAGTATCCAAGACAGTTGGTCAGGCAGACCAAGGCGAACCTACTCTTAGCCCGTTACCAACAGGTAGGTGCCCAGTTTTATCGTATTAAAGAAAGTTTTCTAATTTTTGAAGTTGCCTTTGAAACTCTGGTCCAACTTCTGATCCGCCCTGTCCTTTTAATTAAAAAAAGACCTACAAAGTTTAGTGCTTGGGGCCAGAAGTTTGGCACTTTTCGGGAGGCAGTGTGGACAGCTCACGCGACGGTAACAGAAAATAACTCAAATTAAAACGGTTTTCCATCAGCTCCGGGCAGTAACGGGCGAGGGTGCTATAGCAACAACGGCCTTTGCCGGGAACGATGAGTGTACGCGTGCACATGTACTGCGTTCATGCGTTTTTGGCATTTGTGGGTGTTTTCGGGGAAAACCAAATATGAAAAATTGCATGGCAAACCCTTATAAAATTTGACTTGAAAAATGAAGTTCTGGTCATAAACTTGAAATTTCTAGTGAAAAACTATCAGAGGGCCAGCCTTCTGAGAGTCACCAGGCGTCATTCTTAATGGTACTTGGTATATAGTGCAGCCTGCATGTGTGTTTGGCAAGTACAAGAGCCCGGTCCGGTCGAAAAAGTTCCCACCAGCCCGTTCCTTCTTTACCGGTGAGGGTGCACTTCAAGTCAGGATGGATTGGTCGACAGTGGTCTTAAACACTTGATAAAGCACCACCTGGCCGTGCACCACTTCTTACAGAATGCGCCACGTGGGCGCCAGTCGCCACGACGACTCACGTGAGGAACATACCATAACGTGGCCAGAGGGGTGTTTGAAAACATGAAGTAAAATTTCGTTGAATAAAATGAGAAATGTCCAAAACTTGTTTTGATTTTGAGGATGTACAGATCATTATGATCAGAATGTGCTTGGCCGGTCTTAAACGTCGTTTAACAACGGGGGGGGGGCGGACGTTGATTATGTCCCTCGCCTTCGGCTCGGGCATTATCAGCATCCGGTTACGACCACTTAATATGTCTCCAGGGACGTGTTTTTTGCGACCACTGACCAGTAAAGTGGTCTGAGAAAGCTCCAAACCCGACGTCATCCCACGGAGACAAAATACGCAAAGAAACAGACAACCTTGTTGATTTTCACTCTATATATTTTGCATGTTTCTTACCAGTGCTGCATTCTCTCTTTTCACATTCTAGAGGAAAGTATACCTCTTTTGATTTGCTGCATGTAACAACAAATTTTAGAATGTATAATTCACGTATTTGAAAATTGTCTATTTTCTGCCATCTTGAACGAGCGCTGAGCAAACTCCACTGGGTTGGTCAGAACATTCATGTCACAAGGGCATTTAACCGAAGTCGTGAAAATGCCCAGCCAGTGACCAAGTCAGAAACCTCCTTCTGGTCAGGGTCGACAAAACACACCCCAGTAGTCAAACGTCAAGTAAATTGACGAAAATTCATTGCTTGCTGCTAAAAGGCCTACTAGTTGAAGTCTGTGTACCAGTTAATGCTCAGCGTTTGACGAAATAATATGGCCGGTGACTGCAGCAGCCTTAGATTGCAGCAGAACTCCGATTAATATTCCTCATGCAACGTCGTTTCCCTATCCCCTTGTGTTTTCAAGATGAAAAAGAGATAGCCCTAGCTGCTTTGCGAAGCCCGCAGCTTTATTTGCGATCACAACAATAACCCAGTAGGGGTGCTGATGATATCTTGTATATAATACGTATTCTCCCTCTTCAGACGCTTGCAATGACAACCCTTGTGTTAACGGTGGCACGTGTGTGCTTCAGCCCGAGACAGCTCTGTACTTCACTTGCAAATGCCCGGAGGGTCATAGCGGCTATCTTTGTCAAAATAGTGAGTATAGTTTAGAGTACAACGCGATCTCATCCAAAATCTACATGTCCGTTGTGTTTCCGTTCGTTTTAGCTGCAAATTGTATTTCAGCGAACAAGTTTTTTTTCAAATCTCCACTGTAACTGAGGGGCCAGAGCTACGTTGGAGTGGATAATTATACTTTACTAAATATTGTATTTTATATTTCTTATGACCAAGTTCTGCCATTTTCATCCTTGATATCGGTTCTAAAGAAGTTGGTAAGATGCTCACTGCTTGGCTGCAAAGTTTCATTAGGTTGTCGAGGTTTGGTCCTGGGTGTGAAACGGGGGGATTGAGGACATCCCCCTAGTTTTTGGATGGGGATGGGCAATACAATTGTCCCCTAGTTTTTTGTGCCAAGCTAAAGTAAAAAAATATTAGCACCCGCATGCAATCCATTAAGAAACAGAAGGGGCAAAGAGTCGACTGATAATACATCACTGTAAGATTGAGCATTGGTTTCAGAGAAGATAGACTGATGAATTACAGGAAAAGATTAGCCTGCTAGTATTAAGATACTTTTTCATTATTAAATCTTAGATAACTTTTCAGCAATCCGAACAGCTGTCTGTCGTTTCATTTGGTGCCACTCTGAGGAGGCTGTATACCTTCAGTACAAACGTCCTGTATTTTGCTCACTTTTTTGTAGCTTTCATGGGGAAAAGAGAAAATGGGGAAAAAAATCTAGGCATCCTCCGGTTAACTTTAGTATGATACATAATGAGACCAGGGAAATTCATAGCATAGGAAAAAAATGCGCGGATCCTGTACGAAATCAGTGTTATGGGATATGTCTGAGGGACACCAGTGGCGGTGTCACGTGGTTCCTAGCCCCCTGGTCGTCATTTCTATTTCTCAACTTGTCTATACAAATTTACGCTACTATAAGTAACCTGAGTCCCCAAGCCTTCAATAACACCGATTGTCAGACAATCTTGATCCAAAACTTGATAGAAAGTAGACGTAATCCGATTTACTCAGTCGAAGTGGTTCTCATTTATGTCTCGTAAGAAGTAATAAGTATACTGCGTCTGAATTCCCAACTCAGCTCAGTCACAATGCGATGCCAAACCCTGCATGAGCAATAGCAAATGCGAGGATGGGCTGCATTACTTTCGTCGCATATGTCCAGACGGCTTCACAGGAGAGAGTTGTGAGACAAGTATAAGATTATAAGCCCATGTATTCCAGGAAGCTGCAGGTGCATCGTTGTCGCATTGGTGTGCACCAGTCACATCGAAATATCTGATCCAGTGTTTTAAACGTCCACATTTGAGTTTATCGCAGCCGTCCATCACAGTGTTCATAATACATCGCTCCAGTTGGGAAAGCTTGAAGGATCAACCATTAATTTTTGTCTGTGACGCTTTTAATGGCTTTTACAGTCGCCGTTAATTTGTGCACATGTACAGCTTTCAAAAGTATGGTGGCCCCGAAGGGACATAAAATTCATGACTAGTCGTACGTCGTGATTTTATTCGCAACTAGTCGTGAATATTTTCGCGACGTCGTGAATTTGTTGTCACTGCTAGTCACGAATATTTTTCCATTAGCCTGGAGAGTAAATGCGCTAGTAACAAATGGCAAATACATAGTGATTAGCGCCTGCTTGGCCTTGGCCTTGAGTATTCTTTGGTACAGAGGTAGAGTGACCATGGGCATGTACTAGGCTATAGCATGGTTGTCCACGAGCGAAACCAAGTGGAAAGTGAAGCTGTGCACTGAGAAAGAAACAAGGGCATTGGGAACGTATGGTGTACTATTTACGACAAACATTTCTCTCTAGCCTCTCTACAGGCGACGCAATTACACGACGCGACGGCACGACGACTCCCTTCCATTGTGCCATCGGGTCGCAAAGTGGCCTTCTTGCCATTACGTTTGTACACACACGACGCGTTGCTTCGTGCCGTGCCGTCGCCCGTCGCGTCGTGCATTGCATCGCCTATTTCGTCGCCTGAAGTACGACGTGACACACGACGCACGACGCACGAGCAAGTTTAAGGACTTGTAACCATCTTGAACGGTCCTATTATAAGCGGTCTTATCATCATTGTCAATTCACTTACAAGTACAAGTACAAGTTACCCAGTGCTTAGCAACAATCGAAACCATTAATCCGATCAAACCTGGCAATAACGTTAAAAACATAACCCTTCTGGTAAATCCATATCGCTCAGAATGATCAGTGGAAGAGAAACAGGCCCCCAGCATTTTTGTTTGAAACTTCTAATGTGTCTTGTGATCTGTTTCCCGCCGTCAGTTGCTCCAAGTAATCCATGCAACAGCAACCCATGTCAACACGGTGGGCAGTGCTGGTTCGGCACAATAGACGGTCAGGATCGCTATACTTGTATCTGCCCACCAGGCTACGACGGGCAGAATTGTGGGAATCCTAAACAGACACGTAAGATGAAGTGTTATCACCTTGGTAGTTCATCTCACGAGGCAGGGGCTCCATGTTTTATCCCCATCCTTCGTCTGGTCTTTTATCACCATCCACCGATCTGCATTGTATCATCACCCGTCTCCATCTTCCATCCAATTTCACATGTACAGTACATCGCCATTACGTTCCTCTTTGGTTGAATCATCCTGGTACCGTAGTTGTCCAAGACAAATTTGTTCCTCATTGTGACTTTGTACTTTTTCTTTGTCTTCGTCTTATGCCGCCTTCACACTCCTTATTTTGTTTAAGTCTATACTTTTGCACATGTATCAGTTGAATTTGCTGTAGTGCATCGTTTTCCTTGCCGTCATTGTTACACGTAATTCAGTGTCATCGTCGTCTCCCATCATCACGATCGTCATCATCGTCATCATTGTCATGGCTTTAATAATCGGTGAAATAATTTCATGAACGAGGTGTGAAAATATGAATTACTCTTTTTCACCACTTTCCCTGCTTCCATTTTCTCTTGGATCTTGAAATGCAATCAGTGTAAACCGGAACCAGGTGAAATGGTTACGTCACTGATGGCCAGCTGAAGTCGTCGCTAGAGATATCTTCTTGAATTCTGAGAGAAAATGTTAAGATCTATCGAAAGACAGACTGAAGGTTGGAAAATACCTCCTACAAAGACGTGTGACTAGACTGTTTTCCTATCTGCTTCACCGAGGCAAGAATTATGCAGCCCGGACGCACGAAGAATCAGACATGCATCTAGAAGACGTGACAGTCCGGAAAATTATCCCTTAAAATATCCTCACAATGTTACAATGCAGGACCATAAAGCTACAAAAATTTGCGTGTATGTCTTTAATCAAGCCTACAATTAAATTAAACCAAGTGAATTCATAGCATTTTACTGTTATGAGTAAGGGTTGTTCAAAAGAGTCCAACTTAAAAAGAAGTCGAAGGTTTATAAACTTACCTGAACGTAAATTTGATTTTTATTGAAAGGATATCCAGCCCGATGCGAGATTTCCAGAGAGCACACTTTAATTACAGTTATTCCGTTAAGGCCCGTTTACACGCGCGTGGTAACGGAATTCCGTGCCGTCAAATATACAAACCACGTGGTTTTCATTATAGGTTGTTTGCATGCAGAGCGGACAGACCGCGCAGGTTCTCCATAGACACCAGAGCGATAAATGCCGCGCCAAGACTACACATACTGGCAAATCAGCGTTCTCGTTGGTATGATATCACAGCTTGCTGCCACGTCGTATTTGTTGGTTATCATTAACTTATATAATAGACAGGCTCCGCTGCTGTGTAAATGTAAAATATCGTTCGGTATTACGGCTTTCCGTAACCACGCATGTGCATAAATGTGCCTTTTCTCAAAGAAAGCAGAGGTGAAACCACCCTTAAATTTTCCCGGCTACGACTGTTCACTGAAAGGGTTTACCGAAAAAATACACCTAAAGACTTACAGGGAAGAAAACAACGTTAGAATACTTGTCGTCTCAAAGAACCAAACTTTGTCGATGGTTTCAGGCAGACATTACCGGTACTAAACAATTTCAAGTGAAGTAGTTCCACTGCATATGCTTTGAAGTAAATGGTTCGTCGCGGTCGCGGTCGAATTTGTCATGAGAGAAATATAACTTTTGTTGTCTCTTTTTTGTTGTGCAGAGTGCATTGACATCCCGATCCCTCAATGTTGTCCCTTCCTCCCTTATAACCAAACCGTCTCCCCCAACCCATTTAAGCTGACGGAAACCCACGAGGAACTTCTCGAATTCTTTGAGTTGTCTTATCACTTCCTGACACCGACTTGTCACCCGGACGCCCAGCGAGTCTTGTGCACCATTCTCAATCCACAGTGTCCCCAGCTACGGACAGCAGGTCACGCAGCAGGTGACGAACAGGCGTCGGTATTGGACTTCCAGCTACCGTGCCGGTCGGTTGCCGGGAGGTTCATGACTCGTGCCTGGCCAACCTCCCTTCACAGCTCCGTGGAGAGTTCGAGGTCTTCGGCAATTTCTGTTATTCCCTGCCGGAGTCTACAGAGGACAGTATTTGTTTCCGCTCTTCCAGTCAAGAAACGCCTGACAGTGGTAGGTAATAGATCAGGGGCCGTGTCTGAAACGGACTTCCAGAGCTACGGCTCGGTGTATTGTCTGCGCGTCTCCACACATTTCCAATGGAGCGACGACCTAGACCTAGCTCTAGACAACAGATTCGGATGCAGCCTTATTCACTGGGGAGCCATTCGTGATCATGTCCCCAGAATCTTGTTTATTCACTGTAATCTGTTAAATGGGGTGGTGTCAGATTATTTTGAATTCCATGCCTCATTTTCTTTTTTTTTAAATGTAGCTTAAAACAATTAGACGTAATTAATCACAAATTAATATCTATCAGCATACATGTTATTAATTTGTGATTAATCTTTATTTATGGCTTTCATTTTTATTCCCAGATCCACAACACTGAAAAAAAATAATTCCACTTCAGTTCAATCTGGCCGACTTTTGAATATGGCCAACTACAGAACAGAATGTAACAATTGTTATTTATCACATATCCAATGGGAAAACATATCCGTGCCTGTGTAAAAGGTAAAAATAGTACACAAGTTGACCGGCTGATTTATCAGACACGATTGAATCACAATGTCATTTAGATGCAAAATGAATAAAATTATAGAAATATATGACCGTCGTGATATGGTGAGGAAGAAAAGTACTATGAAGCTCGAGGCTCTCCTTGTCCAGTAGAAGAGGTCAAGAGAGGTCCACTTTCCACAACAAATTTGTCCAACAAAAAGGGATGAAGTGGTAATTTGTTTTGTTTAAGCCACCATTTTAACCCACTCTCAAAGGTACGCGACATTATATCGAGGAATCAAAATCTAAATTTTTGGAGGCAAATTTCATGAAAACAAGCAGTTTATTTGACATAACCTACACGATTTGAAACGAAGACTAAGTTGACAACAACTAGTTTTTTACAAAGTAGTACGTAAAAACTTGTCCTTTAGTCGATCAAGGCATCGAAGTATGTTTGGATTTCATTTACAGGGCCTATCGGGTGCCTGTCCTCACCGTGTGAGAACGGAGGTGCTTGCTTGGAACTCAACGGCATTACCAGGTGTAGATGTCCGCAGGGCTACGGTGGACAAACGTGTGCTTTTGGTAAGAGTCTGTTCAGTTATGTTCGCAAACACTGAGACAGGTGCATAGAAATTGCATAAATGTCTTTGGGGGAACATTGCCTTCACTGTGTTATCCAAGACGCAATGCACGTATATGTTTCAAGCTGTGAGCAAAATTCATACAAGAGTACAAAATGTGATGGTAAATTCAGCAGACGGTTACTGACTGGACCTGAAAGGGCTTGCCTGAAACTCTAAAGCTTCTCTTGAAAGTGACAATCTTCATCTCGACCGCGCGTTGGCGCCAGTTAATTTCCCGTATCCGGTTGAATAGCACATCACTGACAAGTCAGCCAATAAGAGTAACACTGGAAGTTGTCGCTTTTATTTTGTTACTGATTTGGCAGAGTTGCCCAATCCTTGCTCACCCAGCCCATGTATGAACGGCGGAATTTGTAAGGTGAGCGAGGATTCTCTGATACCGCGATTCACCTGTGAATGTCTGGCACCCTACCAGCCACCTTACTGTGACTCGGGACAATGAGAGGTGAATATGACTGTAAGTATTTTCTTTTTTTTTTTTTTTCAAATAACTGATTCTAAATATATGAAGTCACATTAAGAGCGTACCGGTAAAGATTGAAAAAGTTGTGACGGTGGACATAATTATTGTTGTCCATATGGTGCACATCAGTGATATTTATTCAAGTTAAAGCGGTGCCTTTTGATTATTTCAAGATATCTTCATTTATTTAAAGATATCTCTAATTATTTCAAGATATCTTGAAAAACTTTTGACACTTAAAGCCTTTGATTCATGCTTTTGAGATGTCTTTTCACTGATTCCCAGATATCTTAAAATCAATTTCAAGATATCTTGAACTCATTTTCAAGATATCTCCAAATGATTTTAAGACATCTGTAGATTTATTTCAAGAAATCTTGTAATGTATTTTAAGGTATATTCAAAGTGTTTTCAAGATATCTTTAAATTCGATTTCAAGATATCTCCCAATGAATTTGAGATATCTTAAAATGGATTACAAGATATCTCACAAACGACTCACTGATATTTCAACATCCATTCGAGATATCTCGAAATAATCAAAAGGTACCACTTTAACTGAATAAATGTCACTTTTGTGCGTCATATGCCCTGTCTCCCCAAACATCACACAATATGAGCGGTGCACAATACTAGTGCGCCTCCAAGTTTGCAACGCGTTGGCTAATCACGATGCGAGAATCTGTTGACCCAATGCGCGTTTGGAAAGGGTCGATAGATTTCGTACATTTTGATTGGCCAACGCGTTGGAAACTCTTGGAGGCGCTCTATTGTGAATCGGCCGTATTGAACTACTTGTTTAATGTAACAAAGGACAAAACGTTTTGTGTATAGAGTTCAACGAATATGTAGACAGGAAATGGAAGAAAATTAAAGTTTTTGATCCTGCAGTTTGGAGAACAACGTCTCACTGGCGAATGATCACTCTACTGATGTAATTTCTTGTTATCTTCTAAGTTGTTGTGATTAAGCCTATGGGTCAAGTAAACTTTATGATGACACAATCTTCACAGGATGAAAAATGTTTGTGTTCTCATCAATCACTTTACAAAAGAGGCATGTAACCTTTTTTGATCACTTTTTCCACACAGAAACTCTTTGTCATGAACACCAAGTGACGAGTAACTGCTCCGTGAAGTGATCCGTGACCCCTGACGTCATCTCATAGAGCCGATCAGCTTCCGTCCCTATTCCTGTTACATCATTAATATTACTGCTGCGGGGAAGTAATACCTTTAATGTTGTTACTTGCCAGTCAGTGGTGCGAGATGTAAGATCGAAACAGTGTGTTTTAAACCACATAAATGTTGGGAATTTCGAAACCTTTTTCTTAAGACGCATTATTTATTGTTGTAACTATTTATCTTTTGATAAATGTAAACATTCTTGCTGGCTTCATTTTACCTGAAAAGTATACTTCACATTTATTTAGTCAGAGCTCGCTCACTGAATTGTAAGATGCTGTAGAGAAACTGAGTTTTTATCCATTTGAGTTCCAATGAAAAGTTCACTGAAATATTCTCTTTCATCTGTTTTGGAGGGTCTCACTCCACAAACGGACTCTGTTTAAGTTCAAATAAATTTGTAAGGTAATGGTTGTTTTGTGAATTTACAAAACGAAATTAATCGTTTAAAATGGTTGTAAATAGCGATCGAGTATCATTATTTAAATCCACATTAATATCTTTTCGTCTCATTATGTTTATATAGTACAAATATATAAAAGAAGTAACGCCCATTCTCGAGAACATAATACACAATAGTAATAGCTTCAACACAAGAGTAAGTTGAAAATTTTGCCTTTGTAAGTATACCGCATAATATTATTTTGATGAGAATGATTCCTAAAAGCTATAGGCTAAACAAAATTTTACATTTCCCCTGGTGTTTACACACGGGTATATACACCAATTGAATTAGTACGTAGTACGCATTATTTGTATAGAACTCTATAAATGTATTTTTCATTTGTGAAAAGTCTAGTAACCGTTCAGAAAATTTCCGATTTTTTATGAGGGGCATATACCATAAAATGCTTGATTTCCTGTCAAAAGATTCAAACGGTTACTTAATACACAACGAATCTTTTCCTTTTGTGACTTTCTCAAACTGTTTACAGTGCCCTTATCAAATCAATGGAAGAAAGATTCATATAATACATATTTAAATCATCTTAAAGGAAGACAAGTAATTTGTATAGATAAGGAAACTTAATATGCTACCTTAAGTGTTCAGAAAGACTTTATGATACAAAAATTAATTGCAAAAAGCACGGCAATATGAACTGTCGATGCTCAAAGCTTACGTCTTTATATACATATCTACGCTTGTGTATGGACTGTCTTAGAAAATAACCTATGGAACGCCTTGGACAGCAATCCGGAACGGAACTACACAAATGATGCGGAAATGTGTCATCAGGTAGCATTTGGGCAAAATGTCTGAAGCTGCTCCAAGAGTTAGGCCTACGTCTGTGACGCTGTGTCTGCTAAGAAGCCATAGGCAATACCTGGGCTGTAATTGAAATTAAGGCTCTCTTTCACTGCTACTCAACCATCATCAAACAAGAGTCCTGGTTCGCTGGATGTCAGAAGTTGGACTGACTTGTTCCGCTACATTTGTGACAATTTGTGTTAACTCTTGGGACAGTTAAATAAAATTGCAGCACACTTTTCGAAGATTCTATTCTCTTGTTTCTCAAGTTTATGTTGCATCATTTATCGTATATGACGACAACTCTTGAATTTCACACTTTTGTTACTGTCAAAAAGTTGCTCTGACATGCTATAGAGGCTTTGCGTGGTACCATCTTGTAAGTCAGGTTTTTCGTTCCACAGGGAAACTTCCTTGGTGTATACCCTGTGGACCTAAAGCACTGGCCTGCAAGATGGCAGTCATGCACATCCTCTATACCCTGTTTCGCCACCATATGTGAGTGAGTGTATGACCTATGCCAGTAGGAAGTCGTCATATCCGAAACATTCATTCTTTCACAATGTTTTCTCTCTAATGACGAGCTCCCTTCTCATGGCAATGACAAACGGTTTTCTGAAGTTTCCTTGTTCTTATTCTTGACTGGACAACGGGTGAACTTCTTCCTATCGATGGGTGACATTGACGAGACGTCATTCACAACGTTGGTGGCACTGGGGACTTCAGGGTCGGTTGACACGGCAACATCTGCAAGCGAATGAGGGCGTGCTCGCCCTGTAAGATGGATTTTAAGACGAAACCGGTATTCTGAATTTGCCATTCATCAACCGAAAAGGTTAAATCAGTGTAAACTTAAGACACTTCCCCTAGAGGCATCTCTTGCTTTGCTTAAAGCTTGAGTCCTTAGTTGATATATCTCTCTGGAATAGCCTTGAGTAATGCTTTAAAGCGTAATACAAACCTCTGAGATTGTTGGGCTTTGGATACAATGGCCTGGACAAAGCGAAATCAGCAGCGGATGTGTTAGTGCCCCTTTAAGGAGAAACATAATAATATTGTTATTTTTTGTCGTTTATACATCAATAATGTGCATTTACAGTCGCTTTGCTGACACGCTTTAACAGAATATTAAAGTGAATGATTGACAGGCTGGCATAGGTACTTCCGTAAAATAGTTCGTTGTTTGGGGGTTAATGTCTGCACACAAGTGCATCCGAGAAATGATGAATCCACTTGTCCTACGTCACAAAATCGTGAATGGTTAACCTTGATAACCCATCTGAAGGGCGGAAATCTTTGAGCTGCAATATAACCGCTGGAACACTGGAAAACCATACAAACTACTTCGAGGACCTTTTATTGAAAAAAAACTGTTTCGCAAAGCTAAAGCTGAATCGCATAAAGGGAGGTTTTGTTTCAAAATGAACGCAAGGGTGAAATACGAACCGTGTGGGGGTGCCACAGGACTCTTACAGAATGAAAGGTCGACGTACAAACACTAACCTGTCCACCCACGTGGGTTTGACAGTGAGCACCACGTGACCAGGCATTCCTTTGATCAGACCGGCGACGCGTTCGGCGTTGTAACCACGTACTGGCTTCCCGTCAACCTCCACAATCTCGTCTCCTGTGAGAAATAGCGGGGGGGGGGAGTCGAAGGTCAGCAATCTGAGACAGCATTCAAGTAATGTTGAGATAATTTTGGCACATTAACCATCCATTTGATTTCATACGTAACCAGAAAAAATGCGCCTGATTTAAAGAAAACTTAACGATGGTTTTTGACAGGCACACAGCGATGAGGTCAATCAGTTTAAGCAGCGACGACCGAGACAGTTTTAGTTTTGTGTGATGGTAATTGTTAGGGATTGATTTTACCTGGTCGAAGGGTTCCTTTCTTAGCCGCGGGACCATCTGCGAATATTCGAGCAATAACGATGGAATCTGCCTCGTTTCGAATCGTGATGCCAATACCTGCATCATGAGTCAGATACGATGAGGAAACTTTTAAAAGCAACAGGCTTCAGCCTGGGGTGGGGAAAGACGAAAGAGTCCATTTTCTATTTGAAAAGAGAGGCAGCATTTCATCTGAAGAGAAGGACTGAGAAGTAAAAACTAATCATTGCACCACTTCTGATTGTAAACGGCAGAACAAATAAACCATTGTCCATTTATTTTAGATTACTTTTTTACTTACCATCCCCATAATCCTCTTCCTTGGAAAAGGACAACCTGCGGTGATTGTGTTTGCGGTATTTGTTAGCAACCACCGAGGTTCGCGTCTTGAGCTCCCTCATGAAGTCATTTCTGCTGCGCCGGTCCGCCACAGCCAGCTGAATCTGAGTCAGCCAGTCTCGCTGACCCAAGTTCACTCGCAGAGCAAAGACACCTTGCTTGGTGCAGATGGTAAAGTGAATATGCCGTCGGCCTTTGTCGATATTGGACATGGAGGAAATCTCCTCAAGGGGGAGACGGTACAAGATATTCTTCTTCTCTGCCCTCTCTGATATCGATGAAGCTCTTCAAAGGGACGAGGCAAAAGTTCACTTGAATAGATGAATACACGTATATAGATATGGCAAGGGTTTGGGTTGGAATGACATCTTGTAAAGATGGGCAAACTCCTATTTGAATTTGATGTGAAATGTCATTGGTGTAGATTTCGAAGATCGTCAGAATGATGAAGTGGTGATTGTACGCTAGCTTTAGAGACAGCAATTCTTAATTTGCCGACGAGACACTTGCGTGAAAGCAGAAACAATGCTAACGAAACACGAAACAAAACTCAACTGACAATGTGAACATCGAAGATGATGCATGAAAACACCGGGGAAAGTTCTAATATCTAAATACAACAGCTGACCAAAAAAACATAAGTAAACTAACCTCCTTCTCTTGTCTTCTTCGGCCACTCCTCCTCCTTTTCGTCTTGGGTCCGATCTGAAGATAGTCAAAGAGTCCTGCGTCAGTATGCAGAACCTCGACCGCCAGGAGTAGATGATACCATGCGATTCCTTATCAACAATCCCCTCCTTGAGAATTTTGGTTCCGGAGTCCGACGGGGACCGCGTCAGGGTGTGATCACCCTCCTTGACTACCCCGCTGCCCACCGCCGGTAACACGCTGACACCACCGATCCGCGTCGAACACATTTCTCCTGTGATGTTTACTCAAAAGCAGAGATATCTCAGACCTGAATGGAGGCTCTCGAAAGATTTCCAAAGCAAATCTTGGCTATATCGATCACGCCAGGGGCATAAGAAGTGAGCGTTGCATACAAATCCAAGGCATAACAATCCAAGTGTAACAATCCGAAGTAGTCACTAATCGAAGACTTCTATGATCAAAACAGAGGACAAAATCACGATGAAGTTACCAGATTTTGCTTTCAAGCTGCCGCAGTGTCCCATCACAGTAAAAGAATGATTAACTTCGAGCAAAAATGGTTTAGATGGGACTAAAGAACAAACAGCGCAAAGCTAGGAAAAATTCCGCAAGACCGTCCGAAGACAGAGACATGGCAACTGAAATTACCTCATTTTCTAATTCAGAAAAAAAAGTACGGGTGTAGACACGCTTGGTGAGTCATGCACCAGCGAAGGACAAAGCCAGTTTCATCAAATAAAATCCAATTAAATTTCGTAATCTGACTTACTTTAAATAGCCAGCTTGTACTGCAATGACAGTTTTCGAAAAGGACATGTCTATTGTGTTTTTCCAGGTCTTCCAAACTCATCCATTTGCCCCAGGAGAATCGGCATTACAGCAAACAGCGTCCCCAAACAGGATGTTATATATTCCAGAGCTGTTATGGTCTGAAAGCAGCAAGGAAGGTCCCTTAAAAAGTTCACAGGAACTGTTGATTATGGGCTGATTAGCCAGCAGGAATCCTAGTCAGTCCTGTGCCGGTGATCCGGCGCACAAGGACGGCAGAACGCGCCAGCGTATAGCTCAGCGGTAAGTTTGCGATTCTGATCGGTTCTCGATGAGTAATCGTTCCCGGGAAGGGTAAAGTACGTGCCATTACCCTCTTTTCCTGCAAGTGCTCCAACGTAACCTCAGCCCTAGGACCCCTTGGTATCACCCCAGGGATTTGACGTCACGTAGCCCCTTGACACAGAGCTTCTCCGTGTTTAATGGCAAGTTAAGTAATCGAAGGCATATCACAAATTCAAAACTTTTCATTTATTAGTCATTGCAAAATTGTCCATGAAACAGTTTTGACTATAACGACAACAGAAAAATCTCTTTGTTCAGTAAAGCCCCAAAGAAAGAAAAATGGTTAAAATTTCACAATACTGCAGTTCTGCCGACTCAGTGCTGAATGTAACCAACGACAATCAATGAAAGGTATGTCAGTAATATATGTAGGCTACGTGCAATATCAAAGGTATTCTACTACGGTGTACATGCATCCACATCAACACGTCCCCATGCCATCCCCATCAGGCATATGAAAGCCTTCTCAGCCTCTCGTAGAGGTTACAGTGGTTGATTAACCATCTCCGGAACTTTGAACCATACAAACCTATTCTTAGAGAAGAAAGCAGAAACTGAGTTTTATTATCCCATGGGTCCCATTCTATTCTTGGTTATGATAAATGATGCAGCTACTGCAAGTCCGCTTAGATGGAAATATGTGGATAATCTAATTATAGCTGAAATTAGGAATCACTCTCAGGAGTCAAAATTACAAGAAATTGTCTCCCCTCTTACTTTGTGGTCTTCCAACAATCAGATGATTCCTAAGCCCCCAAAATGTAAGCTTATGCATGTTTCCTTCATGAGAAAACAAACAGTTATGCCTGCAGTTTTTATTGGCAACCCATTGTTGGAATCGGTTGACGGTCTGAAATTACTTGGTGTCATTTAATCCAAGCTGATTTGAAGTGCGACAAGCAGGCAAGCAGGTATCACACATGACAAGCCTTGCTGCCAAACGTTTGTATATACTTTGTATCTTGAAAAAATTCCATGCCCCGACTCATGACCTTTTGACCATTTATCTCATGTATATTAGACCTTTACTTGAGTATGCCTCACCATCCTGGTCATCTGCTCTCACAATTCAACAATTTGACCAAATTGAACGTATTCAAAGACGTGCAGGTCGAATTATTCCAGGTTACAATAATTACGTCGAATACTCACTTGCCTTTGAATTCCTTAACATACCATCATAAAAACAACGGAGAAATCAAATACTAGAAAAATTTGCCAGAACCTTAGTGCACTCAAGACATAGATCTTTACTCCCTCCACTTTGTAGTTCCTTACCAGATTTCCGCCGTCTTAGAAGCAATTGTGGTCTCTTCAATCCACTTTGCCGTACTTCCAGATACGAAAGGTTGGCAGTCCCCCAAATGGTCAAAGTAATTAATGCCATTAATCTTTTTTAGTGATTTTTCTCCTTTTAGTTGACAATTTAACTTGCTCCTCCTAAGTGCAATACATGTATTTGTTGTTGGTGCCGCCGTCATTGTTTTCGTGGCTGTCGTACGTAGTTTATTTGGAAATTAGTAATAGTTTTTGACTGAATTTTAATTATTAATAATTTTAATGGTTTTAATAGGCCCTATTTGTAAATCAATCATTATGAGTCCTACGACTCATTGAATTGATATTGTTTTTAAACCGAAATAAACAAAATTGTAAGATTAATCACCTGGCGAGGAATCGAGAGAAAAAATTAACACTACATAGTTTTTCTAGTGTCTGAACAGGCTCTGGTGCAATTTAGACAAAGGGAGTGTGCGGCAGTCTGGTTTCGTACAGGAAGCCTTGGTTAACGTGGGTCGTGGTCGGGTGTCCATCTGCACCACTAGCAGTTGTTACAACCGCAGCTTGGATGCCACCTGGGAAGTAATATCACATTGTAGAGTCAGATCATTTAGAGAAAATCATAACTAAGGTTTGAGTGAGAACTCATTTCAGTGCCAAAACAAAAAAGAATTGCTTAGGCTAAAAAATCTCCGGTTTCTGGTCAGCGAGCTCGTCGCCGTAGACCTGTCCAAAAGTTGCCCAGCTTAAAAACGACTCAAATTCTGCTAGTGTGTAGTTTTAACATGTTTTGATGGGGTACGGTTGACTAATATGTACAGTAAAGGAGTCCCTGCAGCTTCCAATACATTAAGCCAGGCACTCTTTTTCAGATGACGTCATTTCTATATTATACATTTACATCTGGGAACCAGACAAACATATGACGCAAGATATGGGACGGAGAGCATCCCCCACCTTTGTGTTGGTCTTATGTCCTGTGTACATGTAGAAGCTGAAATACGAATCTTAATTAGAGTCAAAAAGATCGGGACATGTTTTCCAAGAAATGTAATGCTTTTTTAAAAGTTGAACTTTGAACTTTTGAATTCATTTTTCAAAACCGAATGAAATCTTTCGTACCTAATATATACTTTTGGGATGAAATTTTACAGACCTCGCATATTTTTAAGATTCGAACGAAACTTTTTTGACCAAAACATGTTTTGGATTTGAATAAAATTTTGTAGACCTGACATGTTTTTAAGATACGAATAAATTGTGGGGACCTGATATGTTTTTAAGATTCAAGTACATTTTTCAGACCTAACACGTTTTGAAGACTCAAATGAAAAATTTCAGACCTAACATGTTTTCTAAATCCGAATGAAATTTGACAAACCTGACGTTTCCCAGATTCAAATGCATTTTCCCCACCCGTACCTGCATTTCAGAAAAGCATCCGATTGTAAAAAGTACCCGAATATTGGAAAAAGCATCCGAATTGAGAAAGCATCCGATCTTTTTGACGGTGTTCGGCCCGATGGTACCCGAAGTTCCGAACTTTTTAGACGATTCGGCTGTGTTCGGTATGCGAATGCGCAGTCAACTTATAGAATTATTCCCGCCCCCTTAAACAATCGGACAGTCAGTGCTATAAGCCCCTAATTTCGAATTAAGTCAAGCGACTACGTAATGTACATACATTGACGGCATACATTTTAGTTATGGACGCCCGTGAGTGCGAGCCACAGCGCGCCCCAATCAGGTATGTTCATGCCCCTCACTTAATTTGTGCGCATGTGTATCGAATCCCACTGTAACCAGAAGCCTGTAAAATGGCCCTTGACCCCAAAGGTGATCGATCAACATCAAGCTCAGAAAAAGTTGTTTGCCCCTTATTTCCATACCAATTGGTATTATTAGTTCTTACGTACCTCCAAAGTAACAGAGTCAAAAGTTGGAAGTGAAGCCGACATTTCAGAGGGGATTTTTTTCAGTTTTCCCTGACATTTCTCTACTTGTGAATAGTGAGGAATATCATGAACGCTCTAATGAGAAAGTATCATGCAAGAAGGAAACCGTATGAATGAAAACGGAGAGTTTTTGTTTGTGCCTGATAATCGGGCAATCTGACGTGATTGTACGCATCCGTGCAATGCAGTAGGCCAACTCGTACCCAAACGCACTCATATCCAGGTCTGCGTAGGTACGTACGTGCATGCGCCATGCCAAAATCCGGAATCTCATTTTTTACCGCTGCCAAAACTCGTGTGGAAATTTGAATCCGCATGAAATACGAAATGTATTTCAGACAAATGGCTCTTGATCTTGAAAACAATTAACTGATAGATACAAAACAAACATCTTCCAGACAGTATCACCGGTGATCTGAGGAGAATTTGACAGTAGTGTGAAAATTGGACACAAAGCTAGGTAAAAATACAATAATTTTTCATCATACTTTGTCGAAAAAATGACATTTTCCACTTTCTTTGATTTTTCTTCCAGCGATTTTTTGCATCAAACGCGATTGCATCACCCTTTGATAGATTCTTAGCAATTTATTCTCACACGAGGTCTTCAAGGGAAATGACAGTACAATCCCCACATGGATCACCACAGAAATACGTCGTCTGTTAGAATAATTTTTCAGGCCGCCGACCATTATGTCACTATTGCGCACGCGCAAATAAACAAACTAATTGGGTGCACAGTCTATCAGGACATGTGCGTGCAGGGACATCGTATGTAGTCGCTTGATTTAATTCGAAATTGGGGCTTAAAGCACTGACTGCCCGATTGCAATTGTTTAAGGGAGCAGGAAGTATATAGTTTGACTGCGCATGCGCATACCGAACACAGCCGAATCGTCGAAAAAGACTCGGAACTTCGGGTACCATCGGGCCGAACATCGTCAAAAAGATGCTTTCTCAATTCGGATGCTTTTTCAATATTCGGATGCTATTTAAAGTGGGATGCATTCAAAATTCGGATGCTTTTTAAAGTCGGGTGCTTTTGAGATTCGGATGCTTTTTAAAGCCGGGTACTTTCTCAATTTGGCTGCTTTCTCAATTCGGATGCATTTTACAGTCAGATGCTTTTGAAATTAGGTTGCTCTCTGAATTCGGGTGAAATGCCGGTGCGGGAAAATGCATTCGAATCTGGAAAACGTTAGGTCTTTCAAATCTCATTTGGATTTCGAAAACATGTAAGGTCTGAAAAATTTCCTTCGAATCTTCCAAACATGTTAGGTCCAAAAAATTTTATTCGGATCTTAAAAACATGTCCAGTCTACAAAATTTTATTCGAAACTTAAAAACATGTTGGGTCAAAAAAATTTCATTCGAATCTTAAAAACATGTAAGGTATGTAAAATTTCATCCCAAAAAGATCTATTAGGAACAAAAGATTTCATTCGGTTTTTGAAAATGAATTCAAAAATTCAAAATTACGGTATGTTTAAAAAAACATAAGATTTAAAAAAAATCGACTTTTAAAAAAGCACTACATTTCTCGAAAAGCATGTTCCGATCTTTTTGACTCTAATTCTGCATCTTACTGAAAATGCTTTTAAACAGTAAAAGTACGGGGAAAGCCTATGTTAGTGTTGGTAACGGCCGGAGTTACGAGGACATGCGATGGGCATCGTTCGTTAGCGTACATCGTTTCCAGAGAAAGTGAAGATAAAAAAGCTGCGTCGCCGCACCACTTTGAAGCCAGCTCTTGACTAGCCTTGGAACAAGACGGCAGAATTCGACAGCGGACGCGATCGAGCATAAAACATGCTGCACATTTCCCCTGCGCCCTCTCGTGACTCCATTTCACCAATCGACGGCTGGTCTGGATACCAAACCCGATGATCCTGACTACCCGACGAATCAATGGTGCCGGTATCACCGAATGTCCGGGAATAACCGAAATATTCCGAAGTCGTCTCGTCTATACTGTGCATGTTCGGATGGTACCGTTGATGTTCGGTTATTGCCGGTCGGGTAGGTGGGCTTGTTGAACCTTAACCGTCAACAACAACAAAGTTACAAACAACTTAGTTGTTGATGGGTGTGTGCGTGGAAGGAATGTTGCTGCACAAGAATTGATCAACTAAAAGAATTTCGAAAATGCTTATGTATGATTTTGAATTACCTGAATTTTTTTCAAGCGTGCCTCAATAGGGAACACTTAGCTGAATTTGAACCCACTGTGTAAGGGAATGAAATCGAAAACATCCGGGCTTTCAACTTGTGACCTCTGACCCTTGCCGCCTACCTTTTATATCCGTAGGTGATGTCTGACCTAAGATTCTTTATCAAAGGTCGTCAGGGAATCTTTGGACAGGGAACCAGACTAATCGAGGGCTTGTTCTACCCTCTTGGGAATCTCCTACAAACTGTTCAATTGTTTTCTTTTCTTTCCCTCCGGATTTCCGGATGAACCAATCAGCGCCCGAGAAATTTCAGTTGAACCTGTATGTGATGATTATGGATCAATGACCTGCTTCACATGACCTATTACGTAACATATACGAGCACTATGTTGTTGTTGTTGTTTTAATGGCGCTTTCAGCATCTCAGGCTATTTGCGGCAATAACTGTACGTTTATTCATACACTTTATCAAATAGCATCACATTACAGAGTTAGGAAGAAGGTCCAGTTTTAGAGGCAGGAGGAAATCGGAGTACCCGGAGAAAACCTGCGAGAGCAAAGATGGACCGAAAATCAAATGCACTTAAAAAGCCTGGGCCAAGCCGGGACTCAAACCCGGGCCTCATTCATGCAAAGCGAGGACAGAACCGCTACGCTAACCTGCTCCACTTACGAGCACTGTTATGGGACGCTTAACGAAGTAGGCCTGTAAAAGACTTCCTATAACAAAACTAAAGAAATAACAAGCTGGCGTTGATTCGAATCTGCTTCAACGCTCCCACGGTCTGTTTTGTATCCAATTTTACATCATAGGGTCCATTCTGAAAACTATTTTACATACGAAAGCCACGCCTCGGTTGTAGGTGATTCCCAAGAAGATAGAACGAGCCGTCCATTGGTGAAATGAAGTCATTAGAGGGCGCAAGAGAATTCGGCACGCTGGGCATATATTATGCTCGATCGAGTTCTGCCGTCTTATCCCAAGACTAGATCCTGACCAGAAACCAGAGACTTTTAGGGGGGGGCTTAGCTTTTATAATGATCACCATGTACGACGGTTTTGACTCGTTCTGATCCGATTTTCGTTAGTGCATAAATTTATGCTATAGTAGTATATTTTATGCTTAGTAATATATTCTGCCAGGAAAATGCTTGCTCAGTTCCCCTTACAGTGAGTCGTTGCCGTGCGGCTGACTACAGATCGTTGTCCTCCACGTAAGGGCAACCAGGTTTATGTTCATTCTACTGAAAAAGTTGGCCATGTAGCCATGTTGACCACACGCTGTGCACGACGTGTGCCTGAATCAACGGCTCGCCATGAGTCCCTTCTTTCCAGCGTGTTGTGGTATAGTACATACCTGCTGGTTGCCCACTGAGTATTGGCGCACCTCCCACTCCTTGTCCATTGTACGATGATTGGCCTAGGACACCAGCTTGACCAGCGTAAACTGCATTGGATGGTACAAGCGGGCCGGTCTGGAGCTGACCATTAAAAACAAAGATGGAGCAAAATCGTATCGTTAAGATATTTGTTTTGAGGGTAGTAGATAATTTTTCCCAAAGTAATTGCTTGTTATGGTTTCACTAAACCGAATAAGTATCTAGATGATCATTGCTAAGCCTTATGTTTGGTAACTCAAAATGTATTTATTCATCACTGCTTACAAATTCGACTGGTACACCTCATCAAAGCATCAAGTGGCTTCAACTCGATCAAGGTTCAATTAATGCAGCGTCCATTAAGATCGCGAAACAAAGATAAGCACCAAAGAGGATCATTTAACCCAATTGATAAGAGACCAAAATGTAGGAGTATTTACAGTGTCACAGTGCAGTGGGATGAAAGGCATAGGTACATTTTCTCTGCCATTCTTGTCATTAATTTTAAATGTATTCAACTTGACAAGATCATGGGCCACATGAAATTCGTCGATTTTTAACAATGTTACATTGGCGATTGTCAATATGCCATGAACTTGAAGTGCAAACTGCAAACCCATAAGAATGGTTATATATAGTTTTTACTTTGAAGAGGGGCCATCCTCGTTGTGTTGATTTATTTTTTGACGACAAGAAATACACCTTATCTAACTTCATCCCCTCTGATGCATTAGAACCAAATGATGTCAAATGATGTTTGCTTACCACAATCGTCTGGGTAGGTGGTGCTGAAGCTTTGCAGCAGCTGCAGGATATGCAACAAGACACGGCCGCGACTATCAACTCGCCCAGACCAATAGCGATGAATGCGATTGGCAAGGCTCCGGACTGAATACAAGTACAACAAAATATGATTCAATGAAATTAAGAAATCTCCGCTCATTTCACCGTAGCCTAGCCGCACCCTGTCCACCCTAGTCTTGTCGACAAAGCCTAGACAAGCTAAACAAATTCACATGTACAGTGCAGCTGAACTTTGCCATCCGGAAACGATACAACTAATGTATTTCTAATATCGAAATCTGATGTTATCCGGAGAGTTGATAACTTTCGGCTTGAATTTGATAAGATGGGATAAATTAAGAGACTTTCGTATTTTTGAGGAAATATATTCACTGCAAAAAATAGATTGTTTAGAAGATATAAACCCTTACCCATTGTAACAGACACGAAGTTAGGTCGTAACTCCAGCAGTAATCCATCACAACGTACAGCGCCCAGGAATAAAGACCCATTTGCGACATCGAAACCAAGACAGAAAACAACGCCATGATGTAGTGCGCTGTAATCTGCGTTATCGAAAGCGGTAAAATGACACATATAACTCGTCAATTTACTGTGGAAAGTTGACGAAGTTAATAATTGTGCGAAAGCGCGAAAAGAAATCATAATTAAAGCCATGACAGGATCAAAGTATGCCATGCTGTGAATAGCCTTAATGAGCACATGCAATTCACTTGTTCCGCGATGGCTTTAAGAGACTCATCTCGGACAACTGAAGATAGTGTTTCATCGTATGAAGCAATCATTTCCGTGGTATTCTGAACATTTGCTAATTAATGAAAACTATTGTACTCACCACACAGTTGTTTCTTTTCCCCGAAACAAAGGCCAGAATTCCTGTCACGAAATAGAACTGCAGAGGAAGTTTAGAAGAGAGAATTAATTGTTCAAGATTTCTCCTATAGGCCTAAGTTGTTTGAACGACACAAGGTTAATCCTTCATATAAAACATTTCTCTAAATTTAATATAAACATAGTTTCAGTTCATGGGCAAAATGTCACGTTCGTCATGTATATAAATCACTTTATATTGCCCAGGACTGTTAGTTATTAATGTTTGCAGATTTCGAGAATTAATCTCTCTATGATAATGAGCTACGTACCGCCACACCAGCCCATATTCCTAAGCCTGTCACATAGTATGGAGTTCCAAAGACGATAGAGGCGATACCACATCCGCAACTCGACAGACCGAAAAGAACGTGAAACACGCCGACGCATATGCTGCATCCCACTGAATAGTTCGCGTTGATCGCCATTTCCAGTTCAATCCTGGAATCAGGTTTATGATAAACTTTCGCGACTCAAAAAAGTGGCATGAAATGAGACGTGAAAATTTGGACATTTCACTTCAATTCAGCATCACATATGTTTCCATACTTCGTCGAACAACGCAGTTTCATATATATTATTAGTATAAGTGGAATGAAATACTCCACCTGTGGCACAAAAATTGCAGTATAAAAAGAAGCGTATGGAATATTCGAAGATACAGGAACATATGTCAATACTAGCGACAGAGAGTTTTTATTGAAGGAAAATTGTATTCGTCAACTGGAGATGAAAAAAGAAATTGACTGGAGCACTAGCAGCCCTTGCCGGCCAAATAGGCCTATCGTTGTTGGGGGCAAGGGCTAAAGAAAAAAAAACATGCATCGTGTGTGGTTTATAGGTAGATTTCAACAGTATCGATACTTTCTACAAACTCTTCACAAGTTAGTGCTTGCACTTAAAAACGCTACCTTTAGTTCAGATGCTTCTGTTAAAATATCGTACAGTCTCAGCGTCCTTCCATGCAGTGTACCTCAGACCACCAACACGGTTTTCCCAATGACGGATTTACTATCAAGTTTTACAGTGTTAATGAACTTTTCTGTCTGGTTCCACAGTCCATTACCATGGCACCCATTGGCCAGAGACATAGATAAACAAAGCGTTTAACTGAAGTTTGCTGATAGACAAACTACACTGATTAGTAATGTGTTTCTAAATATAGGTCAGTATACGGAACAAATGTGTGAGCAGCAAACAAGTGCATTTATTAGGATAAAAAGCTACCCACAAGGCATTGTCACACCTGTGCTTCCCTCTCTAAAATTTGTAAGGCAAAGGGATGAGCTTCTTTTCCAGATAAAAGTATACCTCGTGCATGACTTAAATGGGGAAAAAAGGCCCTGAGAGCGAAAATTGTCAAGCAGCTGCTTAAGTTGTTAATCTCGTAACCTCTTTCCCGTTCGTATTTAATTTGCATTATATGAACGTACCACCTATGTTTGAGATCTTTGACAGGTGCGCAACTACCCGCATGAGGGACAGCTTACCTGAAACTACTTAGAATGTTAACACTCAAGGAAACTAGTCAAACCGCTGAATAGCTCCGCACATGTTCATCTTATTCACAAACCTTATTTTCATGTCCACAAAGGTAATGTTAATTACAGACAGTACAATTGCATTTGAAGTCCAAAGTGTACCATGAAATGCAAACATAATATAATTCTAATGCAAAAATAAAAACTTTCCCGTCTCATTATGTACAAATAATTTCAGATCAGCTCACCAATTATTTACAGAATTACAGCATTTGTGCAAGCTTTCTTAATTCGTAACTAAACTCAAATTATTTTAAGTTGATCAATGACGAAATTATGCATCCAAATGATTAGTACAATAACGAAAAATAGATACAACTCGTAACAGTGCCACAGCTTTCAAAAATTGCGAAACGGATACTTGTGATCTTAATTCGACTCCAGCTTGAACACAGAAGACCGAGAAGCGAAAATGGAAAGGGCAGCATAGTGAAACTTGTACAGGGCAATAATGATACGTAAAGAGTCTGCCACTAAGAACTTCTAGCCTAAGCATTCCACGTGAACCATGTGAATCCAGCGGCTGCATACAATGAAACAACTAACTGTGCTACTCTTCTCCGTTGTGAGACAACAGTTCTCACTGAGGGGTAAATTGGTATGGATTGTATAGCATCTCCCAAATCGATAGGGGACATAAACATCTAACTTTACATGGTTTTCTGATTAGTCAAATAGCTACAAGACAAAGGAAGGTATTTTATCCATTGACGGACGCACGTGCAAATGACAAACACAATCTGGTGGGCAAAATAAAATCCATCCATGTAGCATTTCAAGGCACATCTAGAATTTTAATACAAATGATCAATTTTCAAGACGTATTTTTTTCGAAATGTATTTTCAAGATGATTAAGTTTTTAAAAACCGTCCCTTTGCGCGATCTTTTCTACTTGATTTGGTGATTTTAATGTCAAGCTAGGAAAAAACATAAAACCCTGTTACTTTTTTAGTATGTTCAAGTCTAATCTAACACTTCAGTTCAATATCAGACCACTTTTGAAGACACAAAAAATGCTGGCAAATTCACTGCACTTAATTAGGAGACATTTCCTAATAAAAACAGGCTTCTCTTTTGTCACTGAACTTTTATATGTAAACAGCCATCGTGTAAATCCCGGGGGAGGGGGGGTGGTATTTATCCCTCCCCTTGTTGTGGGGGGGGTGGGCTATTGAATCATCTCCCCACACACTTTTTGCGATGATCAAAAAAAACTAAAGCGGACTGTGAAGAATTTTCAGAAATGTTTGCGATATCACTAAAAAGGAAAAGCAATTTTCAAAAGCCGTGAATATACCACTATGAAGTAAGATTCTACATAAATTTGATATACATTACAGATGTACATCTTAATCATGAACATCGCACCCATAAAGCAAATATGGTGTCCACCCCCCCCCACTTTTCAAATTTCCATAGCGCGCAAGTCCTCCCCCTCCACACCTTTCCCCGCCCCATCCCCCAATTTCCAAAACAGATTTACGCCACTGTAAAACGGCAAACAAATTTAAGCCAATGATTCAGAGCATTGTAGTGGACGCATATTACCAACAAGCAACGACAATTCGAAATATAGAGGTCGTCCGTCTGTAAACTGCAAGCGCGAAAAAATCGAATTGTTTTCAGATGTTGACACTTACCACACATTGTTAAGTTACTAAAAGCTCGCCTGTTTGCGGAATTATTAACCGCTCTGAGCGGAAGAAAAAGGGGGGCGTGTCTTGGGGTACTTATCGCATAGGGGTGAATTCCACCAAATGGTTGTATTTCTGCACGCGAGCTCATTAATATTTTGTGATCTCACAGGATTTTTACAATAGGACAGGCCATAATCAGGAGGCATCATAGAAATATTTCTATAAATTTAGGACTGATACTTCCCAGTTTGGGGCATTTCTTTGACAAAAAGCCCCCGTTGCGGGCCTATTTTGGATAGAGGCGGGCGGCCATATTCAGAAATGAGCGCTTAGTTTAATTGCTATTTTGGGGTATCTTCGTTCAAGGGCGAATACAATTTTTTTGTGGCTGACCCCCATGAAATTGAAACGAAAAGTGCTTTTCTGGCCATAATCTTGACTTTCCAGTGAAAAAACGGAGGCCAACCTCTTCACGAGAGTCAACAGGTGGCGCTATTTCGGTCCAATTTTGCACTTTTTTCTATGGGCGCGTATTTGGTGTAGTGCAACCACAGGCACGCCATGAGGCGCGCAAGTATATGCGCGTTTAACGTAGAGCACGCTGAGTACGCGTAACTGATAATTTACTCCGGCATGTATCCGGTTCGTAAGTGACTTCGTCACAAAGGCGGACGCGCCACGATTCGTAGGCTCTCATTGGACGATCGCAGAAGTTGTGCGTGAACTTCCGGTTCCAAGGTTCCACACATAAACGGCGATCAATGCATATAACCATATGTGCAATGCACGTGTGCAGTGGCCGTGGTTTGAACTGTAGTTACGTCACACTTACGAATCGGATCGTCTTTGCGTGCACGCGCACAGAGCGCGTGCAAGATTCTGCTTGTAACCACCTGTCTTCTTTTCGCCGATTGGGGCTGCACTTTAGCTCGGGGCGGATAACATGGTCTCATTGCTTAAAGCGGTGAGTACAAAAACAGGGTATCATTACGATCTTAGACACCAAAGTATTTTGTAAATCGATGTGGACTAAAGTTGGTTACAGTAATCTTCTGTGTAACTTGAAAATAACTCCTTACAAACCGCCACCACATACATGCAGGCCTAGTGCCCCTTTGTCGCCGTAGTTTAATAGTATGTCGCGTTGTTATGAGCTTGTGTTTGAGCTTGGGGTGGGTGAGGGAGGGCGGAGATGTCCCCGCTAGGCATCGCCTGATCGAAGGTAGGGTTGTGGTAGACCAGCGGGTCACCAGCGGCAGGATATGGCGGCAACTGTGGCTTCTCGCTGTAGCCTGATATGGGTAAAAATGATATCAAACAATAGCGTTAGCGAGATCATTTACACGCCTGAGATGATTGTTCTTGCCTGGATACCAAACCATTGGTCTCTTGGGATCCAAAACTATATTCTGTTATTCAATTAGACACCATGATTTGAATCTTGTCACAGTAAAAACAACGTCAGGTGGTTAATTGCCAATAATGGCGCCTGAGTTAGACTGCAAACAAACTCAAAGGTGCATTCATACCTGGTGCAGGTGGGGCAGCAATGTTGGTCGGTACACCTCCCCCTGAGTAGCTGCCCACATACTCTGCTTGAGGTGGAGGCATTACCACAGCTGGTCCACCTTGCGTAGGAAGCGGCTGAAGAACTGGCTGTTGCATGCTGTGAATCTGTCAAACATCAGGAATTTCCCCTCAAAATTAACTTGGGGGTTTCCTAAACCCTAAAAGAGCGGGGAGGGGGAGGAAATCCGCCCCCGCAACATTTCTTCCGATATCGCAGCAGTGTTTTTTCACAAGCTAACGTTAAGGAAACTGTTTTCAGTCAAGTGATTTTTAGTTGGTGAAATGATTGCAAAGTAAAGTGCATATCTTACCACGACAGTCTGAGTTGGTGCTACGTCATTATTGAAGCAACACGTACAGGCCGTGCAGCACGATACCATGGCAATAATCCATTCCAAAAATGCAAGCAACAAGAGAATAGCGTGCATGATCAGGTCCCGAATCTAGAGATGGAGTTCACAACAGACATTTGTTAGCATGAGCAATACAATCATTGACTATCCAATGGCCAAGCCATGCCAATCGCAACCTTAAGCCTGACCCAACCCTGATCCCATCCCACAACCATTCCAACCCAACCCAACCCAGCTTAACCCCACCCAACCCACCTAAACCATGGTTTACAAACCCCGCCCAGCCGAGCCTAGCCTGGACCCCAATGGTGTCCCGCCAAATCCAAGTTGAATCCATCCAACTCCATCCAATCTGATCCAAACGCCAATCCTAATTTTCCATAACACAAATCCCCATGATTACCTGTGTCTCTGTACAACTGCCGTTGAACTGCCAGTACAAACTGTCGAAACATGTCCACACTTCATTTATCACGGCCCATACATATAGCCCCATCTGACCCATAGACACGAAGACTGACAGTAATGCCATTACATAATAGGCTGTGATCTGGAAACAAACAAAAGCCGTGTTTGTTTATGGTTTAAAATAAAACACGGACACCAAACCTCGCCAAACGATGATGTGAACCAGCATAAGGATCACTAATCATGATCCACATCCGTGTGAAACAAACAGCCCAAACACATCCGGCTAGAATTCAAACACATCAGAGACTATCCACATTAAGCCGATTCGAAGAAAATACAAAGACAATAAAACATGGAAAACATTTTCCGGGTGTTGGTTGGGTTATTATACTAACCACTTCCAATTATCTCGCTTAAAAGAGGGAGTGGTGTCAAAAATCTTCTCTATTTCTATGCAAAGATTTCCAATAAAATCTTCAAATTTCTTTCATACTCAGGAAAGCAAACGTTTGCAAACATTCAGGTATGTAGAAGGGGTCAGGCTATCAAGCATCAGATAAACGGAACTGGACCGAAATTTTCACATCAGAGTCGAACTAAATGAGACAGTCTTTTGAAACTTGATTTCAAAGAAAATGGGCGGGAATATAGGTTTTCCTGGCCGAATTCGTCCTCTTCACGGTCATATTCAATATTGTTCGTTCGTATTCCAACGAGGTTTCCCAGGTGGTTGCTCCCATGTTTTTTTCATACGGTAGGGCCTTCAAATTCGTTTACAGGCGTCAAATAGTGTACTATAACACATTTAATTTAAAATAATTTCATCATTTGAACAGCATAACCGTCATTCGATTTCGCGCTGGTTGACTGGAATGAGAAATTCCTCCCGAAGTTTACTTTCTCTATACGCAATCATGTTCGCATTTTGAGCCTTCAAATTGGAAAACTTCGAGTTAAGAGGGATATACAGCAAATTAAAATCCGTATAGAACAGATCGGGGAGATTACAAATAGAAAACACGCTAGTAGTGTGTCCCTCGTATTGACTTGAATGTATATGTTATATTTCAAACAAGTAACACGTCAAGAATACAGTACATTTGCTCCAATAATGATTGCCCGTTTAATTAAAAATGTAGAAATGAAACTCTCCGTTGACCTTTATCACGGATACAGAAAAAAATCCTTTAGATGCAGTACTGATTTGTAATGTCCTTATTTTATAAACAAGAAATACACTCTCCGTAAATTAGCATGTATACTAAGAGTTGTCGGATTCTCTTTACTAAACAATGGCTTGTTTTTTGTTACATTTTAAAGTAATGTTTTTGCTTTTATGTTTCATTCTATTTTTCTCATCCTTTCCAGACATTTCCCTACTTTGTCCATTGTCTGGTAATAAAATAACTTTACTTTGCTGTTAATCATTCTTTTACAATTCAAACAGAAACAAATAAGAATTAGCAAACAAACGTTTCCTTTCATGAAATATTTTGCACAAATTAGTCACAAAGAAAAAAATTAGACTGAATAACATTGCACGAATCTCACAAATGCTTGCCTATTCATAGGCTACATAATGAAGCAAGGTATGAGACGGAGAGAACCCCTTGCTTTGTGATGGCCAGTTTCACTGGAATCTGAGGAATTCTTGGCAGACATAGGGGAGGGTGTTAGGTAACAATAGTCTAGCGAGTGTACAGCAATCATGTGGACATGTGTACCTGTGAGTTTGTATACACATTCAAATCGTGGACCTATAACAATAGGGGACAATAGGGTCCACGGTTGCCGAAGAGTCCACGGTTGGAAAACGTGTACAAAACATATGGGAGGTTTTCTGAAAAAGTTGAAGTATGAACAAAAGAGGAACAATAGGGAGTCCACGATTGAAGGCGTTTACACACTTGTGTGTGGGGGGAGGGTACCCCTTTGTTTTATTTCTTGCTGGATATAGATTCCTGAAATCGGACGCCAAAACACGTCCTGGGAGTGTGTCCGCGCGAATTTAATGCTTTTTGCGTATTTTTCCAAATAGAACGCTGACCTTTCACTTTTTGAATAACCAGATTGTACAATCGCATGCTCTTTGAATGCAGTTTTGCTCTTTGAACGGCGATGTAGATTGTCAATCTATTTAGTGCTAATTTGAATGATACTGTCGCTAATTCGTGTGCGAAGATGATGAATTCGGCTGGGAAAAACCTATATTAAGGACTGGTGGGCAAAGCTTACCACGCTGTTATTTCTTGTCGAGGACGCCAGAGCTAGTATACCAGTTATCGCGTAGAACTGAAACCGAATCATAAAAAAAAATTGGTAAATTAAGCCCCCAAACTACTCCTTTCATATATTTTAATAAGACCAAGCTATTGTTAGCACTGCTGCTGTTACATCCTGTGAGAACCTTGCGATAAGGTTACATGCATGTTCTTCATCGGCACGACACAAAACGCAATTTCCTTTGTTTAACCAGTCCGCAAAAAAAAGGTTGGTCAAACTTGAAATACAGTATACGTTAGAAATGTGCAATGTTCCAGATTTTTACTAAATGTAATAAACTGCACAATCCCAGTCTGTAGGAGGTGCTCTCGAAATTCTGTTTCTATAACCATACTATCAAGGTTGAAAGGTTGAAATCATTTTGTCCGTTGCGAAAATGTATGAGCAAGAACACTTACCACAACCCCAGCCCATATTCCAACTGCGATTTCGGCTACATACGCATGCAGGACAATGGCAGCGACTCCACAGGCACATGATCCCAACCCAAAGAGGATATGGAACACACCCAAACATACCCCACAGCCAGGGGAATAGTTATAGTTTGTAGCCATATCCTAATCACCAAATCCTGGAGAATAAAATGAGTGTAATTCATCAAATTGTTGCTTTCAAACTTTACAAGGACTAGCTGATACCCAAAGGCTACTTCAAACACTACAAATATGGATTCAAAACATTTAGTGTGTCATATTATGCCCTCTCTTTTCGTGTGTCTGTCAGATGAATTGCTCTGCGATTGCGTGCTGGGTAACGGGAAATCCCGCCGTTTTTAATTCTCGTCGCTGGGTAATGGAAAAAACCCAGAGGATCTGTCGGACTAAAATCTGAAATAGTATTGCTTAGTTAATGATTGAAATGATTAAAATGCAGCTTTTAATGTTTTAACGGGTTTGCCATCGAAACCTGCAAAAGGAAGGTTCTTCTTTCGACATGATGTGCATTTGTAGGATATGTTGGCAAGGACACGTACAGTAGACATGGCAAAAAGGGTATGGTAAAAATGAACGGGAGTCACTTCCGTTAATCGGTCGCTGAAAAGGGATTCATTTTAGGAACGAAACTCTCTGGCTTAGATTAGCACTGTGACACACTTCAACGAGAAGCACAAATCGTGATGAAATAAAATAGAATCTGTACGAAAGATAAAGACGCTTGATCCGACAAAAACAGAGAAAAATTCCTTACCTCTCTGTCCAGATGTTGGCGTCAAATGACAAGGTTTTTATCCTCAGCAGATTTAAATGGCACGCTAGCAACACATCCTGAGTTTCGACAATGAATTAACATGAATTTCATCTCTCGCTGATTTTATGCGCGTGTCGTTTGCACTTTGGTCAGTCACCATGACGATTACAGCGCGGTTTGCTTATTCTCTTGGACATATTTACACTTTGCATTAGTATGACGGAGGTGTGCATTCTGTTAAGTTACTGGTTAACTCAAAAGCTGACCGATGTTTAACTGGGTTTTCAGATTAAATCGGTCATGTGTAGGCTTATGTTGTGGGGCAACCAAAAATAGCAAATGACCTCATAGGGAAGCAACAATGGAATATTTCTTAGAAACACCAAAATCCAGAGTGCACTTTTGTGTCTCAGTTCCCATCATTTCCCGTGCTCGTTTAATATTTTAATGGATAACCGGTTCCTTTTGGTTAGTATATGGTAATGATTATTTCCATATGCAGGGATAAATCCGTATTGTTATCCCTAAAAAAGACCTCAAAGTTAATGACTTATGCATAATTTGTTGAAATGTTTTCAGTATGTAAATTCTGGCTTCACAATTTTAACAGACAGACTTCTGCACTTAACCTTCTCGTCCATGGACGACATCACAGCAGAAGCGACTTCGGTGGTCTAAGATGTTAAAAAAGTGCACTTTTCAATGCAGTTAACCAAATAGGGATGTCAAATGTTGCAGAAAATAGGGGGCAAAAATTTCACTGAATTTGCACATTAATTGCAGTCAACAGCAACACACGACTCTGTAATCGCTTGAGTAGTTTGGGGCCTAGGGCGCTGAGCAGTGGCTTATATAGTGTAGTGGGAACCAGGCCAGAGTTTCAGATGAGTACGGGCATGCCTAACAAAGTCAGAAACGGTTCGGACTTTTGGGTTTTAGTGGGCAGAACAGCGTTGAAAAGATCAGATAATTTCTAACTTCAGATGCGTTCTAAATTTGGACGAAATGCAATGCAATTTGGGATGAAATGCATTAAGGAAAATTTCATTCGGATTTCAATAAAATGTATTTGAATCTCGAAAGGTCTATAAAATTTCATTTGAATTTCTGAAACCTGTAACGTCTGCAAAAATTTATTCAAATCTCAAAAATAGTTTAGGTCTGAAAACTTGTAGACTTTAATTCGGTTTTGAGAAATGCATTAGATATTTTGAAATATGCCTACACCCTGTTTTCTTATTGTGTCATCACTATATCTACAAAGAAAAGGAAAAAATATCTCTTAAAAATCAATAAACAATATAATATTGTGCAAGTGTTTTTTTTTGGGGGGGGGGCTGTGGTACTCCAAAGTTAAGATCAACCCTATGACCTATTTGGTAAGTTCTTGGTAATGACGCTTGTCGTCCGGGTCGCCGCCACCGTTGAGCAGTTCTAGGTAAGGCTCGTCTCGGGGGCTGCCATCTTGTCGAGTAGGCTCCGCAGGAATATCTATGAGGATTTAATAAACGAGAAAAGTCAAGGACTAATATTATCATCGATGGAGAAGAATCTTTATCATCAGAAACATTTTCGCCGGTACCGAAAAGACGTTCTCTTGGGTCTTAGTGCAATGTAATGGTTGGTGACCGTAGATCTTCCTTGTGAACTGTCACCGTAATTACTCACCTCGACGTGAAGTCTTCCCATCAACTGGTACGTTTGTATAATCAACGCCGATAGGCGTACCGCTTGCCAACGCCTGTTGACCAGCTCTGCCGGTTTTCGGTATTAAAAAAACTTCATGAAACTTCACTGGAACGTCACGTTTATCTAGTTTATAATGCTTTCATTATATGCTTATAGCTAATTATTATTCTTACCGTTGCCAGTAGGTTAGTTACTACACCTAAAAATGGGTTCGAGTGAATGGAGCGTATACGTACCACAACAGCGTTGAGATTGGACATCCCCCACTGAAGACAATCAGTGTAAAGCCAGCGATCGAAACAAAAACCTCGAGGGCACCAAACGCCACTTCCAAAGCCTGATATACAGTAAGGTAGCGTATTAACCGAGAAGTGCAGGGCTTACCTTGTTTAAGGTTCACTCAATGGGAACATGCAATATGAAATTGTGCTCAAATTACTACTGCTGTGATGTACACAGCCAACTTTTAGCAAAAAGACACTTTATAGTTTTCAAAAGTAAGTATGTATGATGAAAAATTCTTTCAGTTGATGGATTTAGGCCAAACGTCTTTGTCGTTGAAAGCAAGTCCTACTGTGAGCCCACCTGAAAGGGACAATTGAAGCGTATGTCGTAACAGCGGCTATTTTGAGCTATGATGGACGATCAAAATGCTATGACACGCGGCCAAACATGCCATGGCACTCATGGCCATGTAGCCATCAATTTGTAGAGATGAAAATGGACAGCTGTAATACGAATAAAATAAAGAATTCGGAAGGCTCTGTACTTCTTGCATCCAGTTACCACCCCAAAGACACCTGCGCCCATATAGAAATACAAATAAAAAGAAATAGAACAGTACAAAGGTGTCAAACCACCACACCACTCCACGTCACGCAATCCTACACCATCCCAACAGACTGTCGACAATCTACAGGGAAGTACACGTAGCCGTGTGTGGCAATTTCAAGAATTTTAGGTTATACAAAATAACACTTACTAAAAGCCCGCACCAGATGGGGGTTGCAATGCCAGTTAAGCCAGGGGATCTTACGAATACCATATCTAATATTCCAAGGGTATCAGGAAATAAACCAGGCGCTGCTTGCAAGAAACCTGTCACTTTAAGCCCCTTCCAGTTGTAGGTCTTAGGATGGTTACCGTCTGCATCACCAGACGCTCTTGGTGGTTTTCTCTCCTTACCAGTAAATGAAAAGGAACATCAGAATAGTTCAAAGGTAAACTTTGGCGCTGAACAAAGTGACCTTCAACCTGCGCTTTAGCCTCAGTCAACGGCAGAATTAAATGGCTGACACACATAGATGGATTCGCTGTAAATAAAATTTGGGCTATTTACAAGTTAACAGAGGTGGCAGCAAGTCATTAAGTGCAAGTCCAAGTCAAGTCACAAGTCATTATGTGCAAAGTCCAAGGCAAGTCACAAGTCATTAGGTCCAGTCACAAGTCAAGCCACAAGTCATTTGGTCACAGGGCAAGTCAAGTCAAGAGTCATTTGGTCTAAACACAAGTCAAGTCACAAGTCTCTTTGTCCAAGCACAAGTCAAGCTGCACATTATTTTCTTCTGTTGTAATAAGCAAAAATCAGGCGTCAACTTACGAAGTTACGAGTTTCGGACAGCTGAACACCTTTTCTCCAATCATTTTGACAATGCCTCCGTCATTCCCTTTTTCACTTGTGTTGTAATTACTACCATTGCAGTTTACCATATACGTGTCATATATTGGATCTCTGTTTAATTTAATAAATGTACTTTGCAAGGTGGAAATAAGCGGCGAGATGAAATGATGACATATTGAGGGCGCTGTTTATCCTAGTCACGCGTCAACGAAAAGTGTAGCAGTATATTATTGCTGCCCTGATCCACAGCTGCAGCTGGGTGAAGTAGAAGCTGCGCAAGCCGAAGTCCTTTTTTATGCACGTCAGGCGTAAACTGAATAGATTAATTAAAAATATATGGAGCCACTTTTGCAAGCCCAAGTCAAGTTACAAATCAAAGCTGGTATTTACAAGTCAAGTCACAAAAATAGCGAAACGAGTCCGACTCGAGTCCAAGTCACATGACTCGAATCAGCAACTCTGCAAGTTAAACACACAACTCGTAAGTCTGCACTGTACCTTTGCCTCTGCAACCTACCGGTTCTGTTCATGATCTCCAACGAATTCAAACCCACCAAGAAAATTTGTAGACCTACTGTGTGTCAAGCCGGGCACAGTCAGTTAACGTCAGATTTTCTTACCCGAAAAAGCTGCTGGGGTGGGTTTTTTGTCCCTCCCAAATTTTTCAACTCTGCAATTTAGTTATGACGCCGATAAAATATGTAGAGGCACAGCTCTTGAGTTTAGGCATTGGTATTCCACTCCCCCCCCCATTTTTTCAACTGCCCTGGTAAAAATTTTGGCGTGTTCCCACACGTCAACCGGTTCACAGGTCCATAACGTATAAAGACCTTTTTCCAGGGATGTCACGATAGTGCTGGACCTGTGATGTGTTGTGATGGTAATGAATGCATAGTAGTGTGATAGTAATCTACCTATTCAAGATAAACTAGTAAAGCATGCAGCGTTCGCACATGTGCTTGCACGTGGTTGAATCTGCCCGTAGGAATATTTGCGATCACCGTGGCCAAGGCGATCCAGACGTGGTGGTATTGGTTACATTTAGTCACGTGGGTGAAAAAGTCTATGGGTGCGTTCGATTAGCTTACACGTGTAAGTCAAACTTACACGAGAGCGTTCGTTTAGCCATCACGTGATCCTCGTGCCTGCCCTGGTGTCAGCCACTACTACCCCAGCTGGCGAGCGGGTCTCTGGAGGCTGCCCGAGTGTAATGACGTCACGGTGTTTATTGCCAATGGTTTCGATACAAAGGAGTTGCTAATTGTAACCTTTTCTCTTCTGTACCTATGGTTGAACACTCCCTAACAAATCGGCCTACCCAAAGAGGAGAGGTCGTTTCTCCCCTTAGCTCTTTTGTACATGGTGTAGGCTCCCCAATTCAATTCTAATTACTCATAGTTGGGGGATGGGCTTTGAATCTCCCCCCCCCCATACGCACAGGTTTTAATGATGAGCAAAAAAACCTAAAGCTAAAGTTAAAGTCTCCGGTAAGACTGAGCTACATTATGTGAGTTCATTTTGTTTCCTAAATCCAAGAAAGATTGACCAAGGTTATCGATAGGCCTAGCATCCCCATTGGTATCGCTTGGTGAACGATAGAACACTCCAACGATGAGGGGCTTGCATCCCTTCACCCTAGTATCAGTTCAAAGTATTTCACCATTTCTTCCAGAATTACAAGTGTTTGTAACAAAGTCCCCTTTTACTAATTGGACCCCCCCCTCCGATAGTAGCTGACTCCTGGTCTTTCCGAAAGATTGTGTGATTGACAGGAAATACTTCACCATTGCCGACACTCGAATCTAACCACGATTCAGTTCCGCATACAAAATCAGGTTTAGTACTTTCGATAAGAACTGCCAAATCACCAACTTTGGAGCGTAGGCCACGACAATTCGTTAGTACAATTAAGGACCTACTCTTGCATGTGTTTTCTTAACCTGTTTACACTGTCTCTTAACTTCCCTCGTTAACGCATGATCTAAGTTAGGTGACTCAGAAACTGATGAATTACTATTGCTATCCAAAGCTTGACATGAGTTTTCGGTATACACTTCCGAAAACAATAAACCTGAAAAGTTCAATTCACTACAAGATGGACAAATCCAGTTGCAACTTGAATTCATGAGGGAAAGTACAGTTCATCATTCATACTACAACAAGCACAGTGCAGCCATTTATCACAGCTATCACATTGCACCGCATGGTGGTGCTCAGAAAGAACATCACCATCGCACACACTTTATGGAGCACAGCAGTCAGGACAATACCATGGTGTTGAATTCATCACAATATTATTTGCTTCGGCAGAGTTAATCCCAGCACACTTCTGATGAAGATATGCTTGGCAAGTTGGCAGTCAAAACATCGTAGAACGACATGACAGACCACTCTTGCTTCTAGGTGTTGAAACAGGTCCTGGGTTAAGCTGAACATTCCAGCACATTTAATCAATCCAAAAATAATAATCTTTGAGTCAAATGTCGACAACAGCTACGGCTATACAGATCAATACGAATACAGTTACAGTTACAATTTACAGTTTAAGGTGGAAAGCTTGCGGTAGTACCATGCAAGGATACGATATCTTTAATTGTATGTATGGTTCTGAAAAGAACCACAGACGACGTACAGAGCATACTGTCCGAAACGTTGAGTTCCTCACGGTTCTTTTCAGAACCATACAGACTCACTAAGAGATCGTCTCCTTGCATGGTGCTACTGCAAGCTTTCCACCTTAGTTGTCTGTCACCATGAATAGCTTGAAATCCCAACTTACAGTTTGTGATCCTGCGCCACTATATCCCACGTTACCAAGTCAGGGCAGCCCAGGCGTTGTGCCGGCGCCTGCAAAACTCGTATCTAATGCCCTAACATTAAACAAACCCACTATCAATCTTGCAGTCACAAAAATAAGAAGCGCATTGTTGAAGTTGATGTGGTGGCGAAGAGTGGCCATAATAAAGTCTTAGAATCCTTATCCAGCATGAAGAAAATAAATTTACAAGATGGCAGCCCGCAAAATGGCGGCCCGCAGATCAAAAGTCAGGAGAACCCTGCGAAATTTCCAAACTGAGATGAATCTTAAGTTGCACTTTGAAGACAGGGTATTAAATTGTTCAAAATTGAGTTAAAAACACATCTAAAGTCAAAAATAATATCCACGGAGGTCATAAATTCAGATAGCATTACACGAAAGATTAAAAATTGGATGACTTGATGCCGTAAAAGACTTGATCCAAGACGAAAGCGGCCTGGCCACCTGCGTCAGCGTTGCACAGCATCGCACTACCGCACTGATCACTTCATGTCGAGGTCAGGATAGAAAAATGATTAAAATCCATCCAAATAAACACAAAATCCAAAAAGAATGTCACAAATCGAACAAACGTGGGTTAAAAGTCCTTTATTAATAGGATAAAAACACTGATGGCGATTCAAAAGACCACATTTTAAGCGATTTCCTTAGCCCAGACCGAGAACAAAAACTTCACGTCCTTCCACACGCATAGCGCCATAAGGACGAAATTAAAAGAAGTATACATATATAGGACAAAACATTTGACGAAGGTTTAAAGGACAAAAAAGTAATAAATATACGGAAAAAAACATATATAAAGACAAAACTAATAAATATAGAACGAACTATAGAGCACGAAACTAAAAATATAGAACAAAAGTAATAAATACGACGAAGCGCCACCACCTCGCTGCGACGCCAGACCAGTTATGATATAAGGCAAAATATATACTTTGTAGAACAGAAACAATAGCCGCAATGAGGTGATTACATGTTCCAAAAAGTGAAATTTAGCAAGGAAAATTCCGAAGCATTTACTTAGAAAACAGATTTTATTTCAGACAATGAGGTTTGTGCAAATTAAGAGCATTAACTGTTGTCCATGTAACTGTAGCCCTAATTCTGTATCGAGCATGGCTTGCGCCCGGCACGACGGGTACGTAGAGATGGCGCTTCGTCATTATATTTTACGCGCATGCGTGTACCCGGCATGTTACACTGCGACACGACATACCTGGGAGATTCGTTCGTCCCATTTCGTGCCTAGTATAGCGGCTTTGAGGGCCTTCTTGGAACTAGTCTCAGCAATGAAGAGGACGACGCTCCCAGCTCTGAATACTGAACCCGGCGGTTGCTATGTGGTGCAACTTATTTTGGTGTGATCTAATCAGATCGCTTGTCAAGAATTCATCCGGGTCAGGGGTTGCATAAACACAACACAGTATGCATGAAAATCAGCTGACAACGAACAGAGATCAAGTTTCAAAAACATGGTCTTATTTGAGAATGAAACAAACCAATCTTAAAAACACTGGTACTAAAATATTCAGATTGAAATACTTTACAATTTTACATGCACTGTAGTGCAGACGAAAACATGTACTGATATGTTAAAAGGGAATGATGACAAACATCATCAGAAGGAAAAAAATAGACACGACTATCTTACAAAATAACATGTAAGACATTTAAACCAGATATATTGCAAACGCGCTGTGGTGTAGCCCATTCTAACCGTGTATTAACATTGCACGTATTCTCAAGCTGGTTTCCTGAGCATTATTTGGGTCGCCCGGGAGTGTGCGTGGTTTCGAATTTATTGAACCGCAGGTGCAAGGCCTCCAGAATATGTAGGAAATATAAAGATACAACGGCACTGAGTACACAGTGTTCATAAATACATGTACATACGTTGGGTACGGGCAAAACCCGTTATATAAGTCACAGTGAGCAAAACGTAGTACTGATGTATAATAATACATGAGTTCACACAAACTTTTACTTATTTACATGTACTATCTCCCATATGGAATATATTTTTGAGGTTAGTCAATTTCACACTAAACTGCATTATCAGGAAAGCTTCAATGTAATATTTCATTTTGCCTACATGAACAAACAGAAGACCCTGTGCGATGAACTGCACACTGAAATTGGAAGTGCTATTATCATAGTAATGGCCAATCAGGTATTGAATAAGAAGTGGTCACAACCGACCACAGGTGTCCCACTCGTCTGCTGTTCTTATACCAGCAGGGTTAGCAGTGTTAATCGACTCTCCTTACACACTGTAAATGATTGACTGAATTTTAATTTCGGTTTGAATTGTAAGGCAGTGCTTTACACAAATATTTCCATATGAAAGAACTAATATTAAGTATTATTTGAAACCTTTACAAGCAAACAGGGATAGTTTTCACTCTAATGACCACTACTATTGAATACGTATACCAGTACATGTGTAAAAAGGCTGCTTAACAAATATAATTCAAGAAGTTTAAATGTGAATAAAAATATAATACACTCACACCCATTCGGTTTATTCTGTGAATACTGAATTTAGTCAAGTCTGCTATAGATTTTAAAACGACACAGCAACAAATTATTTACAAGAAGATCTGTAGACTGAAGCCTGAAATATACTCTGGTAAAAAAGTAAAATGAACAAGTGTCCTCTGACAGTTTGGATTACACATTAAATGGAACTACATACCCAATGATGATATTACAACAAATCTTATATTCCTTAAAAATAAAAATCCTTGCTACTGATCAACTGAAAAGTTGACCTTGATCATTTGAATCTCAATGTCCTAAAGTGTGCGGGAAAACAACTTGCCATAAATTCTACTGAAATTACAAGCAGTGCAAACTTAGATCTGACCAGTTCCTTACATTAATTTGATGTTTGATGCTGGGTCCACTCAAGAAATTTTACAACCCCCAGCATCTTGACACAGAGCCAACTGCATCATTTATTTAGCAAGTGGCTGGTAGTGATGTTCAGTGGGCGGGGCCTGGGGTGCAGCCTGGGGTGCAGCCTGGGCTGGAGCCTGTCCTTGAGGGGGAGGCAGATACTGTCCCTGAGGAGTCGTGAACACTTGCTGGGTAGAGTAGGCTACTTGTCGGGATGCAGTAAGGAGGACACAATAGGAAATAACATGTCACCCAGGCGGATTCTTTAACGTAGGTCTAAATCCTTTTGGAATGACCTTGTGACTTTTTATTCAGATTTTTCAGACAGTAAAAATTATAAAAACTAACGAAAAGCACTAAAAAGAAAGCTTAGTTTACATTAGAAGTAGCTTACCAAACTGAGGCTGGCCTGGTGCAGAATAATAAGCTACCGCTCCCTGAGGTTGACCAGCAACAACAACGTGTGGATGAGCTTGGTAGTGAATCTATCGTAACAAGACAGCATATCAACAGACTTGAGATTAAATAGACAGAGCACCTGCATTTCATACTACATGTACATCCAAGAGGAGCTATGCCCCCACCATGAATCCAAAATTCATTTTAGAAAAAACACGACTGAAGGGCAATTGCATTTCCCTTCCCTTCTTCCAAAAGCATGTAAGAAGGCACAAGGTTTGATTTGCCTCACTGCTTAAAAGGCCAAAACAGGTGTCATAAAGAACTCCCATTTTTTTTAGTTCCCCCAAACAAATCAGGACTTAAAAATTTTGGTGATGGATCCGTTGTTGGGAAACTCCTATTGGCACCACACCATGGCACCTCTTCTTGTAAAGTTTGGGCAACATACTTTGTGTGGATATATTTCATTTGCAGCCAGAAGGAACTGGCACACCTATTCATTGTTCCAACTCAGTCGGCTAGAATATGTAAAAACACATTCTAGTGATGTTGAACAAGGACTCTGTTCGGCATACAGTTGTGGTCAAACCTGTTACTGTACATGGATTCTTATTGGGGCAACTTACCACAGTACTGCTTGGCGTTGAACAGCAGACAGCGCTGCAGGTCACACTAGCACCAACAATGGCGATAATGAACTCTGCAACAGCCAGGATAACCAGCATAGCATCTACAGCCACTCGGCCGGTCTGTCGATCAAAGAAACAAATGTGGTCTGTTAGATTTGTCCTTCGAAGCATGAGGAACTGGTTATTTTTCCTGTTATTTTCTATACAAGCCACGCAAGTGAACTGTGACACAAGCCTTTCTTTGTCATTGTTCACTGATATTTGTCACTGGCTCTGTACTAGGACTTGCAAAGGGTCTTTTGATGAACTCACCCACCACAATAGTCTGCCAAGACTGCAGAATAGGCACAAAGATGCCCAAACACCCCCCCCTATACCGAGCACTTTGGGCCCGGAATTTGTTCACCCCTTAACAAAATACATGTACATATCATTTTGTACTGCAACACACTGTCAGTGGCCTTATATTGCAAAAGCCCAGAAAAGAAGTCTACAAGTAACCAAAGCGTCCAAACTCTTATCTGATTTGATGATTTGATTTGATTTGACTTTTGATTGTCAATGACTAAAATACCTCATTACATCCGTAGTAATAGTAGCAGCTTCCTGCGTCCACAGCTACTGCTGTAGCACTGAAACCAATGACGGTACAGGCAGCAAAACACGCAAAGATGCACATCACCATGTAACCGATCGCCTATCAAATCAATGATGTCACCAATAATATAAGAAAAAAATCTTAATATCTTAATGCTGCTCAATTTAGAACTATTCATTGGAAAATAAAGTTGGCAATTTTACTTTTGATTGTGACACAAAACCACCTTAGAGAGCACTTACACAATCAGTGAACAGAAGTTAAACAGAGCAGTCTGCGTGGAATTAGGACCAAGGTACAAAATGGTGCATTTAAAGAACACTGAACTTCGCAAATGTCCATGAGGTGGATATGTTACTTACAGCACCCTGGTTTGCCTTCACTCCAGAGACTGTACCCAAGATGCCAGCAACGCAGTAGAACTGTACATCAAAGACGAACAAGAAAATAAAAACATCAATTTTATGCTGCATCCAAGCCAAGACCCGGGTCCTTGTAGACTGTTTCAATATAGTGACAAGGTGAAAAACATAAATTCTGGGGGAGCGGGTTGGCGTAGCGGTTCTTTCCTCGCTATGCACCAAT